CCATCATTCACTCATTCATTAAAACACACACACACACACACACATAAAAAAAACAAAAACCAAACCCAAACCCCAAACCACTTAAGTGCTTACTATGTGCAATTCATTTTGCTAGGCTCAGGACACTTTTCAATACTTGGAGGAATACAAAATCTCATCAGTATGGGTATTCCCTTCAGCGATACTGGTCACAGTGCATTCCTATTGTCTCATCTTGTATGACTGAACCATGTTCTCCTGTCAGTCCACCCTGGGAGGAGAAGGGGATCACCTGACATGCTAGAGGCCTTCCACTACGCCTCTTAAAATTATGTGAACACAAATGGAGCATGATGGTTATCCATCAGTTGTTCCTTGCTTTCACTGCAGGAATGGCCAACCTCAATTTCTGGTTATATATTTCTCTGACGATATCCTTTATAACACTTTCCCTGCCCAACTTCTCCTTGGGAACATGATGCAGCTTGCTCACATCTACCATGCACCTCCTCCTTCACTGTTGTTTGGGTGACTCACAGCTTTAATTTTTCAGTGTCAAGGATATTCCATGATATGCAACCATATGGCATTGGCTGTTGATGTCAAAAAGATGGGCCTTTGTTTTAGGGAGAATCTTGGGGTCATTAAAAGTACTATGCAATTTCCCAAAGGTAATCCATCCTACTCCTTTCTTTTGATTCAGTTCTGGTCCCAGTTCACTCACAGTTTCTTTCCAATACACACCCATATAATGTATATACATGTATATACACACACACACACACACACATATGTATATGTATTGTGTATCTCTCTTTACATATATAATATATATATATATATATAATCTCCATATCTGTATCTGTACATATATATATGTGGGGCAGCTAGGTGGAGCAATGGATAAAGCACCAGACCAAAAGTCATGAAGAACTGAGTTCAAATTTGTCCTTAGACACTTACTAGCTATGTGATGCTAAACAAGTCACTTAGCTTCTATTTGCTTCAGTTTCTTCGTATAAAAAAAAACAGGGAAAATAAAGGAAGATCAAATGTTGTGACAATCAAATGAGATAATAATTATAAAGTGCTCAGCACAGTGCCTGGCACATAGTAAGCACTATGTAAATGTTAACTATTATTATCCTATATTATACTAATTATGATCAATATTATGTATAAATGGATTAGAGATATGAATTATCAATCCTACTGGCATGGTATGGACGATAGGTATTCTTCATCCACTTAGTTTTTCTTGGAATGGACTCTTTTGAGTGATTATAAATCTCATTTAGTAGGCTCTGCAATGTTCTAGGATTTGTTGCAATCAGAATAATCTTTATCTGAAAACAAGATCATATGTAGGACATGACCATCTATAAGGAAGTTTTCCAATTTGTACTTTGTGCTGGGGAGTTTTCATGATAGTGACAAACATCTCTACTGGGCATGTGTCTCATTGTTTTATGCCTTTCTTGATATTAATAATTATAAATAAGTAAGTCTATATTCTAAGCACGTGTTGCCTTTGGCTGTCATATATTTTTGGTTGGCAGAGAGGTAAATGTTTGTTGACTGTGGCAGTTTCTAGGTTATTTTGATCTCCTCCCTGTGGTGATTGATTTATTATCTGCTAAAAATCTCCTGGGAAACAGTGATAGTCTGTGTCAATATTTATTCTTTTATTCACTTCCCATTTTTTGGTGGTGATGGCTTGTTTAAATTAGTCAGGTTGGAATGATCTCAACTGCCTACTATTTCATATTTTTACTTGGTATCAATTTTGATCTATGCGCTAACAATTTTGTGATATGTAAGAGATCAGGCTTTCCCTTTGAGTTTGTTGTTCAGTTGTTTCAGTCATTTCTGACTCTTCATGACCCAATGTGGGGTTTTCTTGGCAAAGATACTGGAATGGTTCGCCATTTCCTTCTCCAGCTCGTTTTACAGATAAGGAAACTGAGGCAAAGGGACTTGTCTAGGGTCACACAGCTAGTAAGTGTCTAAGGCTGGATTTGAACTCATGAAGAGGAGTTTTCCTGACTCCAAACCTGGCAATCTATCCACTACCTGACTGCTCTTCTCTTTGAGAGAGGAGACATTTTTCTTTTCCTTTTCTTTATTGTTTGGGATTGGGGAAGGGCCTTTTTGCAAGCAACAATACAGTCGGTAGCTATTAGAACTTTGTAAAGGTTTGTTTAATTATATCATTACGTATTTTGAAGTCTGGGAGAATATGAATTACTGGATTTGGTTATGAACTGTACCACACAGACTTTTCCCGAGACGTCTTAGTGACAAGGCTCTAGGGAAGGTGTTGTAACTGTTGCTGCTGCTTGTCCTTCGTTCTCTAAGAGGACCATGGCATCGGGAAGGTGATGCCATAACTTGCAAGTGAATTGATTTAAGTGAGGGAGGGCTGTGCAAAGTCACCAGCCTCACTCTCTACCTCTGGAGCTATCTGAGTCCAGTAGTAATATATAGATCAGGACGACTGGAGATGGCCCCCTTTGTGGAAGGTATCCAAAAACAACGTGCTGAGAATCCCCAAATCACTAAAAAGATAGCCAAGATTTAATCTTTGCCAAACACATTCCAGTAGATTTGCTGAGGATGGCAATATTAAAACTGGAGGGAGAGTGTAAGGGTGGGGTTGAAACTACCTCACCAAATTTTAGTGTTGATGTCTTAACTGGATGACAACAAGTTTCAATCAATCAATCATAATCTTAAATGAAGTCAACTGGAATGGATTACACAAGAATTGTGTTTGGATTGGCTGAGAAAACTTGGCCATACTCCAGGTATCATCTATAAATTGTCAACCAGGTTGAGAAAGGAGGATTTTCAGAGATTGGAGCAAGTGTGGCTTTTCAGCACATCTCTGGGGAGAGAACCACTTGGGGAGAAGAGGCCTTGTTTTCAGGCAGGGATAGACCATGTAAACTTCAAAGAGCACATAAGACTCTGGATCTCCCATCTTTCTAACCGATGTCCTAGCCTCCTTCCCAGATCAGCGGGTGGCAGTGTCTGCATAGGGAGCCAAGGACTGATGCTCAAAAGTTTATTACACTTACAGAGAAATTCCCGAGTACTCCATGAATGGGAAAAAAGGATTTCTAACAGCAAGGTGTGGTGAGTCATTCTTTTGCCACGTGGTCTCTTTAAGTTTGAACCTACTTTTCCATGAACTCTGTGTGTACTTGTTGGAGATAGTTATATTCACAGACACAGCAGTTTGTAGGTTTAAGATTTTTTTCTAAATTTTCTTATTGTAAATTAGTAAATGCCCTTCTCTAAAAGCTACTTAAGGAGGGGTGACTAAGTGATTCTCAACTGGTAATATTTGTGGGAAGGGAGAGTACACAGGAATGTGGGCTTCAGCCAATGATATTAGAGAATCTCTCATCTGGGGTAGAGCCCTCGGCTCTAGGAACTTGATTTGTCAGTAGGAATGGGAGTTGATATGGGGCTACTCAGAGCTTTCAAGGGCTATATAACATAGAGCCACAAGATTTATACATATATACATATACACACATACACATACACATATACATATATATGTATATACAAGATAACCTCAGATAAATAGTCACAAGCAGCTAGGGGGCTCAGGAAAGGTTCCCTGAAACTTGAAGGAAATAGGGGATTCCAAGAGGTGGAGAGTATTTTCTCAGCATGTAGGTTGGCCAACATCAAGACGTGAAAAATACTATTAGAAGAACAGTAAGAAGGCCAGTTTGACTACACCACAGTGTGCATGCAGGGGGGTAAAGAATAAGAATGGAAATACAGGAGTCAGATTATAAAGAGTTAGTCAGTTATATAAGAACAGTTATTAAATGCTAGGAATATTAAGTAAGGTAAAAAAAAAAAGCTTTAAATGCCAGAAATATTATCCCCATTTTAGAGTTGATAATACTTGAGACTCAGAGAAATTGTGACTTGCTCATGGTTATATAGCTAATAAGGTAGTCAGAGGTGGAATATAAACCTAGGCCTCCCTGATTATAAGACTAATATTCTATCTACTATACTACACTGTGAAGGATATAAAATTTTTTTTAAATGATCCCTGTCCTCAAAGAGTTTATAATCTAACAAAGATGAAAAGATATGTACACATAATGATAATATAAATTAGACTAACTACAAAAAAAATACAAAATTCTATGAGATGAAAAGAATATGAGAGCACTGTATGCATATACTCTGTGATTTATGATACTTTCCTTTTTTCTCCCCCAATCTCCTCATAGAAGGTGCAAAGAATTAAGAGCCCAGCAGAAGCACAGTGTTATGATGTAATACGGAGAAGGTGGATCTCTACTTTCCTGTCAATGCCAACAAAAGAGATTGCTGAGGGTAAATAAGGGTATTAAAGGGAATAAAAAGAGAGTTTTTAAAAGGAGGCAGGTAAGAAGAAAAGTAAAGGAAGAAGGGCGTGGACTTGAAAACTTGCTGCTTTTGTTCAGCTGTTTTGAAATGTGAGTGTTTAAAGAAAGAATGGAAAGGAATTGATCTTACCAGGGGTATGCTCAGGCTTGCCTTGTGGAAAGGTAGACTTGGGCCCCATAGCATTGTAGCCCTGTATCAGAAGCAGAGGCTGTTGGGATATGTAGTTTTCCCAGGTGGTAATAGAGACTGAAAGATCATGTAACGAAGGAGTCTTGTGGGAAGGAGAAGCCCTGGGGCCTCTCCGTTTCTTCCAAGCTCCAAAGTTTCCTGGCTTCCAGAAGCTCCATCCTTCAGTGATTCCTTCTGCCTGGGAAAACTACACTTCCCAGATGCCTCTGCTGCCAATGTGGAGCTATCGTATTTTAAATAAACAAACCTTCGGGACAAATAGTCTTAGCTCTAGAATCAAATTAAGCTTTTGGAAAGAAAGTCTCCCCCCCCCCTCCCCCAAGCTGCCCTGAGGGAAAGGGAGTGTTGTGGGCACTGGAAAGCGTTCTCAACATGGAGCTGTTCACGGTGAAGCTGGACCATCCCCCCCCCCCACCCCCATCCCTTACCATGTTGTTCCAGAGGGCGATGGCCATCTCTGCGTGTCCCCTCTCAGAGAAGTGGAAACAATCCACAGAGAAGAAGCTCAGGTCTGGGTTTCCTTTCTGTGAGCAAACACAATGGAATTATCTTCCAGGAAAGAGAGAAGTCTCTACGTGAAATGGGCATTCGTCCTATTCACCTGTTCAAGCTTTGAAGCTGAGAAAGATCTGCCCAAGCAATTTAACCATCAACCCATGCATGCTTAGATAAAGCAGAATAAACGTGGGTTTTTGAAGTTTTTCTTTTAATACGTTGGTCTGCATGCTGACCATTTGCATACCACTTGGGTCCTTCCTTCCTGTCCTTCTACACTTTTACCTGGAGAGGGACCAACCATTTGGGTAATGGTTTAAGTCTAACCAAACCAAATAACCACTAAGAGTTTGGCTAGGTAGCTCCTCCACTAAAGATTTCCCCTGCACCAAATCCCTCCCATCATCATCTCCAACCCTGCAGAGAAGCTTGGGGACGTCAATTCAGAAAAATCTGTACTCACATCTAACTTCACAGTCAGGAGAGGACTCTTTGGAGAACAGAGTCCCATGTGACATAATGCACCTGAACAAGGTTACCTCCCTCCACCCCCGAAAAGCCCCCAACTTACATCATCAAATGGGACCACAGTGTTTTGAAAGAATGGCTGCACCACCACAGCGAAGTCCTCCCGCTCCGTGTATTGGTAACTGTAGGTGATCATTGAGCTGCCACTCTGGGAGTGCGGAAAAGAGGCCCCAGATGTCAGCTACCTTCCGTGGCCCCCTGAATCTTCCTGAAGTCTGCTGCCAATCACTTGGGAGCTCTGCTTGCTAATAGCTGATTGGTCAGAGGTTCTTTTACTGCAAAACTTGGATCGGGCTGCTGCCTGTGCCTGGAATACCCTTCCTCCTCACTTCCACCTCTAGGAACCCTTAGCTTCTTTCTTTCTTTCTTTTTTTTTTTTGGTGGCTTGGCTAGGCAATGGGGTTAAGTGACTTGTCCAGGGTCACACAGCTAGTAAATGTTATATGTCTGAGGCCAGATTTAAACTCAGGTCCTCCTGAATCCAGGGCAAATGCTCTATTCACTTCGCTACCTAGCTGCCTTTCCCACCTTAGCTTCTTTCAAGGCTCAGCTGGAGCCCCACCTCCTACCAGGAGCCTTTCCTGATTCTCCTCGTTGTTAGTGCCCCTCACCTCCCCCCCACCAGTGTATTTTTCTGTGGGAGCATTTATTTTTCTGTGATTTGTTACCTTCCCCTAGTAGAATGTAAGCTCCTTGAGGGCAGGGACTGGTCAGACTTTTTGAATTGCATCCTCAGTGCTGACTGCATACAGCAGGTACAGTACTGAATAAATGCTTGCTGACTGAAGCAACTATCAATGTACCCTCGGCAAGTAAGGGCAAAGGTAATATTCAAGGGCAGAAGGGCTGTGGTTTCCATCCCATGAATCGGGTCTGTACAGCTGACCTGGTTGTATGCGTAAATGGTGACCCTTGATCTTTTTTAAAAGATAGAATTTTATTGATATCTTCTGTTTTTCATATTTATCTTTGTAAACCCAACATTTAAAGTGTTGAACTGAGAAACAGGAAGATCTGAGTTCAAATGCTGCCTAAGTTGTAGCTATACTCCTAAAACATACATACTCTTTGACCAAGCAGTACCACTGTTAGGCATATATTCAAAGATGTCAAAAAAGAGAGGGAAAGGAACCATATGCACAAAAATATTTATGACAGTGTTATACATTGTACTGCAGTAAATAATGGGAAATGGGGTGGGTGTATTCATCAATTGAAGAGTGCCTGAACAAATTTAAATCCTGCCTCAAATGGTTTACCAGCTGTGTGACCCTGAGCGCGTCATTTAACCTCTGTCAACCTCATCTGTAAAATGGAGATAATAATGGCTTTTGCCTTAGAAAGTTGTTTTGAGGACAAAATGAAATTACATATGTAAATTGCTTTGTAAACCTTAAAGTGCTATGTAAATGCTGTCTTTTATTGTCGCTGTTATTGTTATTTCCCTGTTAGAAATAATGAATCTAGGGGCAGCTAGGTGGCGCAGTAGATAGATCACTGGCCCTGGAGTCAGGAGGACCTGAGTTCAAATTTGGCCTCAGACACATAGCACTCATTCACTAGCTGTGTGACTCTGAGCAAGTCACAGCCCCAATTGCCTCACAAAAAAAGAAATAATGAATCTAACAGATTCAAAGCAACCTTGGAAGACTTCAATGAATTCATGGAGTGAAGTGAGCAGAACCAGGAAAACAATTTACATGATGATCACAATAATGTAAAAGAAAAGAAAACAACTTTGAAAGACGTTTTAGTGATGAAACATTCCGCCTCCTCCCATCCAATATCTTCACAGAGGGGTGATGGACCAGAGGTGTAGTAAGAGACATATATTTATAGACATAGTCAATTTGTTGATTTTGTGTTTTGTTTCATAATTATTGGTCACAAGAGATCTTTTATTTGAAAGGAGGGGAGTTGTGGGATAGTGAAAGTGATGTAAGAAAAGTGCATCAAGGAAACATTTTAAAACACACAAAAGAGCAGAAGAAAGTTCAGAAGGGGGCATAGCAGGGCAGGATTTGTTCTAGCATGTTAAATTTAATATGCAATTTTAAAACTATACATAATAGAAGTTCACAGTTTTGAATACAGTTTTCTATTTATATGCTGAAATGTTAGACTTTGCTAATATTTGTTAAGTTCAAAATAATAAATAATTTTTTTTTTTAAAAGGCCCAAGTACTAGCAGTAACATGAATATCTATTCCTTGCCCACGTCTCTCTGTGAGAGAAGAACCATGGGGTAGGGGGTGCTGAATGAGATAGAGATTTAACTGCTGTATCATCCTGGGTTCGTGCTGGCAACTAATGTTATTCACTCCATCAGGACCATCACTGGCCTCTCTGCTTTGAGGGGAGTAAGTCTGGGCTGGAGCTACAGGCAGTCAGCAGACTGGGAAGGAGCAGCTGCTACCAGCTGGTGCCCTAAATACCTGAGACTTCTATTAAGGCAGTAAGCAAGAAAAGGGAGTGAGGGATGGAGATAGGCTGGCTACCCCCACCATTTCCCCTGTACACTTTTCAGGCTATGTATGTAGTATCTTTCCATGACATCTTTGTGTCCTCTCTTTCCATTCATTCCATCCATTCCACAGTCATCTTCATCATAAAGGCTAACATTTAAATAGTGTTTAAGGTTTGCAAAATTCTCTCTATACATTACATCAGTGGTGTCAAACTCAAATAGAAACAGGGCCCACTAAACCATATATAAGGATCCCTGTGGGCTACATATTGATATCGAAAACCACATAGTAACATTATCTATGTTTAATTATATTTATTTACTTTGTTAAATATTTCCCAATTACATTTTAATCTCATTCTGGCCATAGTTGGCAGTGGCCTGTTGGGCATATGTTTGATACCTCTGTATTAAATCATTTGATCTTCACAAAATCTTTGTGAGGTAGGTTCTTATTATTATCCCCATTTTACAGATGAGGAACCTGAGCCTGAGAGCAGTTAAATGACTTTCCCAGGGTCACACAGTTGGTAAGTATCTGAGGCAGCATTTGGATTCATATCTTCCTGTCTCCAAGTTCAACACTTTAAATGTTGGATTTACAAAGATAAATATGAAAAAAGTCTTTGCCCTCAAAGGAGCTTATATTCCACTGGAGAAAAAAACATGTCAACAGATAAGCATATAAATATATATGTATATGTAATAACAATATGTTATATATGCACATATTATGTCAACATAAATAGGTTATCTTTAATTACTAATAAACTATCTAATTATAACATAATTAGTAATTAACATATACATACATACACATATATTTGTTCCAGATATGCGATCCATTGGTATAGGTAACTACTCCCCAGGGAGGAAACTCCCTCTGCTGATGCATAGCAGCAACTGCTGTTCTTCCAGGAGGAAGCCCTGCAGAGTTCACTGTCAGGATGCATGTGTCTGTCAAAGGTGGGGCCGGAACCAGGTGTTCCTAACTCAGAGGCAGGCTCCCTGTTCACTGTACCCTGCTACTTTCCTTTGCAACATATACAACTTATATACCAAGTACCTAGGAAGATTAATTAATTAATTATTTAGATCGGGGGAGCAATGATTGAAAAGGGGAGTATGATTACCTTTAAAAAATCTGCCACTTTAACCAGGTTTCACCTGATGGGTGTAGGGACATATGTGTAGTAGCATTGGCCAGGCCTCACCCTTGCTAGAATCAAAGTTTCAGAGCTGAAAAGAACCTTGGAGATCTTCTAGTCCAGGGGTGGGGAACCTGCAGCCTCAAGGTCACATGTGGCCTTCTAAGTCCTTGGATGTAGTCTTTTGACTGAGTCCAAGTTTTACAGAACAAATTCTTTTATTAAGGATTTACTTTACATTAGACGGGACGGAGGCCCAGAGAGGTTAAGTCATTTGTTCAGAATTTCACAGGACTGACAAAGAGCTGTCCTAGAATTCTCACCGGGTCCCCCGACTCCAGACTCAGCACTTATCCTTTCATGCTGCCTTAAGGATGGGTCTGCTCTCAAAAATATTTCTTGGACAGATAACTTGGGTCTTTCCTCATATGATTAAGGAACTATTCATTCCTGGGACAGGGAAAAGGGAAAAAACAGTGAAAGAAAAGTTTGGAAGCTTACCTGGAATTCTCTATTAATGTTCTTCATTTCTTGCAATTCAGAATTATCCAGGGAACGTCCAAAGCAAGGGCAAATGGATCTGTGGAGTAAGAAGCCCTGAGATAAAGAGTTCCACCAAACCCAAGTCCAGGTTAGCTGGTCCCCAGCCTGGCTTTGTCTCACTCAAGAGGCTGATATCTCCACCATAAAGAAGATGCCGATTTCTACCACACTCCTCCCCAGACGGTTTCCTGTCCCACTTTCCCCTGAACTCTACTAGTTTAGGGACTTGCTGATGGTATGTTTGGCCACGTACTCAGTCGTCACTTCACATTTTTCCCCTTTTATCTGGCGTAGACTGACCAACTCCATAATTTCTACCACGTTGATGAAGGTTCGAGGCAGCTGTAGGAGATACAAGAATGGGCTCTGTTGATTCTCCAAGAATGGCAAGAGGAATGGGGAAAGAATCTTACGGAATCACAGAATTTGAGAACTGGAAAGGATCTTGGAGATCATGGAATCATAGATTTAGAGCTGAAGGAATCTTAGAGGTCATTTAGTAAAACTCTTTATGTTATAGATGAAGAAACTAAGGCTCAAAGTCACACAGTTAGCTCCTGCCAAAATGAGTTGCTGGACTCCCAAGTTAGGTGTTCTTTTTACTGTGTAATAATTTTAATGGGAGGCAGAATAGCAACTATAGGGATGTTCGGTTTTAAAAAAAATAAGTTTTTCAAAGAAAATGAAAATATTGATGTAAAACATTTTAAATGAGATTATTAAATAGTTATTTTTCAATAGCAGCAAAACACCCCTCTGTGCAAAGACACAACTATTCATGAAATTAAGTCTAATAATAATAATAGCTCACATTTATATAGTATTTTATAATACACAAAGTATTTTTCTTATAACACCCTAGTGAGGTAGGCAGTACAATTAGCATTATCCCTACTTTCTAGATAAGGGAACCAAGGCTCACAGTATTTCCATAATTTACCCATGATCACATGGCTAATCTCTTCCATAACTCATCCACCTCCCACACCTTCCAAGATAGTCCTCTAACACAGTTCTTACCGTGTCACCGTCTACTTAAGAAATTTCAATGTTTCCTCATTGTCTTTAGATTAAAATACAAACTCCTCTGTTGATCATTTGAACCCCTTCCTAGTATGGCTTCCATCTATCTTTGCAAGGCTGATTGCAGCATTCCATCTGGAACCTCTAGATTCCCTCTAGGTGTGGCTCAGCATTCCATCTGGAACCTCTAGATTCCCTCTAGGTGTGGCTCAAATTCTATCTTCTTTCAGGGGCTTCTTCCATAGTTGTTCATGCCCCCCACCATCACTGTGGATTTATTTCACCCATATCCTGTATTTGCTCATGTGTAACATGTTGCCCCCCTAACATAATGTAAGCTCTTTAAGGCAAAGTACGTATTTAGTAAAAGCTTGCTGATCAATGGATTGAGAAATGGCAGAGTCAGATTCAGAGCAGTCTTCTGACTCTGGGTCCAGGACTATTTTCACTACCTAACAGTGAGTCTATTTTCTATTCATATAATATTTGAAATAACATATTCATGTAACTTTTAAAAAGGAAGAGGGAGGTGAAGATTGAGTCACTTGCAAAACCCAATATTTTAAATAGTTCATGTTGATTTGGCTGAAAGAAGTATTTTTAAAATCCCCATCTATGACTAAAATAGTTAAAACACACAAAAAAATCCATAACTAATTTTGTGGTAGCTGACACACAGATCATGCTTTTACATTGGCCAAGTGTTTCTGATGCATTTTAAAAATTTGAGCCTCACAGCAAGCTCATGAGGCGGATATTACAGATATTATTATTATTATTATTGATAATTTATAGAGGAGGAAATAAAAGCTCATGGTTAAGTGACTTGCCCATTATCACACAGTTAAGTATCAGAGGGAGGATTTGAACCTAGATCTTCCTGTCCTCAAGTCCAGCCTTCTATCCATTTCAACATGCTGACCATGAATCATGGGATCACAGAGTTAGAGTTTGAAGGGACCTCAGAAACCCTTCAGTCCAATCCCCTCACTTTTAAAAATTTAATTTAACTTGTTTTTGAGACTGGTTTTTCTTATCTTGCCCAGTCTGAAAGTATAGTGGCCACTTACAAGCCCAATCCCACTATTGATGGTACAAGGAACTTTGATCTGTTCTAACTTGGGCTGATTTGTGCCTCCTTAGGCAGTTTGTTGGACCCCAACTCCAAGCGTTTACCATGTTGGTAATAGAATGAGTGCAGACAACAAACTGGCTTAGCCCATTGTAGCTCATAACTCCTGAATATACAGGCAATCCTCTAACCTTGGCCTTCTAGTAGCTGGGATTATAATCACTCTCCCGACCAGCAACCCCCTCAATTTACATACGAAGATACTGAAGTCTATGGAGGTTAAGTGATTTGCCTAAGATCACATAGGTTGTGTCAGACACAGTTTCTGAACCCAGGCCCCTCTGGGGGGGCTCTTTCCAGTTGTCATGTGTTTTCTGTCGAGGAAAATAGATAAGGGTATGCAATATTGTTGTTTCATCAAATAAAATAATTTGGATGACTATTGTTTTTAGGGGTGTAGGTTGTTCTATTAAAACAAGGCAAAAATCCCTCAACTATCCTCTACTGACCTGTCGAATTGTAGCTAGCTCACTGTCCATGACTTCAAAAGCATCTTCTCAAATTAATTTTGGCAAATAAAGTAAGTACATCATCATTGTTTTCTGCTGGACATGGAAAATTCAGCTGGAAAAAAGTCAGATATTCTAAAAATGAGATGGGTCTACATATCTAATTTGGAAATTACATGAAAATAACAAGAAGGTACTTTCTATAGAAAAAAAAAACAGTGAGCTTTTCTTTTGTTTTTCTTGGCTAGGCCATGGGGTTAAGTGACTTGTCCAGGATCACACAACTAGTAAATGTTTGTGTCTGAGGCCACATTTGAACTCAGGTCCTCCTGAATCCAGGGCTGGTGCTCTATCCATTGTACCACCTAGCTGCCCCCAATAGTGAGCTTTTCTAAGGTGCAGGTTAAAGCAGTGTTGGCTGGCCAACGTGATAGGCAGGCTAGAAGACAGACAGGAGGGCACCAGTTTCATGCTCTGTTCCATTCCTTAGGAATCCACTAAGATGGAGGTGGTGGTTGGGGTGGCATATGATTAGAGTTGAAATGGATTTAGAAGAATGACTCTTAATTGCAATGTATGCAAGGCCAACTATACAGGCATACATAATGATATGATGAATGCCTGCAAACATCTCCCTTTCCACCTCACCCATATCTTCTGTCATCATTGATGATTAACATTTTTCTATTAGAGGGTAGATTTCTGAGCTCATAACTCACATATGCAAACAACCTTATTATGCTAGGTCTCAAGAATTTGTGCTCTTTATTTTGAATTATTTTATTAGATCTCATTTTAGGACAGCCCTGTGTTGGTCAATTTAAATAGGGTGGAAAGATAGGTCCAGAGTTGGGGCACTGCCTAGGAGAAAGGACATCTCAAGTTGAAGGATGCTGAAACTGGAGATGGAAAGGACCAGAAGATAATCACCACCTACTTGACAAGGGCCAAGACTAGGCTTGTATATGGGGCTCTTCTGCAGGGGCTGCCTTGAAGTAGGTCACTAAACCCAGTCATTTAATCTGGAAAACTGGGTTTCAAGCCTTGAAGTTCATGGCAAATCAGCTGACAAAATTAGGTCCCTTGTAGGCCCATAAAGCTGATTTTAGGGATTTGTAGCTGACTCATAGGTTTTTTTTTCCCCATGTAAAAAGTGACTAGTTCACTTAAAACAAATGAGTCACAGTAGAAGAGTGGGGTTATTTCTTTGAATTGTTTCATCACATCCCTTGAGCCTAGCATGGTCAGGGAACTATTTAGGTCAGTAGATACTAGGGGAGTAAATATTCTCCTTCTATGAAAAATGTCTCTACCAAAGTTGAGGAGAGGTTACATGTGCAAAGAGGGAATTAGTAATTAGGATTCAATTCAATAAATGTTTATTAAACGCCTTCTATGTGCCAGGTACTGTGCTAGGCACCAGGGATACAAGACAAAGAATGAAACAATAATGCTTCTCAGGGAGCTTACATTCTACTGGGTTGGGTGGGGCTCCAGGGTTCAGATGTATATGTGTTGGGGGGATGAAAGATTGGGATTAAAAGAGTACAGCATGAACAAAAGAGATCAGCTATTTTATGGGGACTCAAGGTGGATTGACAATTAATTCTATGGAGGCAGTAAGAAGTCAAAATAGATGAAGAGTCAAGTTACATACCAGGGAATAATGACAGTCAATCATGACACTGGAAAAAATGCAATTTCTCTTGCAATAAAAAAAATGCACATATTGGGAGTTTTAAGATATTGCATCTACCTATTGCAGTAGATGTTAACAGTGTATCCTTTGTACTCGAAGAAGATCAAATGACATCATGATGTTGAGGTCAAGGTACAGTGTGTTTGACTGCGGCTGATCAGACCAATATGAGCTCAGAAAGTTCTACCACAGATCGGGCACCAATAGTCCATTTCAACATTTGGGATGGAGATGTCTCTAGATCTGCCCATTTCATATTTCCTTTATAGTAAAATGAAATTAAAATGGTGAAATGTAAAATCGGTAGGGCCATGTGGAAGAGATGCTTTTTTGGTAGCATTAAAAATTGAGTCTTTCTGACTTGTATGGACTGATGCTAAGTGAAGTGAGCAGAACCAGGAGAACATTATACACAATAACAGCCACATTGTGCGATGACTAACTTCGATAGACTTAGCTCTTTTCAGCAATGCAAGGATCTAAGATATCTCCAGGTCTCATACTGGAAAATGCTATCCACATCCAGAGAAAGAACTATGGAGTTGGAATGAAGATTGAAGCATGCTATTTGCTCTTTTTTTTTTCTCTTCTATTTTGTTTTGTTTCTTCTTTCTTCTGGTTCTAATTCTTTTTTACAACATGACTAATGTGAATATATGTTTAATAGGAATGAATATGTAGAGCCTATGTCAGATTGCACATCATCTTGGGGAGGGAGGCAGGGAGAGAAGGGGAGAAAATTTAAAACTCAAAAGCTTATGGAAGTGAATGTTGAAAACTAAAAATAAATTTATAAAAGAAAAAAAAGGAAAAAAATGAGTCTTTCTGGAGGATAACCTAGCAATGGGTAGTAAGAGTTGTAAAACTATTTATGTTCCTTGAGTTGATAATGATTTTTGAGGATAAATCTCAAGGAAATAACTCAACAATCACACACAATGTATGCATGTACCAACACTTGTAAAGAACGGAAGATAATTTGGAGTGACTATTTAGAATAGTTAAATGTTTATTACTTTTACCCTTATAAAATTGCTTATATTCATATATCATCATCATCATCATTATCATCATCATCATCATCACTGAAATTGAATTACTCATAATATTAGGTCATTCTGCCTAAATTTCCTTACCTCTTAGTGTCTAAGTCATGGTACAAAGTACTTTTTTGAGTGTCTTGTACCCAACTCCTCAATTTCAGTGAGTGAGCTCTTCCCTGTGGACTCTGCTGTCTTTGTACCATACCTTTTGCTATCTATTACTCTGAGCATGTGTGGGTAGAGAAATAAATTAACTGTAGCTCCATAGTCCTTCTTTTATAGTTTCTAAAATGAGACATGCGTGGAACTCTTCTCTGCCTTTGCCGTGCTTTGCCTGATGCATGGAGTGCCCTCCCTTTTTCTCTTTGCCTATTGAGCTCTTTCTTCTTCTCCTCCAAATAAAAATAGCACTAAATGCGTACTATGTGAGTCATTGTCCTAGTTCTCTCTGTGGACATAAAGATGAGTAAGACAGGGGCAGCTAGGTGGCATAGTGGATAGAGCACCAGCCCTGGAGTCAGGAGGACTTGAGTTCAAATTCAGCCTCAGACACATAACACTCGCTAGCTGGGTGAGTCTGGCCAAGTCACTTGACCTCAATTGCCTAGCCAAAAAAAAAAAAAAATGAGTAAGACAGTTTCTGCCCCCAAGGAAGCTACTTCACTCCAAGGTATTAGTGCTTACCTCTTCAAATCTTAACTAGGAAATCTTCCTCATAAGCCACAATCTTCCTCTTAAAGCTCACCTAGCACTTTGTTTTGCGTCTCAGTGCATGTGCATTACAGCTACCTGCATTGATGCCTTATTTCCCTGCAGCCCCTTGAGGGCAGGGACTATGTCTTATCTAAATTTTATATCTCCTTCCAATGTATAGCAGAGTAGTTAATAAATATTTGTTCTATTATCTCCCTATCCATCCCTCTTTCATTCCAGTCATCTGTCATTTGCATCTGTTCCCCCTAGTCTTCCCAATCCTCCCTGTCAAATCACTGTTCTTCATTTTTCATGGCCCCAAGCTCATGTTTTTTGTATAGGGGCGTCTGGTAGCTTGGATTAGTATATTATTTAAGCCTAGTCTAGGGTGCTTTGGGAGGAGTGGTCCAGGTCAGGTTGTGAGATATGACTAAAGATACATTAAATCTTGCAGCAGCAGCAGCAGCAGCAACAATTGATTGCCAAAACAGAGATAACTTTGTTCAGCAATCCACTGATTATCAATAACAAGTCAGGCATAAAACAAGGAGAAGCACGCTCATGAAAGGTGTTTGTTACTGTCCTGGCAAATGTACAGCATAGAATACAAAAAGAAGGATCTCTCCTATGTAGCCACTCCTTCCAGTATCACAGACCTCAACTCAGCTATGCCTTCTTACCTTGCACAACTCTTGTCTTCCTTATCTTCCCATAAGTCCTCTGTGGGGGTGGACCTGATGGGTGAAGGAAGGCTTTCCTCTATAGAGGTCCAGTGTAGCCAGCCCTAATCGTCTGTCCATTTGTCAGCCTTCGTTCTTCTTACACAATAAATCCACTCCCTGTTCTATATCTCTTTAACATCTCTCCTTGTGTAAATCATTGTGGGTAATACACTACAACCAGTTGATGGCCACTGTCCACCCATACCCTTTAGCATTCTTACAATTCTGATTCTTCAGAGATTCCATGATTTGTAGCCATCTAGTGTCATGGGAAGAATATGGATATTGACAAAGATGGGTTTTTGTTTCAAGAAGTAGCTTAAGGTTGTCAAAAGGACTGCACAATTTCCCATATGCAATCTAACCTGTCATCTTCCTACCCTACAACGGCTCATTATCCATCTGCAGGGTTTTTCCAAGATACACGTACTGAAGGACTAGTTCTATTGGTTGTCCATTCAACTATATGTCAAAGACCAGACAATGAGCATCCGCTTGGTTTTTCCCATGTGAATGACTAGGATGAACCCTTTTAGAGATTTCCTCTAGAAATTATTGAGAAAACTTTGAAACATTTTAGAATTTGATACAATCAATATTACAAATAGGAAAATCAAATTTGTATTCCATGCTGGACTTTTGCCAGGAGAGTGGCAAACATGTTAGTGGCATGTGTCTCCTTGTTTTATGCCTGATTTGTAATTGATAATGGTGGATTGTTGAACAAAGTGGTCTCTGTTATATATTTCAAGGAATCCTCTATGATACTAACACATTAGTGGTCAAATGCATTTTTGCAGTCAATGAATTTAATAAGTACAATAAGTGGGATCCTGTATTCTCTATATCTTTCATCATTTGTAAAGAGGTAGTCTCCTAGAGATTATCATTTAAGAATACCTGACTATTCATTCTTATGATTTCATTAAAGATGCTATTATTGTTTTTACAAAAGGAAATCATCCTCCAAAGGAATTTATAAAGATTTTTTAGAAGGTCTGTGAGTAGGCAGTTTTTAATGTTCTTTCAATCATCCTTTTTGGTAGCAATCCCTATACTCCAAATTGGTGCTGCCCTTAGTTGTCATGTCTCTCCACTTGGTGAGGAGACAAATTATTTGTTGGCTGAAGTGATTCGGGGGCTTTTATGTTCTCAATCAATTATCAATTAAACTTCCTCAGGAAATGGTGATGGTCTACATCGATCATGGATGTAGAGCTAGAAGGTATCTCAGATGAAGTCCAAACTCCTCTTCATGAGGAAACTGAGGCCCACCATATTTAAGTGAATGGCTCAAGGTCACATGAGTGCTAAGCATCAGAGGTGGGATTTAACCCAGGACCTCTGACTCTTGAGTCAGTTCTTTCTTCAAAGCCAAACATCAAACCAAAAGTGTTCTTTCTTCTGAATCAAACAACATGCTGGCTCCAGGTCTGTTTTTTTTTTTAATCTGTTTCCTAATTTTTGGCAGCAGTAGCTTATTTGAGTAGGCCAGATCAAAGCTGTTTTAACATCTTCTCAACTACATACTTTCTTCTACTTTGATTTTGTTTTTGACTTTTGCTCTAACAAATTGATGGCTTGATTGTACACAAGTAGTTGATTTGGAAGTAACTTCTACAATGGTAACCAGTCATTTCCTGTCTGTTAAGATATAGTTAGTTTCATTTTTTTTTTTTTTGGCATTCTCTTCTTGAAGCAAGTATTCATTAAATATAAGTATTTGGCCTCCTTTGTTTCTTGACCCTGATCCATTATTTTCCAGAACACTTTTTGATGTCATCGCCTATATTCACTTCTGTATTCAAATTACCAAGACAAATGCAAACACACAAATGGATTTGCAGTCTCCTAGACTGGAAGTTCCCTCCAATGATGCAATTTGCAAACCTTTCAAGATTGCCCGTCTTGGGTGATTATTGTCTACTTCCTTCTAGCAGTTTGCTGTGGGGAGGTCAAGCAAGAGAAAAAGGAGGGTCCACTTAATATGCTGGAGACCTTCCTCACTTCACCCTGGCACTGTGAAAGAACCAGTGGAGCCACTGGCCATCAGCCTGCCATCTTTCACCTTTACCATATGACTATTCCATTTTCTCTTCCTACCATATAGCTCCTCAATAATGTGAGGGAATACTCATGGGAGCATAGCTTACTATCTACAGAGACATGCAGGTACCCTTTGTTATAACTGGGCTCTCTTGCCTTAGGGAAGGGATTCTTAACTTTCTCATGTCGTGTCATGGACTCCTTTGGAAAACTGATAAAGCCTAGGGTTCCTTTCTAAGAAGAATGTTTTTAAATGTATAAAATAAAATATATGGGCTTACAGGAAATAAACAGCAGCTTTTACCTCTTTGTAGAAGATGTCCAGTGCTTGTTGGAGGGACTGTGTGTAATTTTTCACCGAGTGGGCCTCCTGCAGGGAAAGAGATGGAGAGGTCACCTGTTAAATGATCATCCTCTATGAGAAGGAAAAGAGAAAGACCCAAGTACTATAACACATTTGGACTCAATGCTCTGTGATGCAGGGCAGTTCAAAGGAATGCACAACTTGGGTTTTAGAAAGAAGATAGCAAGTTTTCATTAGGTTTGAATTCAGAAGTCCTGGGCACAGTGTGTACGTTCAATAAATATTTGTTGGTTGATTCAGTAACTGTCCCACTGCTCTTGGGGGCAGGAGGTGTCAGGTAAGCACAGAAGAAGGCTGTAGATCTGTGGCAGCTAGGAGTGAATTTGATGGAGAGAGGAAAAAACAGCTTCCAGAAGGGTAGGAGAAGGCCATCTGCTTTATTCTCCACAATTTTCTAGCACTCAGTGTGAACAAGACCTCGGCGCCCTTTTCACCACCTTTGTGTATATATGGTTGTGGTTTCTCCTTCATTCTTGAAAAGGATCATGACTTCAGGGAGGTGATGCCATGATATGCAAGTGAATTGGATTTAAGTGAGGGAGGACTGTGCAAAGTCACCAGCCTCACTTTCTCTTCTGGAGTCTTCTGGGTCCAATGGCCCAGCCAATAGATCAGGACAACTAGAGATGGCCCAGCTTCCCCACTTTTTCTTACTCTAGGATTAATCAGAGAGAGAGGGAGCATTTATGCATGTAGTGAGGTGGGGTGGGAGATAAAAAAGAGACTGAACAGATACCAATCTGCTGTCTAGTGGGCAGGACCTGGCAAGAAAGTAGTTGCTGTTACTTCAGGAAAGGGCGTTGAGTATGCTGCTTTTTTGTAGGTGCTAGGGCTGGCTTGTTTCCTGAAACTAGGCCTGATGCCTTTATATCCCTAACCCGATCCTGGTATATCTACACAGAGGGTTCCATCTTTGTTTTTCTCCACTCCTCCAACACTTCCTAGGGCCTGCTAGAACCAGGAACCAAGGGATTGAGGAGACAAGTGTGGGATCAGAGGGTTCCCTAGTGGCAAGGGTCTGCAAAGGGAAGCCAAAAACCAAATCTGAGATCTGAGTTGAATGGGCCAGGGAATGGAATATTGCTTACTTAAGGAATTGAGCCCATTCCCTCCAACTGGTTTGGACTAAGTTTACACCTACTGGTGGCAGCATTGGAGTGTTTCTGATAAATGCTAAGGAACTAGGGTTAGAGTTTAATATATTCTGCTGGTGTTCCTTGGTCACTAGTCACACAAATGGGTATCTTCAGAGACTTAGAACATAGGGTCATATATTTGGTGCTATAAGTACTTAGAGGGCACCTCATCCGGTCTCTTTATTTTACAGTAGGTGATTGTATGCCTGTCGTTTGAACCCAGGTCCTCTGATACCAAATCCAGGGCTCTTTCCATTACTCCCCAGAGTTACTGACACATTATGGTCAAGGAGGTAGGTGTCTGTACAAGAAATCTGCCCTTTCCTTCATTTGTTGTTCATTCAACAAGCATTTATGAAGTACCTACTATATATTCCCCCTCCCATGTGAGGCTTTCTCCTGATCTCTCTAGTTGCTTCCCTGTCCCCTCTGAAACTACTTTATACATATTTTGTATCTCCTTATTTATTGCATGTTGCTTTAAAAGGCAAGTTTCTTGAGGGAAGGTACCATTTAATTCCTAGAACCTAAAACAATGCCTGTCACATAGTAGGTGCTTCATATGTAAGGGAGGTTGGATGTGGTTTTTGCCTTCCCTTAACCTCTCCCCTCCATTGGTGTAGTAACAGAATAGAGTCACACACCATAAGGTTTTAAGGTATTAACAAATTGTAACACCCTCAGATCCCTTTATGAGGTATGAACACCACTCTGATTGAGTTAAGAAGGGAACAAGTTGATTGAGCAAACAAATTAGTCATGCCTTTGGGGATTTTAAATAGCTAAGACCTGGATGAATTTCAGCAGTTTGAGAGTGGGAGAGATTGCAAGCTGGGAATTGCTTGTGGAAGGGGGAGGGATGTGAAAGGGAATTTCTCCAGGCCATGTAGCTTTGAAGGGGACTTCCTGGGCCAGGAAGTGACATTGCAGATATTGCGTCCAGTGGGGAACAGAGATAAACACTGGAGACAGAATGGATACAGAGACAGTCACCCATGAGAAGAACTATTGTCAAAGAGCATAATTTCTGGCAGTACACTCTTGAATCCTAAGAATAGTTGTCTCTCTAGGGTTCTAAGTTGTGAGTTTGAGTGTAAGTTGAGGGATGACTCTAGAGGGGGTGCTACATATAAATGCTTTTTGGTTGATAAGAACATTCCCTGCCCTCCAGGAGCTCATATTCTCCTGGTAAAAACATGTACATTTCCAGATGCTACAGGGAGAGCCTGGAATCATTAGAACTGCAGCATCTCATAGCTGGAAAGGACCTCAGAGGTTATCTAATCTATTTTATATCTTCCTACCAATCTCCAAGGACTTGTAGAGTCTAACTAAACTCCAATCATCTTGGGTGAATGATAGTGATAGAATGTGTAGAACACCTTGTACCTACTAGGTGATCAATTAGTGTTTATAGAATTGAATTTGTAAATATGAAAGGGCTTTGAAAAACTAAGACATCAAGGATAATTAGTATTATTATCAAGCTCCCACACAGGCTCTTTACAAATGATGACTAATAATGTGACTCCTCTTTGTGACCAGCCACATATTAGCTACTCCTCTTAGACTGTATCTTGAGAATGACTATACCCCTGCCCTCCCTCCCTTCGGAGTTGTCTCTTTCCATTAAGATAAATACAGGTAGGCAGCCTCCAACTTGCCAATGGGACATGCAAGCCAAATCTTATAATTCAATTTAACAAACATTCAGTAAGCACCTACCATGTGTAAGGTAGGGTGCTAGGCACTGGATATACAAAGACAGCCCTTTTCCCCACTTCCAAAATCAAAACAGTTCCTGCCCTCAAGAAGTTTACATTCTACTGTCATTTATAAGTCAATTGTTAGGAACTTCAAACACTTTTTTCCATAGAAACAATGTCATTCAGGGAAGGTAGGCTTCCTGGCCTCCATTGAAAAAACCTATGTAACTGGGCCTGAAATATAGTGCAATTTTAAAATCTCAGACCTGTGATTTCATTGGCATAGAGATTCCCATAAAGAAGCTCTCTCTCTACCAATGCAGATCAGTATCTGTTCTCCATTATGGTCACAGAATTGCCTGGAGTCAGTAACCAGCATGTGTCAGGGCAAAGATGAATTCCGGCTTTTCTGATTCTGAGGTCAGTTGTCTCTATCCACTACACCAGGCTGACTCTGAAGGGTCTGGTTCTCTTGGTAGGAGCACCAGGAGAGAGGGACTCTTTCTGAACATTGGAAAGGGGGAGACATAAAGTAGATATCCTTTCCTATTGGCGTAATTGTTATTTGCTAGACACAACATTCCATCATTCCTTTCTGTGCATTTTTATAGGATGTTCTCCATGCCTAGAATTCTCTCTCCTTAATGCTCCCTCTTAGAATCCCTTATTCCTTCTAAGACTCAGTTCAAATGCCACCTCCTATACAAGGCCTTTCCTGATTCTATCAATTCTTAGTGCTCTCTCTCCCCAGATGACTTTGTATTTATTTTGTATGTTGTTGTTGAGTTGTTTCAATTGTGTCTGACCCTACTTGGGGTTTTCTTGGCAAATATATTGGAGTGGTTTGCGTTTTCCTTCTCCAGCTCATTTTACAGATGAGGAAACTGAAGCAAACAGGGTTAAATGACTTGCCCAGGGTCATATAGCTAGTAAGTAGCTAAGGTCAAATTTGAACTTAGGTCTTTCTGATTCTAGGCCCAGTGCTCTATCCACTGGACCACCTAGCTGCCCCAATCTATATATTAATATATTTTACATGTATTATATATTTACATATTATATAGTTTATATATATTACATATTTTATATATATTATCATTACATTTATTATATTTCACACATATTTATATATTATGTTTTATATATCTACATGTATTATCTATTTTAATATATATTATATATAATTTATTTTGCACATATTATATATTTACTGTCTGTGTGTAAGGTTCTGCCCTTTTGTATGTGAACAGTTTGCTGAAAATGGCGATGAAAGAACATTTTGTATAAGGAAAATTGATAAAATCCATTGTGAAGAAACAGCCTCTCAGGTAAATGTTGAGGAGACACAGACTGTTCCATGAAGCAGTTGGAGAACTTCCCCTTAGAATTCAGCACTTCTTAAACTGTGTGTTGTGACCCCATATGGGGTCGAAAAAAAATAAGGCAACAGTAAAAGATTTCCGAATGCACAACAGCCAAAAATTAATCCAATGAACCCAAGGTGTTTCTGGCAGTGCTTGCCTCTGTTGAATAGCACAACTTCACCGAAGCCTTGCTTCTGAACACACAGCCTGTGCACTTTGCACCGCGCATGCCCTCAGGCCACGCAATGCCAATGATTGCTCCAAAAACGCAGTGGAAAAAGTTTAAGAAGCCCTGCCTTAGAGGAATGTATGGAGAGAACCTGTTTGAAGGCAGGGTCATGACTAAAGTTAAGTGGTTTCATATCATTGTGATCCATTAGTTCATCTACATTGCACTGTTTTTCAGACTTTTAAAAGTTACAGCAGACAAAATTATAAATCAAATAACTGTCCAAGAATGTTGGGAAGTCTTTTTTTTTTTTTGGCTAGGCAATGGGGTTAAGTGACTTACCCAGGGTCACACAGCTAGTAAGTGTTACGTGTCTGAGGCCGGATTTGAACTCAGGTCCTCCTGAATCCAGGGCCAGTGCTCTATTGGCTGAGCCACCTAGCTGCCTCTGGGAATATTTTATAAGGACTGGAGGGTTCATACTTAATAGAAATGCTTATGAATTTTACCTGATAAGGTAAAGATGAGTCACTGATGACCAGGAGGCTCTGATCTGAGGCATTAGAAGCTGTAAAGATGCCAGAGAAGAAGCTACAGGAAGAGATAAACAGAAGAAGAAGCGAGAGAGTAAACTGAGCAAACGTGGAGTCACGATGAGGCGGGAGCATAGAAGGCTGGAAACAGCACAGCTGGCTCTTCAGCTGCTTTGCTGGAGACTTACTGATGAGAAGAGAGGGATAGCTTTGTTGATTGGCTAGAGATAGGCTGGAGGGAATGCTAGAGGAAGCTTGCCAGAAGGAAGCAGTTAAATCCTGCTTGTGCAAAGAACTACTGGGGGCTTATTACTCTCTTTGAGTGCCACCTATAAACTACAGGAGGGGAAACCTTTCAGGGGTGCCTGTGTTGCCCTCTGCTCACTTCTATGGTTTGAAAAGGGGAGATAGAGAGGGGAAAGATAGGCTTTGTGTCTATTTTGCTGTGAGCTGTGCTTTGCTGTGACAAGAGGCTTGGAAGCTATAGGATGCTAAAGTAGCATCACTTGCTACCTGAGAAGCCTAGAAGTTGCCTGGCTGAAAGGAACTGTTTGTCAATACAATAACGTAACACTTTCTCCTGCCTTGTTAAGGGTGGCTATGAGTGAAAACAGCATGTCACTGCTTCATCAGCTCAAGAGCAAAAGAGGAATGGCTTTGCTCCACAGGAAAGTAGTAAGGACCAGAAGGAAAGCATCCAGCAGAGAATCTTCTTTGTGTGGTGTACATTATTCCTGAAAGGACCAGGATATCAAGGCCTGCAGTCTAGAGTTGTGAGTTTCCTCAGGTATGGGTTTCCTCACTCATGTGCTTCCTTATTATGGGTCTATAAGTGTATATCTATTCTTCCCTGTAGACATTGCCCATATTAATGGAAAAGTGTGAACCAGGTTTATGGGTAGATTGGGATGTTTTGATTATTCTTGTTTTAGCTTTCTATTAAGCAGCTATGATGTTCAGTTATGATTGTTTTTGTCTTCTGATGAGTAAATGTCATGATTATTCCTTCTTCCACTTTGTCATTTAGTAGATATTTTATATTTGAGAATTAATGCTATCATGGTGACTGATTTGGGGCAAATGAGGAATATGCTGGTGGGGCTCAGGAGCTATGGTAGTGAATAGTAGGACTATATCTGCCCCACACCAGGGTTAACTCTAGGACCCTGAAAGAGAGTTTGAGTGGTAGCAGCATGGTGATTGGCCCTCTCTTAGAATCCTGCACTTGGCAGTTTGAATGTAGGTTGGGTGAGCTAACCAGCCCAGAGATTGCAAGTAGGGAGATCCACATGAGTGTTCTTCTCCTACCCCAGGTAGGAAGCAAGATCCTCTCAAAGGTACAAGGACTGCTTATTTTTTGTCTTTCTACTTCCAGGGTTTAGAACATCATCTGCCATTAGTAGGCATTTAATATATGCTTGTTGAGGGGCAGCTTGATGGTGTAATGGATAGAGCACCAGCCCTGCAGTCAGACACTCGATACTTACTAGCTGTGTGACCCTGGTCAAGTCACTTAACCCCATTGCCTAGCCTCCCCCACCCCTGCCCCTGCCAAGTGTGTGTGTGTGTGTGTGTGTGTGTGTGTGTATGTGTGTGCGTGCGTGCGTGCTTGTTGAGTAGAATTGAATATTGTAAAGCATCAGTATGGATTCTTTACATCCAGTACAAGAAAATATATCTCTTTATACCTCTACATCTTCAAATGATAAAGATACCTTTCTAGAGAAACATTGCTTAGCAATTCTAAATTGAACAGAGGCCTGTGGATATTTAGGAAATACAGGAGGCTCAGAATTGGATTACTCGTTTCTAAATGGAGTATTTGTAAATCTGGGAATGATTGGTGTGGTTATAGTTTTGTAAGGGAGAGGAATCAGGGAGAATTAGGTACCAAGGGCTCCTTGGCCTTGGGTTTGAGCTAGTGCTTACCGGGTTTTCACAATAGTGACAGAGGTCATTGCTTCCAACAAAGATGGTGATTAGCTTCCAGTCTTGTTCCAGGTCAATTTCCTGAGGGGATGGAAGACCCAGAGGTTTAGAACTCAGGGGTGTGAGGGGGGCCTACAATGGTGACATCTGGGAGGCAAGTTTTTTGCCTAGCAAGTTTTCTTCCATTTTTCACTTTAGAGTAAGATCCAAGGAAGGGCTGGCTCCTCTTTGGACAGATCCTGAAGTGAACAATGAGGGGAAACCCAGAATTTATTGCCCCACCATGAGTCACTGAGACTAAGCACCACACAGTGAGTGTTATGGAGCAAGTGCATAGATGAGGGGAATGGGAAACAGATTTCATTCAGAAATTCCCTTCAGAAAGCTGCAGCTGGTGAACAGCCAGGCAGCTGCTGGGCTCAGAGACTTTTCCTTGAACTTACAAGGGTTAAGTAGGCAGAGATGACCCAAGGTCTCACAACTGGTGTGATATTGGGGCCAAAGGGAAAGATGAAAAAGATGAACATAGGAGCAAACCCTTCAAGATGTCTCTTGAAGAAGAGAGAGTGAGCAGAGAGAGGGAAGGAACTGGTGCTTATACAAGTCGAATTGACAGAAAGGGGAAACCTCCTGGGTCCTGGTGCTGGGGAAGGACCTCAATGAAGTCCTGTAGCAGGGCTAGGAAGCTTGTTTCCCTTTTAGCTGCCGCCATAACAGGAGCTTTGCTGCTATTGTCAGGAGCTAAATTCCAAAGAATAAGTCATGGAGAAAAAAATGTGCCTGCAAGGTTTCAGGGGACAGGACTGAGGAGCTAAAGGCAGGGGAAAGAGGAAGCATGGAATGAGAATTCTATTTTTAGAACGCAGCCTTTACATAACAGGTCTGAATGAAGTAAAATCATGATTAAGGTGGGCAACAGCTAAAGTCCAGGACCAAGGAGACAGTACCTCACCAATCTCATTTTTTTACCATCTGTACTCTCTCTTCCCCCAAAGATGCATAAGCTCTAAAAGTTAGACTCATAGAGAAGGGAAAGCAAAGTCCAACACGTTCTAGGGAAGGTGTTGTGTTTCTTGCTCCCTGACTCTCTTTTCTTCTCACTGTTCTCTGAGAGATGCAGAAGGTGAAGTTGGGGGACAATCCCATGCCCTTCCCTAATCCAGGTCACCTCCAGACCTCCCCAATGGTGACCCCAAAGACAAGCACTCACCAAGCTGTTCTTCATTCTATCCACTAGTTCACGGGCCTGGCTTGGCATGTCCCTATTCAAGGAAAGAAACGAGAAGAGCTCAGATGAGATTCACAAACAAGGGCTGCCTAAGATAGAACTGGAGGTGTAATGGTTATGTGAAAAGGGCAGTGGATTCAAAGGCTAGGGACAAGGGGTTGTAGACTCCCACTCTGCTTAAATTAGCTGTGTGATGTAGGGTAAGACACCACCTCTCTGGTCTTCAGTTGCCTTATTGGTGAAGTGAGGATGACGTCTTACCTGCCTAAAGGCAGAGGTTGGGGTCCCTTCCAGCTCCAAGATCTCTGATCCTCTGGCTTGTGGTATAGGAATACTTACATTCTCACTAGCTGGTTCCAGTTACCAAAGGGAAGGATGAAAGTGGAGAATGGGTATGCTTTAGGATAGAGCTACAGACTGGCCTGTGAGTTCCTTTTGTATTCATTAGAGGTGAAAGAGCAAGAGATTGGGAAGCAGAAAATCTGGATTCAAATCCCAATTCTGATACTTATCGTTTATGTGATGTTAAGAAAATCATTTTACCTTTTGGTTTTCTTCAAGTCCCAGATAAAATCCTGCCTTCTACAGGAAACCTTTCCTAATCCCCTTAATTCTAGTATCTTCCTTCTGTTGAATATGTCTAATTTATCCTGTATATAGTTTGTACATCATTGTTTGCAAATTGTCTCCCCCATTGGGCTATGAACTTCTTGAGAGCAGGAATCATCTTCTGCCTTTCTTTGTATCTCCACTGCTTGGCACATAGTAGGTGCTTAATAAATGTTTATTGACTGATTGGCTGACTTTCCTGGGCTTAAATTACCTGGTTGATTTGTAAAATGGAGGATGGGATGGGTGGAGCTGGATTTTCTGCAGGGTATCTAATAATCCTAAATCCTTTGACCCTGTGAGGACTAAGATAGGAAAAGGTAGGAACACGAATGAGAAGGAACAGAAACAGAGGATTTGAACAATCAACACAGTGAAGAATCAGCTTCCTGGATAATCAAGGCTTAGCTTTATAATTATATTAATAAGGAGCAACAATGACATGCAGAAACATAGTGACTCTGAGATGCAGCTTATTTTATGAAAAGGAAGCTCTCACTGTCTGACATTGAAGAATTGCCCTCTTTTCCTCTGGCTCTGAGGCTCAGAGGGTGGTACAGTCTGAAAAGAACACTGATGAGAAAGGGGAAGTGAATCAAACCAATTAGATTTCCCCAGGTGATACAAACTCAGTCTTCTAGAAGGCAAAGAATCAGCATGATTGGAGAAAAAAAAATCGTTGGACTCTGTCAAGCTTTCCAGTTTTAATTAATCAGTACAGTTGTTCACAGCAGAAAGGAAGATTAAAAACAAGCAAACAACTGCCCATGATCTTTGGGAGGCTCAAACAGTTAACTCTTTATTAGTAAATGTGGTAGATATGTGACTGAAAGTATTGAGGGACAGAGAGACAAGGCAGAAAAGGGGGAAACTTTGTTGAAGATACCATGGTACCATGCAAATGCAAAGGACAAAGGAATCAAATTGAATGCTCCATAATGATAACGACCAAGCTTAGCACCATAGAATGTTTGAAGAAATGTATCTACCTCACTTCTTGGCCAATTTGGGGGAGTATGGGTATGGAATATTGTACATACTTTTATCCACAGTTAATGTATTGGTTTGCCTTGCTAAATTTCTTTTTCTATTTTCTATCTTTTATAATCTTTGTTACAACGAATGGTTTGATGGGGAAGGGGGAAGGGAGGGATCCATTTTGGAAATAAAAGCGAGATAAGAACAAAAGGTATCAATAAAAAAGGTAATTTTTTAAAAATCTGGTTGTATTGATTAATGTTGCTGCTCCCTAGTTCATTTATTTTTTTGTTTTTTGTTTTTTTTTGGCTAAGCAATGGGGTTAAGTGACTTGCCCAGGGTCACAGCTAGTAAGTGTTATGTGTCTGAGGCCAGATTTGAACTCAGGTCCTCCTGAATCCAGGGCCGGTGCTTCATCCACTGTGCCACCTAGCTGTCCCCTCCCTAGTTCATTTAGAGGTAGCGAACTGTAGATGCCAACTTAACCCATTTCCTAATCCTGTAACCTTGGGCATAAGGTCAGAGGGTACAACGAGGAACAAAGAGGGAGTTCAATTTTATCTTTCCACCAAATTGGCTTACTTGCTGTTCCATGTTGCTGCTGCTCTCCCCTTCAGACTGGATCTCCTGAAATGATGCCCAGTGGGGTTAAGCCACCTAGCTCCAAACTCCCACCCTGGGACCATGCTTCTTCCCTCCTCTCCCAGACACCAAGATTAACACTGGAAAAGTTACTGAAATCAACACTACCTTGCTTCTGGAAAGGCCAGGTCAATCCATAGACTTATTGCTCAACTCATCATCCCTGAAACTTCCCAGCCAAAAATACACTTTCCTGGTTACCAATCCTCAATCTCTCCCTATTAGAATGTAAGATCCTTGAGGACAGGGCCATCTCACTTTCATATTTGTATTTCTAGGGTGTGGCATAGTTTTTGTAACATAGTAAATGCTTAATAAATGCTTTTTCAATCATTTTTTTCATTCCCAAATTCTTCATAGATTGCATTGTACCTTCTACCTCCCTGGCTTTGCAGAGTCTGTATCCCACTCCTGTTGTGCTCTACCTACTTACTTCTTAGGATTTGTAGTTTCCTTTAAGGCTCAAATGCTACCTCCTACATGAGTCTTATTCTGATCCCACAGTTGCTAGTGCCCTCCTCCCAAATTATTTCTTGCTCTCTACCTTAGCTACCACTCTTTTCACAGAATCAAAAAATAAGCCCTGAGGAACTTAATGCTTTCAGCTCTGGAACTCTTGTCCTAGGCCCCATGATACCCTAAGTGTCAAGTGTTGCTCATGGCCCACCGTATGGAAGCCAATTCTAGCCGTCTTTACTACTGCATACCATCCATCCAACCACCATCCACTCTCCCACCCTTCAAATAAGTGGGCATGTTCTGATCAGTGCTATCATTGATAAAATCATTATTACCATTGTTATAGGAATGAGTATCAGTCTATATCTTTGTGGCTCCACTTACCATTCAGGTGACTTTTCAAACTGAATCACTCCTCCCCTTTGCTATATTTGTTGTCACCTTTTTAGAATATAAGCTCCTTGAAGGCAGGGTCCATCTAGGTTTTTTAAAGTTTATATCCCCTGGAGCTGCTAGGTGGCACAGTGGATAGAGCACCTGCTCTGGAGTCAGAAGGACTCGAGTTCAAATCCGGTCTCAGATCAGACACTTGACACTTACTAGCTGTGTGACCCTGGGCAAATCACTTAACCCCATTGCCTAGCTAAAAAAAAAAAAAATTATATCCCCAGTGTTTAATACAATGTTTTGTACCATAGTAAGCATTACATAAATGCTTTTTCATTCATTCATTTGTATGGATTTTATATTTATCTGTATACATGTTATTTCCCCCAATAGAATGTAAGGTCTTTAAGGGCATTCACTATTTTGTTTTTATTAGGCACATAATTTGTGCTTAATAAATATTTGTTGGAGAAATAAATGAAGATGCATAGAGGCAGGTTTAGCCTTGATGGAACAACTTCTAACATTTAGAGGTGTTCAAAAGTAGAATGAGCTGCCTCAGCAAACTGTACGCTCTCTTGCTCTCTCTCTCTCTCTCTCTCCCCCCCCCCCCCCCCCGCTTCCCTCTCTCCCCCTGGAGGTCATTGAGGAAGGGCTAAATAGCCATTTGAAGGCTATATTGTAGAGGGGATAGAATAGATGGGTGCTGAGGTTCCTTCTAACTCTCAGATTTTGTGATTCTCTAATCAGATTTGAAGGCTTCGAAAGGACCTGAGAGACCATCTAATCTAAATACTTCCTGATGCATAAATCTATATATTGTTTCTGACAAGTGCATGTTCAATTTCTCTCCAACACCTTGAAAGTCATTTATAACCTCTCTGAGCTTCAGTTTCCTCATCTATACAATAGTAATAGTAGTAGTATAATAGTAATCTATACAATTCAATTACAAAAGTAATAACCTTGCTTATAGGGTTATTTTGAAGATCAAATGAGATGAAAAAAGCACTTTGTAAACATAAATTGTGTTATAAATATAAAGGATTGTTATTGTAAAGCCCTCAATTACCTATATTTGAACTCATTCTCCACTATACAAATTAGGGACAGCTGGTCTGATTTATGAATGCCAATGACTTGGCCATTGAGCCATGGATTTGCTCTCATTAATTAACTGTCCGGGACTGGAAACCAAGAAACCCAGACTCTATTTGGGTTCTTTCACTAATTTGCTGTGTCCTAGGTCACTTTATCTCTTGGACCTCACTTTCTTCATCTGTAAAAGGAGATGATTAACAGAGATAATCTCTAAGGTCCCTTCCAACTCTATAAACCTGTGCTTCAATTTTTCTCCTCTAGCTGCCTCAGTGTGCTCCTCCATTTAACTCTCTATTCCCATTTCCCCCTTTTTTCATTCCCATCCTTTTCCTCACTAGACCAGAAATTCTTACATTTAGAGCTATAAAGGACCATAGAGACCACTAATCCAATTGCCTCCTCTTAGAGAAGAGGAGAAACTGAGACGCAGAAGAGGATGAATGAAGTGCCAGAATTAGAATCTGAACCCAGGTCCTCTCACTCTGAATCCTGAGTTCACTCCACTGCTTTCATTGAGTTTACTTACTGTGCCATGGCCCCTCCTGCCGCTACATTTAGTCCAGCTGTCTCCTTCTGGGTACCGGTGGAAAATCCATGGAGATGGGGGTTAAATTTCTTCAAAATATCTTTTCAAAAGGGAAGAGATAGAAAGTATGAGAGAGGGGCAGCAGGAGACTCAGTGGACTTGAATTAGATGGTCTTGAGAAATGACAGTTCTTTGGAGCCCAAGCTTTTTAGGCCTTTCCATTTTACAGAGATAGGTCCCCCCTACCCCCCCCCCTTTTTTTGGTCACAACCTTCCAGAAGGCAAACTCTCTAAATCTGGGTTTCCAGAAGGGGTGTTTCTTGCTTACGTTACTTACTTGGCAAAGTAGTGTGAGTTTCTAAGACTCCATCTCCTCCAATGCTAGGGGAGGAAAAGTAGAACCATAGAAGGGGAAATCAGTAAGCTTTCTCCAAAAAGTCAAAACCTCCAATATTTTTAAGCACCTACTTTGTACAATAATCCCTACCCTTAGGGAGTTTACTGTCTAGTGAGGAATAACTACCCTCTCAGTGCCCCCAAGCACCCTAAGACAAAAAATTGCAGATAATGTGCTAATCTTCATTGGCTGCAGGAGTTCCTCACCAAAACTCCTTATATGGAAGAAATCACAGGTTCAGTTTTTAAAAAGGAAATAGGGATTTCCCTTTCCTTGCAGAGGTGGAGGGCTATGGGTTTAGAATATTGCATATATCATGAAACAGTCTTTATTCTTTGTGACAAGGAATGGCTTTCTGAGTAGAGGAAATGAAGGTAATGTAAAAGCAAAAGATATCAACAAAAATATGATTAAAACAAAAAAAAGTAGGTCAATAGATGGAAAGAGAAAACATTCCAGGTGAAGGGAATGGCCTGGGTGGGGACATGGAGATGTAAGACTACATGGCATGTTGAGGAGATTTAAAGAGATAAATGCCCAGTCTGATTAGAACATAGTATGCAGGAAGAGAAGTAATATGACATGAGGCAGAAAAGGTATACAGTGGTGCCAAGTGGAAGGCCTTCAATGCTAAACCAAGGAATTTGACAGTTCTTTGGAACTTTATTTGCATGGCAATAGGGAACCATTAAAAGATTTGGAGCTGAGGAACGACATGACTAGATTTATGCGTAGGAAAAATTATTTTGAAGAGACTGGAAAGCTGGATTAGGGGAAGACAAGAGTGGAGGTGGACTACTGTAAAGAGGCTGTGTTATAGTTGGAAAGGATGGCCATGAGGTCCTGAATGAGGGTGGTAAGGGTGGAAACAAAGAAAAGGGGATAGAAACTCTTTGAAGAGACAGGGCTTGGGTCTTATTCCTGCACAAAGTAGTCAGTGGGTTGTGGAAGAAAGAACACCTGTCAAAGTCATATGATGGTTCTACCACTTCCTGGCTATGTGGTCTTGAGTAAACCACCTTTCTGAAGGTCATTTTCCTTCATCTCTGAAGTGGGTATATGAACACTTGTGCTACATACTGCATAGGTCTCTTCTCCTTTCTCTCTCTCTCTCTCTCCCCCATCATATCTCTTCTCTTATGAGGAAAACACTATGTAAACTTTCAAGTATCTTTTAAATGTTTTCATTCTTGAAAGAAGTGTTTGGTGATTGGAATATCTTCTGGGTTCCCCACCCAGATTCTGAAGCCCTGACTTTACTACAGGGTCCACCTCTTTATCTAAACCTATGGACCAGCATTCCTTGCAACATCTCCCCCCCCCCCACCCCCAGGATCTAACACAAAGGAAAGCTCCTAAGGATGTCTGGATGTACCTCAGTTCTGGACAGATGCTAGGCATAACTCATATTCATATTGGGCTTCAAGGTTTACAAAGCACTTTCCTCAAAACAACCCCATGAGGTAGGTATTACCATCTCTATTTTATTAAATGATAAATTAACAGCTTTATATTATAGAGGAGGAAACTGAGGCTGAAAGATTAAGTTGCCTGTCTAGGATTCCACAGATAGCAAGTGTCAGAGTTAGGATCTGAACTCAGGTCTCCTGACTCCAAATCCAGAAGTTTCTACTAGATCATGCTGCCTCTTAAGGACCCAAAACCTGCCCTTAAGAGGAGTAAGGAGGGGCAGCTGGATGGCACAGTGGATAGAGCATGGCCCTGAAGTCAGGAGGACCTGAGTTCAAATCCGGCCTCACACCAAACACTTGACACTTACTAGCTGTGTGACCCTGGGCAAGTCACTTAACCCCAATTGCCTTAAAAAAAAAAAAAAGAGGTATAAGGGATAATTTCCTTCTGCTACAGATGAAACACAGCAAAGATGCCTCTAAGGACCTGAGTCACCAACAGAAGAGTCAAGAGGAGCCTCACCTCCAGGACAGTCCCCTCCAAGCTGTGGACAGGTTAGCGATGTTTTCTGCTGCAGCTCCTACAGCTGTCTGGGAAAGGCAAGTGGAAGAGTTCATGAGTAGTGTGGGCTCGGGCCCTGTTGGAGGGGACTGAGAAAATCCTCGTGCTGCAGATGAACTGACTTTGGCCGAGTGGTACAGGTGGAGAGTGACCTGGGCTGGGAATCAGAAGACCTGGATTCTAGTCTTTGCTGTGCCATTCACTACCTGTGTGACCTTCAAGTCACTTAACTTCTCTGGGTCACAGTTTACTCATTTGTAAAATGAGGAGGTTGGACTTCTATGTTTTCTAAGGTCCCTTTTAGTTGTATATCTATAATCCTAAATACTAGAAAAACAATTTAGTGGGCACTTGTTCAGTCCTGTCTGACTCTTTGTGAGCCCATTTGGGGTTTTCTCGGCAAAGATACTAGAATAGTTTTCCATTTTTTTCTCCAGCTAATTTTATAGATGAGGAAACCGAGGCAAACAGGGTTAAGTGACTTGCCCAGGGTCACACAGCTGGTAAATACCTGAGACCAGATTTGAACTCATGAAGATGAGTCTTCCTGACTCCAGACCTGGCACTCTATGCACCATGGCTCCACCTAGCTGTCCTGTCATCAGGCACATCTGACTAATAATAATCAACCCCTGCTTGGTGTATATTTCCCAATGTTATTATTCCTTTTCCTCCCTCACTAGGAGTTCTCTTGAAATAGGGATGTTGTTTGGCTGTGAGTTTCCTAATCTTCCTTCTCGCCACCTGAAATATGACTGTGTCTACACCCAATTTCTTTTCCTCTTGGACTCATCCTTTCTAAGGCTAACCCTTCTGCCCTTCACTTTTCCTGATCTTAATTTCATCCTTTTCTGCCTCTGAGTCCTGATTATTTTCTCAGTTTCTTCCATTGCTTGACTTCATTTTCAGTCTCTTCCTCTCCCCTCACTCTCTGCCATCAAACATGTACAGTTCCATACTCTTAAAAAAAATAAAAAAACAAACCAACCCCCTCCCAAACCCCAAACTTTAAAACAAAACCATCAGCCTTTCACTTGACCCTGGTTTTTCCTCTGCATAAGCATTCTAATTTCTCTCCTTCCTTTCATTGCCAAATAAATTGCTGTAAAGATTCATACTTATATCATTCCTTAAATGGTGTAAACCCAGCTGCTTCTACTTGCTACCTCCATACCCACTTTTTTCTTAATCCCTGTCATACACACACACACACACACACACACACACACACACACACACACACACACACACACACACACACACACACACACATATTTAAATATGAAAAGAATTCTGGAAGTAGGTATGATTTTACTGCATAAGTAACTCCTGGTGTGGTAAAGTGCCAACAAGGTTCCCAAGGAGGACTATTTCTATTTAGTGGAACATTTCTAAGCAAATTGTCTGAGGCCCAGAGAGGTTAAGTCATTTGTCCAGGGGTCACACAGCTAGTATCAGAAATAGAAATTGAACTCAGTCTTCCTGACAATAAGCCCAAACTCTATCCATTACATCTATTATTAGTAAATTTCTATTATTCTACATGATAATCATGATAAAAAGTATGAATAGGACCTGTAACTTTAAAGTTACAATGCTTTATTGAGATAAAAACAACTCTCAAAACTTCAAAACTACTCTTTGAGGGAGGTCCTAGAGAAATTATCATCCCTATTTTACAAATGAAGAAGTAAAAATAAAAGGTAGTGGATGCTCAGTGACAATTCAGAGTTTATATAGCACCTGCCATAGAAGATCTGCAGCATTTGACCCTGCTGACCATCTCCTTAACAGCTCTTTCCTCCTTTGGTTTCTATGACAACACAGTATTCTGGTTATCCTACCTCTCAGTCCATCTTTTCTTCTCTGTCTCCTTCAAAGGCTCTTCTTTCTGCTCCCTAAATGTAGGTATTACTCAAAGTAGAGTGCTAGGCCCTCTGATCTTTAATTCTCCCTATCTATTAGCTTTTCCCCCACTTCCTGTAAACATACCCATATCTTCTCCGTCCTTCAAAACAAAACAAAACAAGCAAACAGAACAACCCTCACTTGATCCTATTCTTTCTACAAGCCATCATCCTGTATTTCTCCTCCCCTTCTTGGCTAACCTCCTTGAGAAAATTGCCTTCCTTCCATTCACTTCTAAACCTGCTTCTCCAAGAAGCCTTTCCTGAGCCCCTTTAATACTAGTTCCTCCCCTCTGGTAATTATCTCCAATTTTAAAAAAATTACCTCTCCAATAAAAAAAAATCTTGTTCCTACATGACTATTTGTATGCTGTCTTCCACTGTAGACTGTGAGAGCTTCTAAAATAGGGACTGATTTTTTACTTTCTTTTTACACTTATCCATTACCAAAGTGCCTAATGCTTCATCCTTGTTGACTGACTATAGTTTTGCTTCCAACCTCATCATCCAACTGAAACAGATGTCTCCAAAGTTAACATGATCTCTTACTTGCCAAATCTAATGGCTTTTTGTCAATCCTCATCTTTTTGACCTCTCTGCAGCCTTCGACCCTGAGGAACACCCTCTTCTTGATGTTATCTCTTGTGCAGGTTTTCCTGACATTGTTCTCTCCTAGTTTTCCTCATTTTTGTCTAACTATTCTTCCTCAATCTTTTTTGCTGGATTTTTGAGGTTACACCCTCTGACCACGGGTGTTCCCTAAGACTTTCCAGAGCCCTCTTCTCCCCCTATACTATTTCACTTGGTGATCTCATCAGTTCTCATGGGTTCAATAATCACCTCTCTGCAGATGATTCCAAGAATTATATAACCAGCTTTAATCTCTCTCCTGAGTGCCAGTTATCATCATTCACTGCCACTTGGACATCTCAAACTCAACATGTTCAAAACAGAACTCATTTTCTCCTTTCCCTAATCCTTTCTCTCTTCCCAACTTTCCTAATATTGTTGAGAGTGCCACCAATCTTCCAGTTACCTAGGCTTTGAACCTTGGTGTCATCCTTGACTACTCACTTACATTCTTCCCACATATCCGATCTGTTGTCAAGTATTGTTTCTACCTTTTCATATTCTTTTTTTTTCTCTGACACTGCCACCACCCTAGTGCAAAGCCTCATCACCTCTTAGACTACTGCAATAGCCTTCCAATTGGTCACCCTGCCTCAACCCTCCCCATTCCAATCCAACTTCCTTTCAGTCGCCAAAATGATCTTCTTAAATTTAGTGCAAGTCTATGTTACCACTCTACTCAATAAATTCCAATGGTTCCTTATTACTTCCAGGATCAAATATAAAATACTCTATTTGGTTTCTAAAGCCCTTCCTACCTTTTCCATCTTCTCATACTTAATCTCTACCCTCTACCCCCACATACTCTGTGATTCAGCTATGCTAGCCTGCTTGTTCAGGGAAGTCCATCTCCTGATTGGAATGTTCTCTCTCATTGCCTCCACCCCCTGGTTTCCCAAACTTCCTTCAGTACTCAGATTCTACCTTCCCATCCACCTCTGTCTCTTTTATCTGAGATTACCTCCCATCTACACTGTTTATATTGTATATACTGTGTTATTTGCATATCATCTCCCCCATTAGAATGTGAGCATCTCAAGAGCAGGGACTGTGCTTTCCCTTTTTCTTTGTATTCCCAATTCAGTGTTTTAAAGACAGCAGCCAGGAAAATCATTCAAATCACTTAGTAAGCTCCTCTCTTAATGAGTCAAAATCATCATTTTCACCCTCTGGTCCTGGTTCTGTCCTTTGGAGCCAACCAGAATAAACTGAATCCATTTCCCACATGACAGCCCTTCATAGACTCGAAGGGGGGCATGAGATTCTCCTCAAGCGTCCCCTTCTTCAGGTTATATATTGCCAGCTCCGACTAGCTATCGGAGCAGGGAATGGTTTCTAGGCCTTTCGGTATTCTCACTGTCTCCCTCTGGGTGCATCCCAACTTGTGATAGGATCATAGATCTGGAGCTGAAAGGGCCTTTAGAAGCCCTTTGCTCCAGCCACCTAGTGCATAGTGGAGCTGAGATTTCAACCCAGTTTCTTTAACCCTAAATTCAACACTCATTCTATCATTCCACACAATGGATACTGTTTCTAATAAGAGAAGACAATACATTAGTTGTGGCAGAGGACGATGGGACCAACATCTCTCTTCCCCCTCCCCACACATTGTACTTCTATTAATGCAACTTAGGTTCATATTAATTTTTTTTGGCTATCATGCCACCGTTGACCTATGAGGCCAGGTTGAAGGCAATGGGGATACTCAGATTGGAGAAAGGAAGGCTTAAGGGGACAGATGTCTCCAAGTGTTTGAAGGGCTGTGAGGTGGAAGAGGCTGTTCGCTTGGCACCAGAAGGCAAACCAGGAACAACGGGCAGAAGTTACAAAGGGAGCAATTTAGGTTTGAAGTCAAGAAAGACTTCCTAAAAATTGGAGCTGCTCAAGAGGGGGATAGAGTTCCTCAAGAGGAGGTGGGCCCCCCCACCTCCTTTGGAGGTCATCAAGCGAAGGCTGAATGACCGCTTGTCAGGTACGTTATCATAGGGATCTCTTTTTCAGGTGTAAGTTGGATTAGATGGCCTTGTGGGTGCCATCCAACTCAAAAATCCTATGATTCTCTGAGCTTGCAGTCCACTAAGTCCCCCAGATCATTTTCGCAATAGTAACTGCCTAGCCGTAACTCCCTCATTCTGTGCTTGTGCCACTGATTTTTAAAAATCTAATTCTTGTCTTTGCCTTTGTCCCTATTAGGTTTCACCTTATGAAATTCACCCCCTCCTTCTAGCCTATTGAGTTAAGATCCCATTTCTGTCATCAGAGTATTAACTATCCTTTCCAGCTTAGTATCATCTGTGAATTGAATAAGCATGCCATTTCTGTCTTCATCTAGCCTTGCGGTCCCTCATTCTCCTATACAAAGTTTCTTTTCCAAAGAAACCAGCCTACTTTACGTCACCGAAAATATTTTTCATTTTTCAATCATTGTGCATTCCCCTCACTGGAATACCCTGGCCTCTCGTCTTCACCCATCTAAATCCAACTTGCCCTTTAAGGGTTAGTGGAAGTCACTCCCATATTCCCTGAATCTCTCAGCTCAAAGTGACCTCCCTTTTTTTCTATAGCAGCGGTTACTATTCTCATTTAGTATTTATCACACATTACCTTTTCCCCTCCCTCCCCCAACTCTCTACTTATACAAATCCCCCCACCCCAGGCAATGGGGTTAAGTGACTTGCCCAGGGTCACACAGCTAGTGAGTATCATGTGTCTGAGGCCAGATTTGAACTCAGGTCCTCCTGACTCCAGGACCGATGCTCTATCTACTGCGTCATCTAGCTACCCCCTACTTGTGCAAATCTTATTTTTCAAAGTGACTGTAAGCTCCTTGAGGACAGGGGATGTATCTTATTCGTATTTCTCTGTCCTCCACCCCCACCCGATCATCCCAGACTCCCTTGCATGGCAAAGGACAGAGCTTGGTATCAAGTAAGGATCCCACAAAATATTTGTTGAACAATTGATTACATTGCAGGGCTAAGGCTGGGCAAGGGGCTGACTTGGCTGTGCTTAGCTGACCCCTAAAGTGTCTGGTTCCCCCGGGGAGGTGAGGGTGAAACAAGTGTTTCAGGCTTAGTACTTACAGTCAGCGAATCTCCCAGAGCTGCAACCACCTTGATGTCAGCGGGTTGGAGCTGGTGGACTGAAGGAGACAAGAAAGCAGGACCTTTGCTGTGCTGTCCATCTTTAGAAGACAATGCCGAAAGGGAGGGGATGGTAGGAATCAGGGCTGTTTGCACTCACCTGATGTGGGAGCCCTGCTGGATAGCTCCTGCTCAGGGCACAGGAAGTCACTGCCCCAGTTCTTCAAAAATAAGCAAGAGAAGAGAAATCCACTTTATATGTGAGAAAGAAGGTTATTATGCATTATTGTATTATGTTATTATAATAGGTTATTATGCGTATTATACATTATGATTAACATTCGTAATGTAGAGAAATCAGTTCCAGCCCAGAGCTACCCACCAATCTTTAACTAAGTCCAGATCTCAGCAAAGTAGGGTTGTGTTGGTGTAGGGATTATATAAGGTTAAAAGCTATATTTAAACATTCTCATACAGTGCCCGGAGAAGATGGAATGCGTAAATGCATCCCATGTATAGATTTACTTACATCACTCTTTTAAGTCGCTTGTATTTTACAATGCCCTCTGCTTGACATTCAAGGCCTTCCACGACATGGATCTCACCTGACTTTATAGCTTTTGCCTCACATTCCTCCCATTCTTTGAATATATTTCCTGACTTTCCCACCTCCATGTCTTTGCTCTCCCTTATCCTTAGAATGCCCTCCTCATCATTTCTGCCTGTTGAAATGCTACTCATCTTTTAAGGCTCAGCTCAAATGCCACCTCCTTTTTATAGCTTTCCCATATCTCAGCCAGGAGTGACCTCTCATAATGCCTGCTTATACCTCTCTCCTGCACTCTCACACTCCAATTCGCATAATGTTTGTATACCTATCTTAACCTCTTCTACAGTTATTATAATTGTTTGCTCCTCAAGGGGTAAGGCTTTCTTTTTATCTACTTTGGTCTACCAGCTTTGTACATTGTAGGCATTCAATAAATGCTTGCTGGATTGAATTATAAAGGCCTGGCAGTATCCCAAGACAGGCAGGGGCTGGTCATTGGTATTTTGCATAGTGGATAAGGAGGAAAGAAACAAGCATTTACTGAGTACCTATAGTGCCAGACACTGTGCTAAGCCTTTACAAATATTATCTCATTTGATCCTCACAATGACCCTGGGAAGTATATGCTATTATTATCTTCCCATTTTCTAGTTGGGAAAACTGAGGCAGATAGACATTAAGTGATTTGCTGAGGGTCACACAGGTAGTAAGTGTCTGAGGCTGGATTTGTACTCAGGTCTTCCTAACTCCAGGTCTAACACTCTTATTTACTGTACCATCAGTTGCTAGAGACTGATGCTACCTTATCATCAATTTCTTAAGCCAGCACCTTACCGTATTCTCTCCCAGAAGAGCTGTCATTATTATTTTTATTTTAAAAATGAAGCTAATTGCAATACCAAGGCCTAAGCAAGAAATAATTTGTAACTTGGAATTTTTATTTCTTGTGCTGGTACCACATATCAGGCCTGGAGGAGGAAAAGAAGAACGACACTACTCCATGGAGGAAGACTGAGACCCTGGAAAACACTATGAGTCTGTTGGTGAAGAGTCTGTTGAATGTGAGGAAAGAATAGGCTCAAAAGATGGAGAAGTAGCCCCCTCCCCACTCACTGATTGGTAGCTTCCTATTTTAATTGATTATTCTTAGAAACTAGATCCTGAGCACCATTGTTTCTAGCTGGTGGAGGACTACAAAAGCTGTCAGAACCTTGTAAATCTGATGCCCTGGGGCAAAGCCCTCATTGTGCCACCCTAGTTACAGGAAACGTTTTTGGAAAAGCATGCCTATTTCACAAGCATCATGCTACCAGCTTTTCCACATATTCTTGGCTGTAGAATTAAGAAGTGCTATTTCTCTGGACACATAAACTTAGGGATGATTAGAGGAATTCCTGCAATATGGTAGCTTCATCCAAACTCAAAGCAGTGTGCTTGTCATACCTGAAATACAAGAAGCAAGTTTTTAAAGTGTCAGGGGCAGAAGCTGGTGAAGCCTTCAGATGAGTGGTGGCCAAAGCTACAAATGCATCAAGGCCCCACAGCATCAAATAAAGGGTGTTATGCTGTGGGCCTCCCTCCCTCTCTCCACAAGAGCCACTCCCAGTGGCTGCTCGGACTTTGAGGCACACAGCGGGTTCTACAGAAATACTTACTGATTGGGGATTTGATTTTCTAGGGGGGTCCAATGGCCAATACCCTTTGATGCATTCTTTTCTCTATTTAAAAATCTGGCTGAGCCCAATTTTGTTAAGATGTCTTAATTAGATTATGGGGCACCCAATATGTAATCAGTTTCAAATGGATTTAATAGAAATCTCACTCTGATGTTCCTCCATCATTTCAGATTGTTTGGAAGATTTTGGGAAGATCGGACCCATCATTTAGCTTGTTTTCAGAGACTGGTCAGTTTAAACTCAATGACATATTCCCTATGTTAGTCTTGAAAACTAATCCAAATAATGAAGCTCGGTTTTAAATAAGAAATGTAGGAAGCAGGGTCAGCTAGGTGGCACAGTACATAGAGCTCCAGCCTTGGAGTCAGAAGGACCTGAGTTCAAATCCCTCCTCAGACACTTGACACTCACTAGCTGTGTGACCCTGGGCAAGTCACTTAACCCCAACTGCCTCACCAAAAAAGGAAATGCAGGAAGAAAATAGGGTTTTTAACATAATATAACTATCAGCACTGGAGAAATATCTCAGTGACTTGCTTTTGGCAGGGCAGTACAAATTTCCCTGCATCAGATTAATGTTTATGACATAAACCAGGCTACAGAAATCGAGAGGGTACATGGTTCTTCAAGGAGGTAGAATGACATGCTGTATATTTAGCAAATGATCTTTATTATATATAAATGGTACAGAAGTAAGGACTGCCTTATCTTCACTAGCTTAGGAGATGTACAAAGTAGCTTGGTAGCTCAGTGAGTAGAGTGTTAGACTCGGAATCAGAAAAACTCGAGTGCAAAACCTGCCTCAGAGACCGTCTAGGTGTGTGACCTTGGGCAAGTTACTTAGCCTCAGTTTTCTCATCTGTAAATTGGGGATAATAATGGCACCCACCACAGAGGGTTGTATCCTGTTAATGTATGTAAAAAGCACATTGCAGACCTTAAAGCACAGTTCAAACGCTAGCTATCTATATAATTACTGATTCAATTCAACAAATACCTACTATGTATAAGGCACTGTGAGAGGTGCTGAGGCAACAAAGACAATCTGCTGTGCTTACATTCTGCTGGTGGGGATGGGATTTCATGTATATAGTATGTGTATACATATGTATGTGCATGTGTGTGTATATGTATATGTAATCTATCTATATATCTACATACACACATACACACAGAAGAGTGAATAAAAAGTAATTGCAGGCAGAATTAATCACTAACATCTGGGGAAAGGAAAAAGGAGGTGTGTAGGAGGTGGCATTTGAGCTCTGAGAGAAGCTGGGAATTCTGCATTCCAGACATGGGCCTGGGCAAAGGTGCAGGGGTGGGAGAAGGAATGTCATGGGCAGGAAAAGAGCTAGCAGACCAGTTTTACTGGAATAGAGACTACATGATATGAAGTAATATGAAATAAGACTGGAAAGGTAAGTTCCCCTACATCCAGAACGTGGAGGCTTAGCATTTCTGGCAACTTCCGAGTTTTTTATTCATAGCTACACTCACATCTTAGGCTCCCTCTCCCAGAAAGGGCCGATTTATGCTACTTGGCTTCATCCTCAGAAAGGGAAACAGTAGGTCCCAGAGAAATCTTCTTACACTTTAATCTCCCCTCCTCCCAGTAACTTACTCTATGATGCAATGACACTGGCCTCCTTGCTATCCCGCGTACAAGACAGTCTGTCTCAGCACTACATATGGCCTTTTCACTGGCTGTCCTGCATGCCTAGAATTCTCCTCCCTGCTTTCCTCTGCCTCCTGGTCTCTCTGGCTTCCCACAAGTCAGTTAAAATTCCACCTTCTGCAAGATCCCTTCCTAGGTCCTCCTCAATGCTTCTGCTTTCCTGTGTCGATTCACTCCATTTTACCCTGTATGTAACTTGTTTGCATATAGTGTTTGCATGCTGTCTCCTCTGTTAGATTGGAAACTCCTTGAGAACAGGAACTTTTTTTTTAGCCAGTCTTCTTTCCTTCTTTCCTTTGTTCCTTCCTTTCTTTCATACCTGGCACATAGTAGGTGTTTGATAAATGCTTGCTGACTTATTGACTTTTCTGACTCTAAATGGTCAATACAACAAGAAGGAAGCTTGTTATGGACCCAGAAACTGGGATTAAAGTTTCTTTTAGCTCAGCAATCACTGAGCAGGAATTCACTGAAATCTCTCCCCCAGTTCCCCACTGACTCCTCCGGAAAGGTTAAACTTGCCTGATCAGAAACAGATGACTGTGAGAACATAGTTGCAAATCTTAAAGAGTAATGGCTAGAGTGGTATTTTCTCCAGCGGTAACCTAGAAACGGGTGACGACAATTCAGGAACATGTTCGGGCCAGTGTTCCAGTATTTACTTTCTCTGATGTAGTCAGATCTGAGTGAATTCTGCTCATCTTGGCTGCCTGGTACCTCTTAGAAGGAAAGGTGTGGACGTTTCCAATCATGCAAATATACCAAACTATGCAATCAGAACATTGCCAGGTGGAAACAATTGGACCTTGTGGAAACACAAACATGTGACCTTGGTCAATTACCTCAATAGTAGGATTGGCTGGGTATGTATAGTTACTGTTCCTGTAGGTCCTCAGGAAGGGCTCCTCCTGTTGGAAAGAGATGGCCACAGTGACTGATCATTAAATAGCAATAAAGGTGAATAATGAGAGAAAAAGAAAAATAATCTAATAATGAGGGGACTGATCTTTGGATAGAGTGAATCCTTTCTAAATAGCTCACTTTCATATTCAATTCAATTCATTCATTCATTCCGTAAGTACTTATTTATTAAGCACTTGCTATGAGTGAAGGACCGTGCTAAGTACTGGGCATACAAAGACAAAACCAAAAGTTTCTTGGCCCTCCACATGGATTTCTCTGATGCCCTCCACGTGCTCATGTTCCCCTACCCCAACTATCTTTATATACAGGTGTCCCAAAAGCCTGAGTGCGCTCAGATTTTTGGGAGACCTACCATACTTAGATATATGTAGATGCCATCTTCCACTGAGTATAAATTCCTTCAGGGCAAGGATTGTTTCACTTTTAACCTCAGAATTTAGCACAGTGCCAGGCACATAGGAAATGATTAATATATGCTTGTAGATTGATTGCCCTCAAGGGGCTTATATTTTAACAATGCATATGCAGATAAGTACTGAATATGTACAGAGTAGCAGAATACTTTTGAGGGGTGGAGTGGACATTAACAATTTATTGGGGTGGGGAGGAGAGGGAGACCAGGAAAGGCCTCCTGTAAGAAGTGGCATCTGAACTGAGCCTTGAATCATTCCTTTCGATCTTTTCTCTCTCCCTAATCTTCAAACCCTTCTTATTTGCTGGCTCCTTCTTAGCTGTCTATGAAAATACCCAGAACTTTTTTAGAGAGAATTTCATTCATTCTAGAGGGTTTTTACTTAACAGCTTTAGCTTGGTGTTTTACAATAAGAGGACCTAAAAATTTCACTTAGTACATGCCAGAATGAAGGCTCCATTCACAAAGCTTAACATGTCTCCATCTCCCTCTGTTACGTTCATAATGTTCCTAAAAGAAATGCATTCCAAAAATGTAATGCAAGAAGGACAGGAGGTCCTTCCCCACTGCAGGAGGTGGTTCTATCAGTGAAGAAGGGTTATTTAATATGGAAGGCATAGCATAGCCTTGGGGTGTTGAGGGCTTGGAGACTCATTCATTCTCTAGACACCTTCTGCCCTACCCCTGCTCCTTGCCCCAAGGAAGCCCGGTGAGACCTTCTGCTTCTAGAAGCATTACGTGCTGGGATGCAGATGCTTCTTCCACCCTCTCCTCACTGACACTCACTTCAACAGGATGCAATACTAGTATCAATGAAATTGCAGATACCCATCTATTGCGCCCATCCCCTAGGTCTCCTCTTGTCTCCATATCTGTGTAATAACAGTAGAAAGCTGCCTTAGCAGAGAGGCAGTAAATGGAGAAGTGGATAGAGAGCTGGCCCTGGAATCAGGAAGACCTGAGCTCAAGTGCTGTCTCTGACATGTTCTAGCTGTGTGACCCTGGGCAAGCCACTTAAGAGTTCTTTGTGTTTCCAGGTGAATCTCTGAGTCTAAGTTGCAAAAGTAAATGCTAATCAGCTTTGAAAGAAGTACCTTACTGGTAGCTCCTACAGAGATGAAGGCACAGGTGAAATCTAAACAATCACAAAATTAAAACTGCGGAAAGAGTAATGGCTCTGGGACCAGAGACCCTATATTTAAAGCCTACCTTTGTCTCTTACCACCTATCTGAATTTGGACAAGTTAACTTCTCTGGGCCTCAGTTTCCTCATCTGTGAAATGAGAGGGTTGGACTAGGTAGTCTTTGAAGTCTTGCTTATTGTTCTAAATCTATGATCCTATGATTCTCATTCCCCTGGTAGGGAACAGTATTCTTTCCAGTAGTGCTGTGCTTCTATGTCCAGTTCTCTGATTATTTTGAGCTAATATTTGTTTTCTTTGAAAGAATAAATTACATATAAATTTGTGATTTTAAAAATAATTCATCTTTCATTGAAGTCCTTCTCCAAGGCCTCATTCATTCATTAAGCATTTATTAGGTTGCCTACTGTATGCCAAGCACTGTGCTAGGCCCTGGGGACATAAAAACAGAAATGAAATAGTCTCTGCCCTCTAGGAGATTTCCATCTATTGGGGGAGGGGGAATCAATAGTTCCAGAGATAGGTAAATATAAAATGCCAAAACAAAAAAAAGTGCTAACCAGGGGCGGGAGAAAACAGCTGAGAGGATCAGGAAAAGGCCTGGGGTAGGAGCTACCAATTGAGTTGAGCCTTGAAGGAAACTAGGGATTCTAAAAGGTGGAGGCGAAAGTTGAGTGCATGCCAGTCATAGGGCACAGCCTATGCAAAGGCACAGAGATAGAAGGATATATATGGGAAACAGCAAGGAAACCAGTCTGGCTAGAAAGCAGAATATGTGAAAGGAAGTCACTCCATTAAGGCTGGAAAGGGAGGCTGGAGCCAGATTGGGAAGGGATTTAAGTGCCAAACAGAAGTGCTAGCATTTTATTTTAGAAGCAAAGAGGAACATGCTGAGGACTCTGTCTGGGTTCTCAAAGGCTCTGCCTGTGCACTGAGTGCAAACCCTGGCAGCTTCTATCAAAAGGAAAGGCTTCTGGAAAGGGCCCATTGAGGTGTAGTGTGGTAGACAAAGTAGGTGCATTGCTGAACTTCAAGTCAGGAAGGCTGGAATTAAAACCTGCTTCTGGGGCTATAAAACTCTGCATACCCTTTGATCCAGCAATACCACTGCTAGGTGTCTATCCCAAAGACATCAAAAAAAGGGAAAAAGACTTATTTGTACAAAAATATTTATAGAGGCTCTTTTTGTGGTGGCTAAGAATTGGAAATTGAGTGGATGCCCGTCAATTGGGGAATGGTTGAACAAGTTGTAGCATATGATTGTGATGGAATATTAATTCTTGTTCCATAAGTATTGATAAGCAGGATGATTTCAGAAAAGCCTGGAAAGACTTATATGTACTGATGCAAAGTGAAGTGAGCAGAACCAGGAGAACATTGTACACAGTAACAGCAACATTGTACAATGATCAACTGTGAATGACTTAGCTATTCTCAGTAATACAATGATCCAAGACAATGCCAAAGGAATAATGATGAAGCATACTATCTGCTCCAGAGAAGAACTAATATTGTCTGAATACAGACTAAAGCATGCTATCTTTAACTGCCTTTTTTTCTTTCATTCTTTTTTTTAAATTCAAGTCTTCTTATACAAAATGACTAATATGGAAGTTTTTTACATGATTGTACATGTATAACCTATAGCTGATTGTTTATTGTCTCAGGGAGGGGGAAGGGAAGGGAGGTATAGAATTTGGAACTCAAAACTTAGAAATAGAAAGGAGAGGCTTAGAGACTTTGGGCAGAAAGAATCACTCCTTAAGGGCAGGGAGAGTTTTTGCTTTGTATCCCAAGCAATTAGCACAGCCATTGGCAGTAGTAAGCGCTTAGTAAATACAGTTCTTGTTGACTCCTGGGCAGCTAATGGATAGAGTACCCAGCCTGGAGTGAGGAAGACTTGAGTTCAAATCCAGCCTCAGACATGTACCAGCTGTGTGACCCTGGGCGAATCAGTTAACCCTGTTTGCCTCAGTGTCCTCATCTGTAAAATGAGCTGGGGGAGGAAGTTGCAAACCACTCCAATATCTCTGCCAAGAAAACCCAGAATGAGGTTACAGAGAGTCAGACATGACTGAACAACAACAACAAACAACAACTTGTTGACTGACTGACTGACAATGGATTGGGTATGGGATGCCAATCAATCAATAAGCATATATTAAACACTTCGGCCCAGGCGGATACAAAGACAAAAATAAAACAATTCTCGGTTATAGTCTATGGGCTGGAGTAGAGAGAAGAGATTGTGAAGGATTTTAAAAACCAAGCTGAGGAATTTGTTTGAGTTAAGGTGACTAAAGTTCCCAGGCTGGGCCACCGGTGTAAGGGGAGAAGGAGACAGATGGACCAATGAGGGTCTAGTTTTCAGAGCACATACAAACAATGTCCGCACAAAGTCTTGGGGAATCTGCTTCCAGAAATGCACGATGGAGGGACCTTTTCCCCCTAGGCTTTAAAATATGCACAGGTATCCTCTCACTGTTTCTGGTTGGCTTACTGTGTGGTGATGAAAAGCCCTTAAATGGGCTGGTGAGGTGGGATTGTGTTCATACAGAAGGCTTGGACAGAGGAACTCTCCCTTTTCTTCCACTTCCTTCTTCCCAGAATTTGATCCCGCTCCAGTCATACACACACACACACACACACACACACACACACACACACACACACATACATACATACACACACACACCCCCTCTGAGTTTCTCTCTAAAACATCCCTGCTGTGAATTCTATGATTGCTGTGTCTTGCAAGGATATGTTACACTGGGAAAATAGAGTCTTATTAATAAAAAGATAGAAAGTCCGGTGCGGGGTGGAGTTAATTTTGAGAGGAAAGTAAAGGGCACATTGAAGTGATGAGAGGGCATCCTTCCATCACTCTCCCTATCTGTCTCTGTCTGTACCTCTCTCTGTCTCTTTCTCTGTCTATCTCTGTCTGAACTTCTCTCTGTCTGTCTGCGTCTTTGTCTGTACCTTTGCATCTCTCTTGTTTCTCTCTCTGTGTACCTCTATCTCTTTCTCTGTTTATCTCTGTCTGTGCCCATGCCTCTCTGTCTCATTCTCTGTGTCTTTCTGTCTCTGTCTCTCTATCAAACCCCATCCTCCAGCCCTGATCTTGAATTAGTTTCCTTTCTGCCTAAGCCAGGAAGAAGAACAACTCTCAAGGTCTTTAGGGACAAAGGCCTCCTCACAAGGAAGCCAGTCCAAGTCTTACTAGAAGGACCGTCACTTATGTAATTGTGGCTATTTCATAGAGTTCCCATGGGGATAGGTGTGAGGATAGATCTGTGCCAGGGCCACTTCTGGGGACTTGCGCTCAACACTTTTGGTGGTGGTGGGAGAGGAGGGGAGAGATGACATTTCATAGGTAGCGCCCCATTCAGAACATGTATTCCTGGAAAAGGCAGCCGTGATGTGGTCCTAGACCTACCCCCTTGCATGCTCCATGGGATGGCCACTAGTATATATAGATAATCAAGAGCCAGCTTTTAAAAAGTTGCCCAATAGAAAGTGCTTTAGAAATAGCTAAAAATGAGAAGCCATTCTACCTGGCACAAGGAGAATGCATCTACAGCTTGATTAGGGGGAGGAAGAGAATGAAAAGACTTGGCAGCCACCTCTTCCTCCTCGCCCACCCTGCTCAGGTCCTGCCTGTTAGCACTATGTTTAGATTTGGTTCCATTTAAAATGCTTGCTGCCTGTCCCCCTAACACACATGCAGATTTATATAGCTTTAAGTCACAGAGGAATGTAGCAGATGGAGCTCAAGGCTGGCAGAGTGAGTTGTCTTATGTAGCAAAAGATGTGCTTGCCAACAGATGGACCCTCTTGGAATGGATTCCAGAGTTGCTTAGCAACCATGCCTCTTTGAAAAGGACCTCTATAGGTTACTGGAAGGAGGATGTACCCATTCAACTTTGTAGCCTTGGACTTGCTCATCTCACAGGGGAAAGGGATGGCTATATTGTCTTTCAAAGAGATGGGGGGATGGGGGCAGGGAAAACAGAGTCAGGGAAGTCCAGGTTTAAATCCTACCTCTGACACTAGCTGTGTGACCATGGGAAAGTCACTTAATTTGGGGGCCTCCGTTTCTTCACACACAAAATGAGCCTTTAAGACACCTTATGAGATCTATAGTACCTATCTCACAGGGTTGTTGTGAGGTTCAAATGATATAATGTTGACAAAGTGTTTTGCAAACGTAAGTAAATGTCAGCTGTCATCAACGGGTTATCCCAGCTGACTTCTGGGAAGGAGGAAATATTAGATTTCCGGGGCATCTCCCCTTTTGCCCACCAACAGTGAAGATTGTAATGGTTGCCTAGAAAGGCAGAGGTACTGATTGCTGACCAATACTTTTCCTGCCCCCAGGAAGAATGACTATCTTGGGATCATTGCTTAAGCCCAGTAGAGTCTCTTGAAGAATTGACTCCTCTGGAAAGCAACAAGTTTCCAGGAAAAAGCAGGGTGGTATCTGTGAGTGTAGACAAGGGATTGGACATGAGACACAGGGGCAGACATGTGCATGAGAGAAAGTGACCAGCTGAAGACGAAGCTGAGGCTGTGAGAACTTTGGTACATAGAAAGATGGTGGATGGAACGCTGGGCCTGGAGTCAAGAAGACCTAAGTTCAAATCCAGCCTGAGACATTTATTAACTACCTGACCCTGGACAAGTCACTCAGTTTTTTTATCTGTAAAATGAAGATAAGAGCACCTAACTCATAGAGCTGTTGTTACAACAAAATGAGAAAATGCATTTAAAGCGCTTTGCAAACCTTAAAATGCAATATGAATGCTAATATTTGTCTTTGTCTCTTCCACAGGATCGAGCCTTGTATATATTTTCAGAAGCTTGTTTCATAGGTGTGGGTGCCACTCAAGCTCTGAGAGAGGCTGTGGCAGGAAAGATCTTTCCCTTGTAGATCACCCCGTAACAAGATCCTTAAACCAAGGCTGACAATTGACTTGAAATCCCTTGCCAGCCAGACTGGTGTCTAAAGTCTCTCCAGAGCTACTGACTTCAAAACTGAGTGCCACTGGCATGCCACTGTGTCAGAAGGGAGATTTGAGTGATAGACTTTGTACAGGGTAAATGCTAAAGAGATATTGGTTAAATTATGGAACAAATGATGGCTTCCTTGTGTGACTCTATTATTATACCCATTTTAGAGACAGTAAGAAATTAAATAATTTGCACGATGCAACCCATTGAATGTGTGGCAAAGTCTGTTCTCACACAAGATGGTAGAGGGGTGGGCAGAGGGCAAAGGCCAACCTCCTGGCTGAGCTTGCAGAGAATAGGGGAGGGCAACAATCCAGTCAAAAGAACTACTTATATTATACATATCTTGTAGATAGTTATCTGTATTAGAATGTGAGCTCCTTGAGGGCAAAGAATGTTTTACTTTGAATCCTCAATGTTGAGTATAGTGTCTGACACATAGTAAGTGCTTGATAAATGTTCATTGACTGACTACAAAGATTTGGCAGCTAGTTCAGTCCTCCATCCACTCAATAGGGTAGCAAGGCCCACAACTATTACCTCCTCTTCTACCTTATAAGACTTCAAGCCCACCTCCTTCGTTTTAGAGGAAACTGAGGTCTAGATCAGAGGTTCCCAAACTTATTTAGCCTATTGCCCCCTTTTAAAAAAAAAAATTACTTAGCACTCCACTGGAAATCTACTTCCTTTAACCTTTAAATGGCTTTTTAAAAAAAAATTTGCATCATTTAAAAAAATGTATTTTTTCAAATGATGCATCTTAAATTTAATAATTTATTGTAAATTTGTGGGGGCTTTCCTGCATTAAAATTTTGATGATGTACTACTGAGTATTGTACTGTAAACAAATCATTACATGAACATATGTATTCCTGCCAATACATGCTGGGCTTCCCACAATGGGCTACAAGCTTGTCTGTGTCTGCCAACACTTGCGTGTTGAGACCTGTTGGTGGACCTGACCACTGATCCATTATAACTTTCATTTTGTGTGTTTATTTGGAAAATAATGTAATCGCTATGACTTTAACTGTTACACAACAGATGAAACATGTACAAAGGTTTTTCACATTTTCTTATCTTCTTTCCTTATGCTTCCACCACCCCCTTATTTTTATTCAACATCCCCAAAGGCTACTAACATCCCCCTGGATTGTTCTAGTCCATTCCACACACCCCCCCCCCCCCCCCCAGGACCCTGTGGCCCACTTTGGGAACCTTCCTCCTCCCCTCTGCCTACTGATTTTTCTGGCTTCAAGTCTCAATTCAAATCCCATCTTTACTGGAAACCTTCCCTAACTTATCTTAATCTTTTACTGGAAGCCTTCTCTAACTTATCTAATTCCAATGTTTTCCCTCTGTTTATTATTTCCTATTTATCCTGTACACAGCTTGCTTTTTTTGTTTGCCTGTTGTGTCCCCATTAGATTGTAAGTTCCTTGAGGTCAAAGACTGTCTTTTGCCTGTTTTTGTATCCCCAGCACTTAGCATTTGTGCCTGGCACACAGGTGCTTACTAAATGTTTATTGATTAATTGATTGGCTAAAGTAACTTGCTCAAAGTCACAGAATAAATAGTAGAAATGGGATTTAAATGGAGGTCCTCTGATTGCAAAGCCCACCCGTTTTTCCATTGTATCATTCTATCCTACATCTTACTATCTCCCTGATTTTGACCAAATTTGGTTTTTAAAAAAAGCTACCAGAGGCAAACTAGTTGGGAAAGCCAGAAACACTGTGAATTTCAAATTAGTCTCTTAACCCACTCCCATTTCAAAACCAGTTTTTTAGTCATTGCTGAAATGCTCATCCTTAAAGAGAAGGATTTTTTCCAACCCTTATAGTTTCTCTCTGCATAGTTTTTGAGTTCTCCCCTTTAATTTCTATTCTTTATCTAGAAACAAATGAACAACAACAAAAAAAAAAAGACAAAAAACCCAACTCCTCCAGACTCCACTTCTCCCTCCTAAAGGCAATGGGGCATCACTAGGGTTTAGTGATTCTTCAGGATTTTGCTCCTGACCAACTACCCCAAATGTGTGTTCGCTGTTGCTCTTCCAGCCAGCTTTATGAGGAGCTTTCTAGACAGATTCTCTTATAACATCACTCTGCTTCTCAAAGGTCTGCCCATATTTCTCCGACTTGTATTTTTCTCTGTCCTGCTCACATCCCCTGGATTATAGAAATCTTCTCTTGAGTTGCTTTGGCTCTGTTCTCCCATTTCCAAAGCTATACTTACTATTCCCTTCTCAACCAAATTCCTTGGGGACCCATCTCAAATATCACTATGTCCAAACAACTTTCCCTAATTTAGTAGAAAAGGGAAAACTAAGGAAATGGGCATTGGCAGTATCTGAAGGTAAAAGGGGTGGAGATAGAACAGATGAATGAGATTAGTTCAAGAGAAAGGTCACAACTATGATCCCTCTGGAAAGAACTTTACTACCTGGGTTGGGCAGGATAGAGCTGTATCTGCTGCCAAATTCAGGAAATCCATCTTCTTCCCTAATGGTTCAAGCTATAAAAAGGAAAAACAGAAGCAGTAGTGGAGATTAGTGGATTTGTTTCCTCTGACATTCTTTGGCTCCATCCCAGGTAGAGGGTTCCTCCAGGAATTTCCAAGTTCTGTGGAGCTGGGCTTCTCAACAGAGCCATTCCAGGTTGTCTCCATCCTAAAACAGAGGTTCTTCATCTGAGGTTCATAAACTTGTTTTTTAAATATATGATAACAGTATTTCAATACTATTGGCTTTCTTCGTAATTCCATATATTTTATTTTACACATTTAAAAACATCCTTCTGAGAAAGGGTCCACAGGCTTCACTAGACTGACAAAACAGTCCATGACAAAACAAGGATTAAGAACTGCTCTATAATATTCAGAGGCAGATAGTGGCTCAGTGGATACAGTGCTGGTCCTGGAGTTAAGGAGACCTGAATTCAAATCCTGCCTCAGACACTTCCTAGCTTTGTGACCCTGGGCAAATCACTTAACCTCTATTTGCCTTAATGCACTGCAGAAGAAAATGGCAAACCATTCTAGTATCTTTGCCAAGAAAACCCCATGGATGGTATTAGCATGCTGTAGTCTACAGGGTCACAAAGAGTTGGACATGACTGAACCACTGAATTATAATATATATCATTCAGCTATGGTGTCTTCCATCAATACTATATTCCCATCTCAGTCCATGAGGCCAATCTATACACTCTCTCCATCTTCTCTAGCTTGACTGGGAAGAAATCCATCTTCTTATTCCTTTTGTCTCTGTGTGCCATAATTTGATTGGCCAATCATGTACCTTCTCATACAATGAGAGCCCATTCTTATTTACTGTACAAATAATAAAAAAAAATGTTTGAACAGAAAGAAAAAAGGTGGGATATTTACATAGCCAGATAAAGAATAATCAATGAATAAATCATGTGTCTAGAGGTCCATGCAATGTCAAAGGTCTAAGGCAGGCATTCTTCACCTACTTATGTTTCATGAAAATATGTGATTCCCTTTGGCAGTCAATCTAGTGAAGCCTATGAGCCCCTACTCAGAATTATGGTTTTAAATGCATAAAATAAAATACATAAGATTATAAAATAAACCAATTATATTGAAATACAGTAATCTAAATTTTTTTTTCAAAAATTCACGTACCCCAGGTCAAGAACCCCTGATCCAGTAGAAAACCCCCAGCGTGATACATAGACCCTCAGTGGTGAACCAGTGGGAAGATTGCTGGATCATGAGATCACAGATTTAGAGTCAGAAGTGATCTCAGATGCAATCAAATCATTTTATAAATGAGGAAAATGAGGCCCAGGGAGGTTAAATGACTTGCCTAAGGTCACACAGGTGTCCCAGTAGCAAAGCTGGGACTTCAACTTAAGTCCTCTGAATCCAGAGTCAATGCTTTGTCTCTTGCACTAAGCTACCACCTCCCGCTAGGACAAGTAGGCGTGGTTGGATCATGATGAGCATTGTTGGAAGGAATACCAACATCAGTGAGATCACAGATCCAATAGTGTTGAAGCACTCTCCAGTCACATGACGGCAATGGGCTTGGGGATTCTGACTTGTAGTGTGACCCAAGTATCAGTCATTATACCCCTCTGGGAACCTGACTCATCATGTGCAATGGGAAGGGTGAGAATGAGATGGCTCTTTTGCACAGAGTTTGGGGAAAGGTTAGAGATTTAATGTCATAAACTTGTTCATCTTTGGCATAAATGTAAGCACGCTGGTCATTTACCATATTGTTCCAAAGGGCTCTGGAGAGCTGGGAGTGGAATTTCTGATTTGGGTGGATACAGTCTGAGGCAAAGAAGGAGACATCTGGACTTCCATCCTGATGGGAGAAATTAATTAAATTCCATTTAATTAATCAATTAATCAACATATAAGAACAACAAAAATTATATGCTTATAGCAATCAGTACAGAAGGCTTTTTTTTTCTTTTTAGTGAGGCAATTGGGGTTAAGTGACTTGCCCAGGATCACATAGCTAGTAAGTATCAAGTGTGTGATCTGAGACCGAATTTGAACTCAGGTCCTCCTGACTCCAGGGCTGGTGCTCTATCCACACGCCACCTAGCTGTCCTAGAAGAAGGCTTTTGACAAGATAAAAAACCCATTCCTGTTTTTAAAAAAAACTCTAGAAGGCATAGGAATAAAAGGAGCTTTGCTTAATATGATAAATAATATCTCTTTAAGACCAAGACCCAGCATGATCTGTAATGAGGACAAACTAAAGGCATTTCCAGTAAGAATGGGGTTCATTACTACTATTATTATTCTACCTAGTGATAGAAATACTAGCTATAGTGATAAAAATAAGAAAACAAGATTGAGAGAATAAGCATGGGGCAAAGAGGAGTTAAAATTAACACTTTTTTTTTTTTGCAGATGATAAGGTTTACTTAGAGAACCCTAGGGAGTCAACTAAAAAAAAAACTAATTGAAATAATCAACGATGTCTGCAAAGTTGCAAAATATAAAATAAACTCATAAATCATCAGTATATATGCATATTACCAACAAAATCCAGCAGGAAGCAACAGGAAAAAATCCATTTAAAATAATTACAAAAAGTATAAACTGTTTGGGAGTCCACCTGCCAAGATACACATAGGAGCTATATCAATAGAAATACAAATACAAAATACTCTTTGCACAAATAAAGATAGACCTAGGTAATTAGAAAATATTACTTGCTTCTGAGTAGGCTGAGTCGATATAATAAAAATGACAATACTATTTAATTTATTTACTCAGTATTATACCAATCACCAAAGAATTACTATGGAGAGCTAAAAAAAAAATCATAATCAAATTCATTTGAAGAAACAAAAAGTCAAGAATTTCAAGGGATACAATTAAAAAAATGGGAAGGAAGGGGGCTTAGCATTGTTGGATCTCAAACTATATTAGAGAGCAGTTATCATCAAAAAAACTTGGTGCTGGTTAAAAATAGAAGGATTGATCAATGGAACACACTAGGTAAAAATAAGATGCAAACAAGCACAGTAGTGTTTGGTAAACCCCAAAGGGTAAGAACTCACTATTTGACAAAATTGTAGAGAAAGCAAAAAAGCAGTCTGGTAGAAATTAGGTCTAGACCAATATCTGACACTTCATACCAAGATAAACTTCATATAGGTGCATGACTTAGAGATGACATCATAAAGTAGAGGAGCAAAGAAGAAAGTATCTGTAAGATCTGCGGATGAGGGAAGAGGTCATGAGCAATCATGAGATAGAAAGGATCACAGAAAATAAAAGACAATTTTGATTACATAAAATTTTAAAAAGTTTAAGCAATGCAGCTAAAAATAGTAGAGAAGCAGGTAGATGGGGAATATCTTTGCAGCAAATTTCTCTAATAAAGGTTTCATTTCTAGGATGTATAGGAACCGATTCAAATTTATAAGAATTAGAGCCATTGCCAGTTGATAAGTAGTTAAAGGATATGAATGGACACAGACAGTTTTCAAGAAAAATTCTACACTATCAAAATCTATATTAAAAAATGCTCAAAATCATTAATAATTAGAGAAATGCAAATTAAAGCAACTCTGAAGTTCTACTCCCAAAATAAAGAAAAAGGGAAAATGATAAATGTTGGAGGGGCTATGGGAAAACAGGTCCTTTAATGCACTGTTGGAAAAGCTGTGAACTAGTCCAAGCATTCTGGGAAACAATTTGGAACTACGCCCAAAAAGCTATTATGGTGTGCACAACCTTTGACACACTCATACCACTACTAGGTTTTTATTCCAAAGAGATTAAAGAAAGAGGAAAAGGTCCCACATGTATAAAAATAATTATAGCAGTTCTTTTTTTTTTTTTTTTTTGTGGTGGCAAAGAACTGGAAACTGAGGGAGTGTCCATCAAATGGAGGATGGCTGAACAAGTCATGGCCTATGTATTTGATGGAATACTACTGTGTTATGAGATATTAAAGGGAATGATTTCGGATAAAGGTGAGAAGACTTGCATGGACCAATTTAGAATAAAGTGAGCAGAACCAGGAGAACAATTTATATATAATTATAATCTTGTAAAGACAAACAGTTTTGAAGATTTAGGAATTCTGATCACTGATGACCAACCAAGATTCCACAGCACTCCTGATGAAACATGCTTACCACCTCCTGATAGAGAAATGATGGAGTACAGATTAAGGTAAATTTTGGAGGGATATGGACAATTGGGAAATTCGTTTTATTTAACTATTCATGTTTGTGACAGCTTTTGTTTTCTTGCTTTCTCAATGGGGAGGGAAAGATGGGAGAGAAGGCAGATTTTTACTGACTAAAAAAGTCAATTAAAAAACCCCCAATGAAGAAGCATTTATCATAAGCACATACCAGGTACAAGGGACTATGAAGGATGCTAGGCATTCGTTCAAGACAAAAATTACCAAAAGGTCCCTGAATTCAAAAAGCTTACACGCAGATGCAATATTTGCTTGTTTGTGGAGGCACTAACAGCTGATGGGTGGGAATCATGTATTAAGCGTCTACTACGTGTAAAGGCTCTGTGTTAGTTTGGGAAAAAGAGAGAAGAGTAAGACATAGCCCCATCCTGAAGGAGATTATAGACTAATAAACAAGATAAATTCTATACCTAAAAAATATATAATACAAAACACACATAAGGGTGTGAGAGAGGTCAAAGCCAAAATGCTTTTAGAATGCCCGGGGGGGGAAAATGGAACTTTTGATTGGAATTCTAGCATTTAATCTAAACAAACATTTATTAAGTACCTACTGTGTGAAAGCTGCTTGAGATTCAAAGATTAAAAATACATGGAACTGTCCCTGCTCTCAAGGAGCTTCCATTCTTCTTACTCTGAACATAGGTGGTATCATGTAATATTCTGAAGGCTAATGAGGATGGACAAGCAGGCTAATCTCTCTACCTCTTTTACAAAAGATTTGTGAGTCATCAAGCCCTTCACAGACCTGACTTGTTTTTAAAAGGGAATCATTTGTTCTCTGTTTCTGCTCAAAAAAAGAAAAAAAAGAGGCAATCATTAAAAAGCTCTATGCTTTGACAGCCTCAAGTGACCTACTTAAGCCTCAGGTGACCTGTCCTCCTCTTCCTTTTTTCCTTTAATTTCCCTTTTAAAATCCAGGAAAAACAATTCATAATTTATTAGGCACATACATATAATATTCCACCCTGGGGCACGAGTGGGAAAAAAACTGATCAGTCTTATGAGAAAGCAGGGCGATGTTGGCTGCTGCCTTTGGCAGCCAATCAGAAGAAATATATTATGGCCTTAGGCTAATTGGCCCCTGGTGGCCTCAGGTTGGGATAAATGGAGGCTTTGGCCCAAGGGCCAGGACCAAGTGGAGCTGTTTTGACTGTTAGTTCTCTGCCCCATCCCATGCCCATTCCCCATTCTTTCTCACTCATTTCAAGCACTTGATCATATCCAACATGAGCAGTCAGTATTACTCAATCCTCCTTCCCGTCACCCATCACTGAAGAACGGGTTTAGAAGGGGTGGAGAGAGAAGAGGACTCCAGGCCACTTTCAAATCTCTCTCTCTCTCTCATGTTCTGTTTTTCGGTTCTGAAAACACAACAGAGTTGCTCCTTTACAACTGAGGGACTTCCTATTCCCATTTCCCTTAAGTAGTCCAGGCTGTCACTGACTCTGAAAATGTAACTTCAACTCATTTGAGCTTGGAGCACTGTGCTCAAAGCTGGGGATGTTGAGATGAAAAACAATACGGTCCTTGCCTTCAAGAAGCTCATGCTCTTAATGGTTACAGAATTAAGTGTGAGAGGGGAGGTCTAGGCAAAGTGCTCTGGGAAAACAGAGGAAAGAGAATATTTTTAATTGGGGAATGGGAGTTGCTGGTGGAGAATTCCAGAATCTCAGAGCTGTTTAGGACTTCAGAAGTCATCTGGTCCAAGTACACCGGAACACAAATGCCTCTACGATACTCCCAACAAGTGAATATCTAACTTCTGTTTGAAAACCTTCAGTGAGTTGGAGCCCACCATCTCTGGGGCAGCCCATTCTAACTCCTTCACAGCCGGACTTAGGAAGTTTTTTCTTATGTGATGCCTCAATTTGTCTCTTTGCAACTTCTACCCATTGTCAGAACATGTCTACACCCTCGTTCACCCAACGGCTCTTCAAATACTCACTTATTGTGTCCACTCAGCAGAATGCGAGGAAATATTTAACAACTAACTGTTCCCCCAAAAATGTACCAACAACACACTCTAATGTTTAATCTGCATTATTAAGATCTTCATCGCTCCAATCAGGTTGTTGATTGTAGGCAATCAACAAAACCATAAATCAAGCCCTGATTTGTAGCAATTTCTTAGGTGAAAATGTTGCACTGAAAATTTAACAACAATCTTTCCTAAGCTGGCTCCATGCCATTTCTGACACCCCTCCCCATTTTTGCACCCTAGCAAATCTTTTCCTTTTTTCTTTTTAGAGGCATCTAGTTGGTGAAATAGATAGTAGGCCGAACCTTGAGTCAGGAAGACCAGAATTCAAATCCTGCCTCAGATACTTACTAGCTATATAACCTTGGACAAGTCACTTGACCTCTTTAAACCTTAGTTTCTTTATCTGTAAATGAGGTTGTTTGAGGATAAAATGAGATAATATTTGTATTGAGCTTTGCAAGCCTTAAAGTGTTATATAAATGCTAGCTATTATTATTCAGGGCCCAGTTCCTTTAACTAATTCTCATGTGGTAGAAATTCGAGGCTTTTCTCTGTCCTGGTTGCCTTCCTTTGAATGTCGTCTAGATGGTCAAAGTCCTTCTTAAAATGTGGTATCCAGAAGTTAAAATACTCTAGATGTGGACATACCATGGCAGAGTTATAGCAAGACTATTACCTTCCTAGTCCCTGACAGTAATCTTTTAATATATCCCAAGACTGTATTAGCTTTTTAAGGCACCTGTTGACTCATGATAAGCTTATGGTCCACTGAAATCCGCAGATGTTTTTGCCTCAGAAAAACTGCTAACTATGCTGCTTTTATCTTCTACTTAGGAAGTTAATGTTTTGAACCTAAGTGTAAGACTTTGCATTTATTCCAGAGCAAGCTTCATGGAGAAGGTGAACTAGACTTTAACGGAAGAGACATGGAGTTATAGAGGGAGTATAAAAAGATGAATTCAAGTGAGCCCCCCACAGGAAGCTTGCTGGTGAGCAGTAAGGACAAGAGCAGAAGCAGGAGAAGGCGCCATACCGGCTGGAAGGCAAGACTGGTGTTTTCAAAAAAAGGCTGCAGTACCACCGTGAAGTCCTCTTGAGTGTCATAGCGGCCTGACTCCACCAACTCTCGGATGCTGATCTGGGACAGGGAAAGAAGAACAGGCTGGTTTCAGTGCCCGTGGTAGCATTTCAGGGCAGGAAGGCCCTTCTGGACATCCTGCTCCCCAGGCCATCAGCTCTTTACAGCAAGAAGGCTACCACCCATCCTTGTTGTGCTACTAACCACCCACATCTTGGAAGGTGGTGCCACTACCCTCTCAACCTAAACCTCCTTCCAAATCCTCTATGCCCTTGTTTCCATCCGGCATTGGGGCTTGGCTGAGGAACACTTCCTGAGCATATTCATTAACTCTTTCAAAGAGAAATGGAGATAGGTCTGGTCACCCTTTTTACTTATGGTTTTACAGAAAGCTTGTGGGCAGAGTGAAACGATAGAAAAGGACCTGGATTTAAGGCAGACTACCTAAGTTTGAAGGTGGCTCGGGCACTTACTATTTTGGTGACCTTGGTCAAATTATTTTACTTGCCTGGGCCTCCGTTTCCTCATTTGTAATAGAAGAGGATTGGACTAGATGACTTCTAAGTTCCCTATTAATTCTAAATCTATTATTCTGTGAGACTATGTGAGTCAAGGAGAAGGGCAAATGGATAGCCTTTTTCAAGAAAATTGTCATAAGCATCATAAGTTTATGACATCACAAGAGCAGAAGATTGAGAGCTGGAAGGACCTAAGGGATTACTTAGTATAGCCTTGGTTTTGCAGATGGGGGAACTGAAGCCCAGAGGGGCCTTGCCCAAGCTTACCCAGAGAAACCTTATCTGGGCTGAGCTTGGTACAACCTTGACTTTCTGCTTTTCCCTGTTCCATCTCACCTCATCCCTTCTTGGGTGGAGAATCTATTTCTGGTGAGTCTTTATGGACATTTTAGCCTGATAGTACATTTTATAGTAAACTTACCAGCTGAACTTGCTAACTCTAGGACTGAAAAGGGCCAGTGATGAGGTAAATTTCATTACATGGAAATCTGGTAGGAAATTGCAGCTTTAACTAAGAAGGGCAAGTCAATTCAATTCAGTTCAACATTGATTTGGCATCAATACCTATGATACTTTGCACAAGGTGCTGGGTGACAACGAACTATGACTCAGTGAGTGCCTGCCTTCGAGGAGTTTACAATCAAGTAAGAGGTATGTGACACGGACATAAAGTTAGAAAATGATAAGAGAGCATGGGGTGGCCTGAGATTCAAGGAGGAAAAGATTAGATCTGAGAAGGGGGGATGAAATGCCCATTTCACATAAGCAAGCTGATGTCAAGAGGGTGCTAGGTTGGTGTGCCCTCAAGTTCTATTAACTGACTCTTTCCCCTTTTCATGGGGGTCCCAATAGGGGGAGTGTTGGTCAGTGGATGAGGAGGACATAAAGAGATGCTCTGTCTCTGTGTCTTACGTGATAGGCCTTGATGACTTCTTTCATTCTGGCCAGCTCTGGAGAACCTTCTCTGACCGTCAGGAGGCAGTTACATGAAGAGCTGCAATATAATGGGAGATGGAAGTCACAGAAAGGCCATCTTGGCATCAAGGAAGCCTGGCCTTGGGCCAGGGCAAGTAGTTTTGGTTGCACTTGGAGATGTTGCCCAGCTAGCCCCCTCAGTGCTCTACTGGGGGCATTGGCCAGGTCTGGTCCCTAGACTACCATGTGAGTGCCTTAAAATGTTTTCCTGACATAAATGATGTTAATCACCTTTCTGGCAGCTGAGTAGTCAATTGAATAAAGGGAAGTCAACAGATTATAAAAATGGACTGTCATGCAAATTAATTGGGAGCCATTGCATATTTGGATATTTTTAGAATCATAAATTCAGAATTGTAACAGATCTGACAGGTCACCTAGTATGACCCCTTCATTTCATAGATGAGGACGCTGAGGTTCGGGCTTGAGTTACCCGAAGTCATTTAGGTAGGAAGGAAGTGGCAGACCTGGGATTCAAACCTGGGCTTTCTACCTCCATATCCAGCCTTTTAAAATATATGAATATATATATATATATATATTTTTTTTTAACTTTCATTTTTTTAAAACTTGAATTCTAAATTCTCTCTCCTTCCAGCCCCTCCCTTGCCATTGAGAGGGTAAGGATATGATTCCCATTATTCATGTGACGTCATTATCTGGCACTTTCTACAGCACCATTTCATGCCTGTAATTCAAGGATTGAGAGTCAACCTGTATTAACGGTAGAAAGTAAATGGCATTTGGAGTCAGGGGAACTTTGTGACTTTCAGTTTCCTGCGGTCTCAATCCTCTCATATGCAAAATGAGGAGATGTAGTGGCAGCCCCTTCCAATTCTCAGTCTAGGGAGTTCATAATTTCATCTGGTGTCAGTGCCTCTCCTTCCCAGACAGGTCATGACCTCTGCACAAAATTAGGAGATAGATAGCTTTCCTGAATTGCCATGGACGACAATATGCCCCACGTGGGCCAGCCTTCTGGTAATGAGCTTCTCTGAGCCTTGCTAGGCTGGGCCTGGGAGGAAAGTCTGTTGGACCAGTGGGTGTTTGTTTCTCTTCTGTGTCATACGTCCTTCTCAGTTTCAGGGTCTGGACTACCAGAACAATGGGATTTAGGATATTGCAGCCAGCGGCCCAGCAGGGAAGCCTGGAGAAGCTAGGGTACCTGGGATTCAAACTTCAGAGAAGGGAATGGACTTCTCAAAACAGTACTCTACAGGAACTGAGCTAAGCTGTTCGTATATTGGTTATTATATCTTAGAAATAAATATTTCTTTGTAAAAGCCAAGCTATTAGTGGCTAAATGGAACTGGGGTGCGGAGGATCCACCCTTACCCTTGGGAATGCCATTATGGGGAGCTGGAGCCATTGGCAAAGGGCCTAGACATGCCCAAATATCCCTAAAGGGACCAGAAAACTGTGGGGTAGGGGGGAGGTGTAACAGACCCCGCCTTCAGGCAGTAGAAGCCAGAATAGTCAGGGTTACACCAGCAACTCACGTTAGTATTACGAATTGTGTTTTACTCACAATGGCCCTATAAAGTAGACACTATAGGTATTAACTTCATTTTACTTATACGAAAACTGAGGCTTGGTGAGGTTAGATGATCCACCCAGAGTTGTATCGGTAAGAAGCAGATCTGACACTTGAACTCAGGTCTCCTTAAGCTAAATCCAACATCTTTTTTATTCCATAATAATAACAATAGCAATAATAACTAATATTTACATAATGCTTTAAAGTTTAGAGGGCAGCGAGGTGGTGCAGTGGATTGCGCTGGGCCTCGAGTCAAGACTCATCTTCCTGAGTTCAGATGGAAAGAGGTAAGGACAACTTTGTTAAGCTAGGGGACATTTGTACAGGGGATAAAAGCCCCCAAAATTCACTGGCCAGATGCATCCAGAGTAGTCACATAACATATGTAGCATACATGTAGTATGCCTGCTATTGTGCTCTGGCATACTGTCATGTGCCAGTATTCTGTGTGACTGTTACTGCCCCCTCTTATTTGATAACTCCATTCCCCAAGCATTCAAGAATACTTCCTGTTGCCTAAAATCCATCTCCGAATTTCCAGGCCTTTGCAGAAGCTATCTCATGTGCCATTAACTCATTCCCTCCTCCTCTCTCCTTAGAATTCATAGCTTCCTTCCTCAGCTCACATGCTACATACTCTGCCGAGTTCCCCTATTTGTCAGGGCCCTCTCCCTTTTCACTTAATCATGTAAACACTTATTTGTATGTGTGCTGTATTCCTCAGTAGAATATAAGTCCCTCGGGGGAAGGGACTGGTTTTCATTCTATCTTTGTATTCCATGTGCCTAGTAGATGTTGTTCAGTCTTTTGAGTCCTGTCCGACTCTTTATGACCCCATTTTGGGTTTTTTTTGGGGGGGGAAACATATTGGAGTGATTTGCATTTCCTTTTCCAGCTTATTTTATAGATGAGGAAACTGAGGCAAACAAAGTAAGTGACTTGCCCAGAGTCACACAGTCAATAAGTGTTGGAGGCCAGATTTGAACTCATGAAGATGTCTTCCTAATTCTAAGCTCAGTACTCTATCGACTGCGCCATCTAGCTGCTGCCTAGCAAATACTGGGGGCTTAATAAATATTTCTTGGTAATTGGATTCCTCTCTTAAAAATCATCTTTTGGGGGCAGGTAGGTGGCGCAGTGGATAGAGCACCAGCCCTGAGGTCAGGAGAACCTGAGTTCAAATGTGGCCTCAGACCAAACACTAGACACTTACTATCTGTGTGACCCTGGACAAGTCACTTAACCCCAATTGCCTCAAAAAAAAAAATCATCTTTTGATTCAATCTTGTGCACACAGACATAGATATCCCCAGCCTGGCATCTTGTATGTGCATAATCTGTGCCAGCGCCATACATCAGTGAGAAAGGAGTAGAGCCAGGCATAAATCAGAATAGGCAGTTCCAGAAGTTGGAAGCTCCCAACAAGCATCTGTTTTCCAAAAGGGATGGAGCAAGATATGTAGAACCAGATGGGTCAACAGCTGGACGCTAGCAACCCTCATGAACCAGAGCAGCAGATACAATCCTGCTGCCAGTACTATGCTTACCTCGCCTGCAGCATTGGACACTTATCTTGGTTACCCAGGAACACCTCCCGCAGGATGATGGGGTTCATAAAGTCCACAAGGTTGACCAAAGCTCTGGGCACCTAAAAATGAAGGATGTAGCTGAAAGGTGGGCCACAATTGCTTCAAATCCCTAGTAATTACATCTCAAATTGATAGTTATTTTAATTTTGCAGTGCTTTTCTTACGACAATGGCAGTAGGTTGTCCAAGTATCTTCATAAAACTTATTTTACAGAAAGGGTAAGCTGAAACTTACCTTTATCAGAGAGAAAAAGTGACTGTCAACCCAGGATCCCACAGCTAGTAAGCATTGGAGCTGAGATGCGAAATCACATACTCTGTGAAATCCAGACTCAGACTCCAAGGCCAAGACTACAAGACACTCTTTTTTACTTAATAGCCCTAACATAGAGTCTGCAATAGGGTTCTTTAAGACCTGGGTTCATATCTGGACTTAGATTCCATTTAATAGCTGCATGTGACCCTTGGAAAGACACTAAGCTTCTCTTGGCCTCAATTTGCTTATCTGCAAAATGGGAATGATAAGATCAGTTGTTCTTAACTCTTTGGGTTTCTGTGAGAATAAAAAGAGACCATGTGCTTTGCAAAGCCGAGAACATTGTATAAAAGTTAGTTATTATTTTTGTTGTTGTTAATAGAACAAGGGAATAAAAGAGTGGAATAGAATAGTGGGAAAACATCTTCTATTCCACTGACTGTTGAGTATAGGAAATAGCAAATTCTTAAGTTTGGATGGAATGAGTAGCATGTAGGGAATAGTCATGTGAAATCAGTCTGGAAAGATAATAATAACTAGTAGTTGTACATCCCTTTAAGGTGTGCAAAGTACTTTACACATTATCTTGTTTGATCCTCATGACAAACCTGTGAGGTAGGTGCTATTATCATCCCCATTTTATAAATAGGGAAACTGAGTCTAAAAGCCATTGAGTGACTTGCCCACTATCACACAGCTAGAAAAGGTGAGAGGCTGTATTCAAACTCCAATACTCCTGACTCCAAGGCTAGCACTGTATCCAATGCTTCCAGGGATGCAGGCATTTATAAATTATCTGTGAAGCAATAGGGATTTTCTTGAGTAACAGAGTGACATGGTCAGATCATTGAGCCTGGTGAAAAGATGACTCCCCTTGACCTTCCACCCAAAGCCTAACCTCATGAAGCTTGAAGATGGTGTTCAGAACTAGATCAATTCCAATTCACAGCTGGGTCCCCTTGACACATGCGTTTAATTGCTTCAACCAAGGAGCCAAAGGGCTTCACTGGGGAGTGCCTTTGAAATTTCCAAAGTATTTTTCTCACAACCTCCTTGCAAAGGATGTTATATATTATTGCCCTTGCTTAATATTGAGAGAAATTAAGGCTAAAAGAGATGAAGGGGACTTCACACGGACATTCAGCCGGCATGGGATCCTTGTAATTCCAAGCCAAAACTCACAGCCTCCAGGAGGCATTTGAGCTATTGGCTCTATTTCCAGGTTTGGAGGTGGAGTGGGGATCCTTTTTTTTTTGGTGAGGTAATTAGGGTTAAGTGACTTGCCCAGGGTCATGCAGCTACTAAGTGTCAAGTATCTGAGGCCGCATTTGAACACAGGTCCTTCTGACTCCAGGGCTGGTGCTCTGTGCGCTGTGCCACCTAGCCGCCCAAGGACTGGGGATTCTTTAAGGATTCCTTGCAGTGCTGTCACTGGGGATGCAGACTCAGCCTGCTGGGCAGGAAGCCAGAAGAGTACAGCTAGACCTAAGGCCAAAAGCTCAGCTGTAGCAGGAGGCCCCATCCCGGTTTTTGTTGTTCAGTGGTTCAGTCCTGTCTGACTCTTTGTGACCCCCTTGACCACAGCATGCCAGGCCATTCTCTCCTCCCCTATCTCTCAAAGTCTATCCAAGTTCACGTTTAGTATTTCCATGACACTATCTATCCATCTCATCCTCTCCTCCTTTTGCCTTCAATCTTTCCCAGCATCAGGGTCTTTTCTAATGAGTCCCATCTTCTCATTATGTGACCAAAGTGTTCAGCTTCAGCTTCAGCATTTGACCTTCCAGTGAATAGCCTCAATTAATTTAAGCATCAACTGATTTGATTTCCTTGCTGCCTAAAGGGCTCTCAGAAGTCTTCTCTAGCACAATTCAAAAGCATAGGTTTTGTAGCGCTCAGCTTTCTTTATGTCCAACTCATACAGCCATACATTGCTACTGGAAAAACCACAGCTTTGTTGACAAGGTGATGTCACTGCATTTTAGGATACCATCCGGATTTGCCATAGCTTTCTTTCCAAGGAACAAGCATCTTTTAATTTCATGGCTGCAGTCACCATCTGGAGTGATCTTTGAATCCAAGAATCTGACACTGCTTCCATTTCTTCTCCATCCATTTGCCACAAAGTGATGGGGCCAGATGCCATGATCTTAGTTTTTTCTTCTTTCACCCTGGAGGGCCAGCCAAAGTGGCCTTCACTCTGTTCTGCACTCATGACGCTCTATCTCCCATCTCTGTGCTTTTGCACTGGTTGTTCCTCCATGCCATGAATGCCCTCCCTACTTACCTCTGCCTCACAGAGGCCCTCTCCACCTCTGGTGCAGCTCAGGTACCATTCTGTACGAAGCCTTTCTTGATACAGTCAGTTACTAGTGTCCTCCCTCCCAAACTGCTTCATATTCAAATATGTTATGTGTATGTGGATATTTTTTGTATACACACACACACACACATACATACATACATACATACATACATACATATATACATACATACATATGCTTTATATCTGTGGTGCTGCTAATGTTTCTATATGTTCTTGTCTCCACAATTTTTGTGAATGGGTAGCTTTTCATTCTTCATATATGTGTCCCCAGTGCCTGGCTTAAACTTAAACAATTAAACACTTGCTAATTGAGTGACTGATTTATACCAGCTTTCAGAATACATGGGCTTTTTTTTTTCTCTGACAAGACCTGTGGTCTCTGAGCACCAGGGTTCCAAAGGAAAGTAGGAAATACATAGTGATATGAACCTCAATGTGCTGCACGTGAATCCCAGCCCTCTGCCATCTTCCCCTGGTCCATTAGAACATGAAGTTAAGTTCTCCCTGGTGCATGAATTCCTCCTAGGGAGACGAAGCTACTGAACCCACCTCTTTGTGCAAGAAGTCCAAGGCATCTCGGAGGTGAGCAGAAAATTTGGTGGCTGAATATAAGTTCTGGCAAAAGAAAGGAGGGAAAGAAGGAGATGGTTAGGGTAAGAGAATGTGAGAGATGATTCAGTTTTCATTCATTACTCTGGAACTAAAACCTTGTTCTCTGCTCCCATCTCTGGCTTATAGCCCGCTGATCATGCTTCATCTCCAACTGGGTCTGGAAGCATAGGAATATAGTATTTATAGCTAGATGGGGCTTCAGAGTCCAAATTTCTCATTTTGTAGATGAGGTTCTAAGAAGTAAAAGGATGTGCCTAAGACAAGAAATAATGACAAGATTTGATCCTATATCCTCTGATTTCAAATTGGGTGCTCTTTTCCTCTGTACCAGGAACAGTACCCTTGAGGAAAATGACTGAAAAAACAACAACAACCAAAAATAAGAGTAGCCCAGTAGGCTGCTAAATGGCCTTGAATAAACTTTATCTGAGAAGTAGAAAAAGGCAGGTTCTCTTCACTGAAGTCTACAGTTACAACTCACAGTTTTAGTTCACATATACAAATACCCCCTTGTGACCACAAAATACTTTCAGGATAATCCTCACACAATCATTGCGAGCAAATCACTTTGAAAATGTTAAAGTCCACTTGTGTCTTTTCATTGTTGTTATGCTCTCCTTGGATACTCATAGCAATTCTTGGAGGAACAGAGGGCAAAGAAGAGTTGTCATTTTGCCGATAAGGAAACAGGGGCTAAGAGGCTAAATAACTTGCCTGGGACCATACAACTAGTAAATAGCTGATTCAGGAATTCAGACCTTAGTTTTCCAAACCTCCCAAGTCCAGTGCTCTTTCCAATATACCCTGAGTTCTTCCTTTCTTGTGGATCCATCAGAACTGAAGGTTTGACAAGTATATTAGCACGTAGCTGGGGGTATGAGCAGGGGCCCTTTAGTGGTTCCCTGGTTGCAGTGTTGGGATGCTTTGATATTTAAAGCAGCATGGTGAAGTGCTAAGAGCCTTGGATTTAGAGCTGAAGGACATTGGTTTGGATCCTGCCTCTGCTATGAACTGACTACTAGTAGCACTTAGGCAGATTCACCTCTTTGGGCTTTGGTTTCATTTGTGAAATGTTGGAACTAGATTAGATGACCAAAACATTCCTTGACTGCTCTAGATCAATGATCATGAGATCTTTAAGGTCTCTTCCTATGGTAAGATCTATGACTTTATGATGGTTTATTCATTCAGGGAATAGGGTAAAATACAAACTTTTCTGTGAGGCATTAAAGGCCCTTCACAACCTGGCCTCATCATATCTTTCTGCCTTTATTATACATTATTCTCCTTCATGTGCTCTACATTTCAGCCAAACTAGACTTTTTGTTTGATCTCATGCCTCCATACCTGGAATACACCCCCTTCTCATCTTCATCTCTTAGAATTTCTAAAAGCTCAACATCACTTCTTGCATGAGACCTTTCTTCATTCCCCGTCGAATTACCTTATATTTATGTATTTATTTGTGTATTATATATATATAATATTTATGTATTATATATAATATTATGTATTATGTAAATATTTATGTATTTATTTTATATGTCTTTATATATGTGCATAGCTCCTCAAGGGCAGGATAGTTTCTTTTCTGTCTTTGTATCTGCAGTGCCTATCACAGTGCCTTGAACATAGTAGGCTTAATAAATACTTGTTGATTGATTGAGGTAGCCACCATGCTAGGTACTGGAGGAAAACAGTAAGGGTACAGATAACAAACAATACAAAATATATATAAAATCAATACAAGGTAATTTCCAAAGGGGGCACTGGCAACTGAGAGGATCAGGATAAGTCTTCCTAAAAGGAAACACTGGAGCTGAGCATTGAAATGAGACACCTGATGCCAGGGCTAGGGCTAGGGATGAGGTAGAAGAGTGAGGGGATCTTGTGAGTGCGTGTAGATTGTCAGGTAGTGATGTATTGGTTCTAGGGAATTTTCCCAAAAAGTTTTCCCTGGACCTGGAACTCCACATTGAAAGCCTAGGCCAGAGAAGCCCCTAGTGCTGTTACTTACTGAGTCAGTGCAGTAGTCGCAAAGGTCCTTAGTCCCGATAAGCACAGTGACCACCTTCCAGTCTCTTGGAAAGTCAATTCTCTAGATGAAGGAAGGAGAATGCTAAAGATATCATTCCATTACACTTTTGCTATCTGATAAGAGAAGCAGTGAACCCCCAGGAGTCCACTGGGCCCCTTGGGACTTTCCAAGCTCACTCCTTAGAATGTAAGCTCCCTGAGGGCAGGGACTATTTTTGTTTTTGTTCTTAATTGCCTTCTCAGTACCTAGCAGAGTGCCTGACACATAGTAGGTACTTAATAAATGTTTCTTGACTTGACCTCTTCCCAAAGCAACACCAAACACATCAATACCACTCTATGCATCTTTGTTGAATTAAGACATAGAATTTGCAATTCTGAAAAAGATCACAATTGTCATCTAGACCTCATAGGAAGCCTATCTCCAACAAGTCTCTTAATTAGCTCCCTGGGCTCCAAATTCCTTACTTATAAATGAGGAGGTTAGTTGAGAGAGATGTCCCCTGAGGTGCCCTTCTTTCTCTAGAGCTATGGGCCTAGGGGCAACCCGGGCAGATGCTAATTCGTATTCTGCTTGGGTGTTTCCAGTGTGGGATAACCACTATGTTTGAAGCAGCTCATTTCTGCCCTCCTCTTTTATTTGGATGGATTGAAACTTTTGTTTTTGTTTTTTCATAAACCAGCCTAACTCTAACTTACCTGGTCAGTTTTCATCTTCTGCACCAGGGTCTGGACTTGTTTTATAAGTCCCCTGTGGAGCAAAAGACAATTATTCCTTCTGATAATGGGGAAAAAACAGACTCATCTCCTTGGCCTCTCAAAGCCACTGCACTGGAAATCTCACTGGAATTATCTCCTTTGGTAGTCAGAAGGCAGGAAACATGAGACCAAGAGGTGAATGCCACTTGCCTTGGTTCTGATGGTAGGAGGAATAAGAGTGAAGCCTCCTAAGTCTCAGACTAGGTCGCGTCACCTTCAAAAGCCTGAGCTTAAGCATTCAGTAGATAATTAGGACAATTCTAAACTTTGTTTGGGGAATGGACCATCATGGAGTCCAGGGGGAGGGATTCAATTTCAGGTTTTCGGATTCCCAATCCAGGGCTCTCTCCAACCTATACTGTTCTTTGTTCAGGTCAATCTACTAAAAATGGTCTTTATGTACTTGGAACAGGCTTGGCTTTGCTACTTACTACCTATGTTGTGCAATTGTGTAATACAACTGTGAGTAATACATCTAACCTTGTGGAATATACATTCTACTTCTCAGTGTCCTCATCTGTAAAATAAGGATTTAGATTACATGAGCACACAGAATCTCAGCCTTGGAAAGGACCTCAGAGGCCTCCTAGTCCAACTTTTTCATTTTAAAAATGAGGAAACTGAGGCCCAGAGAGGCTAAGTAACTTGACCAAGGTTGTATAGGTGGTAGAACCAGATTCTCATCCAGCCTGTACTGAATGAGTATCTCCCTTCCACACACCTAACAAAAATATGCTTTAAAAACCTCCAGGGAGGGGCGAACCCACTATCTCCTAAAGTAGTTCATTCCACTTTGGGATAGTTCCAATCATTTGAAAAATTTTTTTTGCTTATAGTGAGCCTAAATTTACCTCTTTGCAGCTTCTACTCATCACACCTCAGGTGCCATCTAATTTTAGATCCCAAAATGCTATGTTTTGCCATGAATAAGGCTCTCAAGGAGAGGGGATCCCTTTAGCATGATTATGCCATGCTCTTTAGATGGATTCTTTTTGTAGTACAACTCAGTAGAGGTTTTTCTCTGTAGTCGCTTAACCCAGTTAGAGAATAGGGCCATTTTGGTCCCTGAGGACCCTCTGGGACATGAGGTAAGGGACAAGGGGAAAGGGAACTGGATTTAGATTCAGAGCATGGTGAGTCCTTGTGTGGTTTTGCTAATTCCAATTGATTTTGTGGTCTTAGACTTTGGTCTTGGCTGGGTTGTCTTGAAAACACGTTGGATGTAAGTGAGGTCAGTCAAGAGAGGGATTAGAGCCTATTGAGGGGAAGGCATGTAAAGTCCACTGTCCTACCCATGTGAAACAATAACAAAAGGAGAGGATCACTGTTACTATAAAAAAGGGGCTTCTGTGATGAGCCGTTTCATGTCCCCTCTCACCCTTCCCCCAATGCCATACTCAGCCTTTGCTCCTGGGACCGCCTGATTGAGGAAGGCGTTGGCATCATCAGCACTCCCCACGCCCAGTGCGAAGCCTGTTAGGTTCCTATTAAACTTTCGGAGGATATCTGGTAGGGGGAGGGGGAGTAAAAAGCAAACAACTCTCAACTGAGGAAGATATGAGAAGGAATGTACCCCTTCCCCAAAGCTGAGCTTTATTTTCAGCCCCAAGTCCCAGTGCAATAATCCATGAAAGTCAAGGAAGATAAATTATCTGCCAGGTCTAGACCAGAAGCCATCAGCTGAGCTGACTGACTTGACTGACTCCAAGGATTGGTAGGTATGCATAGCACTAAAGTGTTTCAGCTATGGAGGTGTAAACTCTACCAGCCTAAACACATAGACCAGCTTCTGGAGATAAATGGAAAGAGATCATTCTTCCTCCCCTTTAAAGGCATTCAACATTTCTTGGCTCAGATTTGTTCTCAGGGTGCCTTAGTCAGGAGAGCCCACACTCAAATCTCATGATAGACCCAAGGGCCAAGTCTTTACTTACTAGGCAAGGTGGTCACACTTTCTAGTGAGGCATCACCTCCTGCACTGCAACCAGAGAAAGAAATACTGTTAAGACATGCATTTCCTTATTAAATTCCAAGCAGGTTGATGGCAGGAATTGTCTTAATCATTTTTGCATGTCCCCTCCCTAACCCCACCCCTTCCAACTCAATGCCTGGCATATAATAGGAACTTAAAAAACAATTGTTGGATTTCCTTTATCGAAAAGCAGAGTGTGACTTAATACAATGGGTTCTTCTTGGTGTCCCCATGAATACTGAAACACCATTTCTAGTGGTAGCTAGGTGGTAAAGTGAGAGTTGGGCATGGAATCAGTAAAATCTCAATTCCAATACTGTCTTTAGACAATTGCTAGCAGTGTGACCTTGGGCATGTCACTTAAAACTCTTTGAAACTCTCAATCAATAAACACTTATTGTCCACTATGTGTCAGGGACTGTACAAAACCAATAGCAAAAGAGGCAAAACAGACTCAACAACATTCTTATTATGGTTTAGCCATCCTAATCATCACCACATTCGAGAATGGCAGTTATAGCTGTGGTCTTCGGCTGGCCCTGAGAAACTTATTCAAGTCGTAACTCATAGTTTCGGTTTGTTGAAAACCTGGAATGTTCAATGGTAGGTCAGGACTAAGTCAGCCTGTGAACTAAAGTGATTGGTCTGGAATTCTTCAGAAATCAGATGAATTTTTGTTTGTCTGATAGAATTCTGCCTGGGGGGACCAGGAGAATAAAGTACCTGACATTAAACTCCCTTACAGTAAAATGATCCCTAAATTAATCTGATTCCACTTAACTTAGTATGGCAAATGTTCTTTAAATGCCTACTACGTGCTAATCAATGTTCTAGGGTCTAGGAATTTTTTTGGGGGGGGCATAGGGTCTGGATCTATGAATTCATCAGGATGGAGAATTCCCAGTGTGAGAATTCCCTTCACAGATGTAAATCATAGAATCATAAGTTTAGAATATTAAGGACCTCAGAGCCCATTGAGAGCCCCCTCTGATTTTAAAACCAAGGAAACTGAGGCAGAGATAGCCCAGATTCACATAGCTAGTAAACATTAAGTTGAATTTGAAACCAAGACTTCTATAATACAAATCCAATGCCCTATCCACTAAATATCATGCTACCTCCCTAAGCCTCAGAGACATTAAGTGATTTGCTCAAGATCACACAGATGGCAAGCATCAGAAGTAGGATCAGCAGTCCTTTGGCTCCAGATCTAATGTTCTTTCCACTGTGCCATTGCTGAACTCAGATCTTCCTTATTTCAAGGATAGCCTTTCAGCCACCAGATGCTATTTCTCACGCAACATCAAAAAGCCTAGAAAGATGAACCCAAAGGAGATCCTACACTCAAGGAGCAAGAACTGGTAGTAGATCTCAAACTTTAAGTCTCTAACTGCATATGGGTCAGGGAGAATAAAGAAACATCTCAATTTGCATCAAACTCCCATATTTGCAAAGTACCATTTTTTCACACATACACAAACACCTTCTCTCCCTTAGCTCCAAGAAAATGCTTCTAATTCCCCAATTTTTGAGAAACTCAGGGACAATGTGTGCTTGCAACTCACACTGCTCTCCTCCACATAAATTTGTTTTCTCCCAGCTTTGAAACAGAAGCCAGACTTTGAGCAGAGGCCCCTTAGAGGCTCTAAGATCTATCATCTTCACAGCTGCTCCTTCCATTAAGGAACCTTTTGAACAGAGCCCGCTGCCCTTTGTGAAAATCCAGAACAAGGGCTAAATCCTTGAACTGAGGCATCAGTTGCTCCAAAGAGTGAGTGCCTCAGCATTCACTCTTTTCCTCCCTGCTGAGAGGCTTCCCTTCTGACTGTCTCTAATCCAAACCAACAAGTATTTACTAGGTGTTAAGGGACTGGGGATATAAAGGCCCAATTTTTTAATTGAAGTAATGGGGGCCATTTGCAATGAGATCTCTCTTCTCTCCTTTACATCTCAGACACCCTTCCTTCGCCTCATTCCCTATCCTCTCACCATTTGTTCCACTCTCTGAAAAGGTGGCCCATCTCTTGTCATTGCTTCCACAACCATCCAACCCTAACCCATTTCTCTTTATAATTTTCAGCCACCTTCCCCTTCACAAAAAACTCTTTTCTTTACCTTACCTCCTCTAAAACTATCATTCTTTATCTTTTCTCTGTTACAGCTAAATTCTAGAAGAAAAAAAAGCAATGTACAGAGCTTGAGTGCACTTACTCTCCTCTTTGATCACTTATTAACCCTTTGCATTTTGGTCCCTGACCTAATCTTTCAATTGACACTGTCCTCTTCAAAGTTACCAATGATCTCTTACTAGGCACATCCAATGGCTTTTCCACCTCTTTCCTCATCTTTACAGAACTCTCTGCAGAATCTGACACTGCTCACTGTAATTTTTTCTTAGATACTGTCTCCCTTCTCTGACATTGGTCTCACTTGGTTCTTTTTCCTTCCTAACTTTTTAGCCAATCCATCTCAGACTCCTTTGCTGTATCATCATACCCGACCTTGTCATGGATGCCGTTCTCTTCTACCTCTATGCCCTTCTTCTTGGGGATTTCATCAACTCCCACAAATTCAACTATACTGTCTCTCCCTCTTCTGAAGTACCAACTCTTCTTCCTAACTTCCTTGTTTCCTTTATGGGAACCAATACTGTTGTTTGTAACCTAAGAGGAATGTATCATTCACTCCACTCTCATTAACCACCACCCCGCCACCGTGTCCAATTATATGCTAAGTCCAGTAATGCTATCTCTTCAACATCTCTCATATCACTCCCTCAGCCACAACTTCAGTTCAAGCCCTCTTCACTTCTTGCCTGTCCTATTGCAACGGCCTTCTCATTATTTTCCCTCCATTCAGTGTTTCCAGTTCATCTTTCATACAACTACCTTGGCTATTGCTCTAAAACTCAGAAAGTTCCAATGGCTCCATGTTGCCTCTATGCTAAAACATGAATTCATTTGTTTCACATTTAAAGTCCTTTACAATCTGCCTTCAGTGTACTTTTCCAAGATTATTATACTTCATTTCCTACTATGAACTCTACATCCCAGGCAAAATGGGCTGCTTGGTAGTCACTCTTATATAGTTCATGTCATTTCTCATTCTTTTGAAGGGTCTGAACAGAAGGCCTAGAATGCACACCTACCCGCCCCCCCACCCCTTGCCTCCATCTCTTAAGATGCATACCTTCCAGGGGCAGCTAGGTGGCACAGTGAATAGAGCACCGGCCCTGAGGTCAGGAGGACCAGAGCTCAAATCTGGCCTCTGACCAAACACTTGACACATACTAGCTGTGTGACCTTGGGCAAGTCACTTAACCCCAATTGCCTCCCCCCCAAAAAAACCAAAACCAAAAACAAGATTCATACCTTCCTTCAGTTTATTTCAAGTAATATCTCATATGTGACACCTTTTCAGCTTCCTTTCAGCTGTTGGTGCCTCATTCAACGCACCACTCCTGGCCTGCCCAACATCATTAAGTTGTTTTACTTTTTATATGTTCTGTATTTGCTTGTGTGCAGGCATGTTTATCTCAACAGAATTTAAGTAAGGTCCTTACAGTCCAGGGACTGTTAACTTTTTAGATTTATATTTCCAATTCTTGGAACATATATTGATTTTTTGATTTAATAGCCCCAGTCCAGAAAGATTCTACCGAGGGGATAGAAAATGGAAACAGGTAAGAACATACATGATTATTTGAGGTGAGAGGGAGAGAGAAAGGAGCGCTGTGTTAACAAGCAGTGATAGAGAAAGGTTATCCATAGGAAGTTGCACGTGAGCCAAGCCTTGGGATGCTGGTGCCAGACTTGGCTTATAGTATCTGGGCATTGATTTGTGATTCTGAGGAACTTCCAACAACTAGAAGATATAGGGCTGGGAACTTGTATTAGCTGCCCATTTCTTCTTTGAATGAAAGAACTGTGGACCTTGAAACTGACACTTGAAAGGAAAGGAAACCTTGGATTTAAATACATACATAAATACACTTTGCCATCTCCATTTCATCCTACACATTTTTACATACATCTGCATCCAACCGCTACAGCCCTACCTACTCCTATAAACACACCATTATGCCCACATTGACACCCTTAATGCTCAAGAAGTTTCTATCACAATTCCATGTGGACAAGTTTTCCCAATAATGGTTCTGGGAGACCAGGACCAGTATGCTTGGAGTAGTCCTCTGCCCTACTGACAGTGAAGATTAAAAAAAAAAAATACATATGGTTATTTGGAATAATTTAACTTTTGTACCAATTATGTAAAATGTGAAAGGAAGGAGAGAAAAAGATGGTTCAGATTCTTGCAAGTTCAGTAACATAAGCTAAGATTCTGAATTAATGAGGCAGAGAAAGGAATTTCAAAATGGTGATTTTTATTTTGAAGCATTTAAGCGACCCCAAATCAACCAATTTATTCCTATGGAAGGCAAGACCAGGCCATAGAGACCTCAAAACAACTTCTGAAGGATTTAACCCCTTGAAGACAGACCAGTAGTTATTTTCCAAAGCAGCAAGCCCAACAGGTATATTCACAGCCAAATTGCATCGTGAAGATCACAGTAACAACCAACCCAACATGAATTCTGGCTACATCTGTCCTTTCCTTATCAATGTAAAACTAGCTGGCTCTTGGCTTCCTATTACCCAGAGGGAGTAGGTTAGTTGCTTCCCTTATCATCATTTCAAAAGCAAAAGCTCCTATTGTTTCTGAAAGTGACTTTTACCCTCTGACTGAGTGCAGTCACCTTTTGTGCACCTGAATCTTGGGACAAGACGATATCTGTGTAGGTCAATTACTCAATTTTCCGCTCATATATTACAGAAGTTGAAAGGACCAATGGCAAATCGATGATGGGTTTTAGGAAACTTAGCTGGGTGAGTCAACTCATCCACCCATCACAGACTTCTGTTTCATCCCTAGATGAAGATGGGGAATTGGTTAAAAAATAAGTTCTTTATGGACATTACTTGGTGTAAAAGGTTGAATTACTCATATATGAAAGCTGGGAAGGATCCTTCTTGCGGTATGAATGGGCACACTTACTTCTTTCTTTTGACTGCCCCACCATTTCTATATTCTCTCACCATTTTGTAGGGCTCATTCATCTGGGTTTCACTCTCAAATTTCCAGCACCATGATACGACATCACTGCCATGTTAAGGCTGGACAAAGCTGCTATCACTGGCCTAACTTCCTTGGTTTATAATTAGTTTGGGGTCATTAGTTTTCTCACACTCTTTCTATTCTAATGGCAAACATCCCTTATCCTTAGTCACTACTATAAAGGAGAGGAACCAAAAAGAGCCTGAATTGCAAATTGAGAACTGAATTGGAATGGCTATTTGAAGTTCCAAGTGTTTGTCTCTAGTAGCAACTTGATATAAGAACTACCATCTAGGATGGTGACATCCAGAAAATCCAGTGGTCTCAGCTGCCATGGCACTTAGGGGACTGACACCTTGCTCATTCTGAAGCTTAAAAGTCAAAAGCTTCCAGAGGTCACTTCCCCTCTCTGTCCACCTTCCACTTTGAGACTCTCCTCAGGTAGAATCAAAAAGCATAATCATAGAAACCCCCAATGCTCTTTTTTGATTTTGGAGGAAAATGGGTTTGTTTTAAATTAACTCTGTAACAGAGATAGGCAGGAAGAAAATAGCAAAGAAGAGACAAGAAGGTCTTTGTGTTGCCAAGACTTTTATGACCACCTTACAACATCTTGGCTATCTTAGTTCTGTTTATCTTGTTAATTGAGGAGGGATACTCAAATCTATTCTTAGATGGCTGCTTGATGAAAATAGAGTTTCTCAGGAGGGAAAGAAATCTTAAAAACATATATTTCCTATCTTGGTCTGGTTCACGGATGGAGCAATGGAAAATGTCCTGGATTTGGAGTGAGAAGACATGTGTGTTGGATTCTTGGTCTTGTTGCTAACTATATATGTGACCGCCATAGGCCTATTTCCCTATTTGGAAAATAATATTGGGTAACATTTATATAGCTCTTCAAAATTCTGTAAAATGCTTTACATGCGTTATCTTATTTTACCCTCACAATGAATAACAGCGCTATAGCTGCTATCATCCCTATTTTAGAGTTGAACAAACTGAGACATAGAGATTAATTGACTGAACCAGAGTTAGACAACTAGAAAATAACTGAGGCAGGATTTGAACTCAGAGCCTCTTGACTCTATGCTTGGCATTTACACTACTATGCTACCAAGTGGACAGAATGGGCCTAGATGACCTTTTATTTTAAGTTCCCTTCCAGCTCTGAATACTATCCTACTATGAATACAATGCACAGCTTGCACATCAGTGGGCTTAGGTATGTGTATGTGTATATGTAGATTATTTTTATATATTTGAATGACTATTTATAATCAACGTATGAATAAATACCAGGCCTAGACGTATTTGTATGAGAATAAAAATTGTGTGATGAGTTTATTGTTGGCTTTTCTGACTTGGGAACCAGGAGAAAACCCTTCTTTCTCTGCACAATAAAAAGAAAAATATATAAATAACTTAAGGTTATTAATGAGATTTTGCCAGAGAGATGAGAGATGCCAGGGGCAGAAAGCTCCACCCACTGTCAGACACAGGCCCTATTAAGATTGTTGCTGAGCATTTTTTTTCTTCATTACAAGGGAAGGTTCAATACTGCAGGGCAGGGCATTCAGGACAATACTGTGATCTAAAAACAAAAGGCATCATTAAACACAACTTCCAATTTGGATTCCATGATTAATCAGGGTACCATGGATATTTTCTTTTTCCCTTCCTTGAAAAACAGAATCCCAATCCTTTTCCTTTGATGCCTACCTTTGTCTCCCCCCCGCAAGGCTTAAGCCCTCCCAATTACTGTGAGTGTGTGGTGGGGAGGATATTCCCCAGCTCTAGTAAATCCAAACTTTGTATTACCTGTATGATAGTCCCCGATATTGAGTAGTAACATCAGAAGGATCATCTGGTTTCGAGCGAATTCCATTTCCAGCCTTAAAAAAACAAAAACAAAAAAACAACCCAACATGTGAAGACCAGGAGAAAAATCAGAGAGGCAGTGAAAATAGAGGAGTGACACCATAGCTTATTGTGAAGGGTGCTGGACTTGGAGTCAGGAAGGCCTGGGTCCAAATATGACCCTGGGCCAAATCATTTAATTGCTCAGTGCCTCAGTTTGCTCATCTGTAGAATAGTGATAATAATAGCAACAACTATGGGTCTGCTGAGGTTCAAATGAGATTATTTATGTGAAGTTCTTTGCAAATTGGGAGTATTAGTTATTGGGTACCAACGGTATTATTTATTGGAGGGCAGTTTGGTATAGTACATAGGCTCCTAATTAATACTTGAGGAACTTGGGGGTTAATCTTATCTCTGCTGCTAACCAGATATGGTGTGAGTTAAGTCATCTAGCCTCCTTATGTCTCAAGCTCTTCATCTTAAAATATGGATAATAATAACTGACTTTTACACAATACTTTGAAGTTTATTAAGTTTTCCATAAACAAATATATGATCTTATTTGAGAAAGAAAATAATATCTCATTTAAGCTTCCCAACAACCCTGCAGGGGGAGATATTATCTCCCCATTTTACAGTTAGGGAAACTGAGGCTCAATGAATTTAAGTGACTTGCCCAGTTTCACAAACTAAGCGAATGAGGTGAGTTTAGAACTCATGTCTTCCTGACTAAAAGTGCAAAACTCTGAGCCTACTCTGTCTACTTAATGGTTGTGCTGTGAGAATCAAATGAGATTATGAATTGTAAAATCATTCTGAAAATTGTTCAAGGGCATACAAACACAATGTATTCTTATTTTCATCACCATCAAAGCTTTTTATGTCCTATGTCCTCAGGGAGGCCTCTTCCAATATTAAGTCACTGTAAATGGAGAGGTTTAGCTTAGAAGTTTAATCATCTCCCTTCTTTCTTTCTGTGTCATTCTGTAATGATGTCATACAGCCTTGGGAGTCTTGCCAGAAGCAGAGGGTGTTTCTGGGAATGGAAAAAAAAAATGGCCTTCTTTCCTCAGATAATTGGAGCTTAACTATGTATAATGCAGCCACCACCTGGCTCCTTCTTGATGACAAATCAAAGGGGCTAACAGATGGTAGAATGCTGACTGAAGCTATTAGGAGGCATTCCTGTCCATCCCACCCTATTACCCAAAAGCTTGCCAATGGCACAAATTTCCTTACGGTCAGAGAATCACCCACAGCTGCAACAACTTGAATGTCTGCTGGCTTCAGAGCATGTACTAGAAAGGCAAATGGACAAGTATGAGTCTTTTGGAAAGAAATAGAAGTCAGTCCTTGCTTGCTTAAAGGAGATGGGAAACACTGACAGTCAGTGAGTTGGGGCTGTCTTGGAGGCAGTGGGGAAGTAAGGACATTAAGGGAGGCTAGAAGTACAAAGGGTACAGGTAGGTGGAATGGAGGCTATGCTACTGAGTCAAAGATGTAGGTGGCAATTCTCAGGAACAAGCAGCACTAACATAGGCTAAATACATATGAGGATAGTCAACTAGTTTCTGCCATTAGAGGGTAATGCCCAGGGATTCGGATAGGAGACCTGGCTTGACCATTAAGCCAAACCTTTTAAGGTTCTATCTGAACTGGGTTTGGATATGGGTGAAGACTTGGGGTCAGGAACACCTGAGATCACGTTCTGTTTCTGACATATACTAATTATATGACCATGTGCATGTACGTTACTAACCTTCTCAGCTTACTGAGGTAATGCTCTAAAACTACAAAAGTTACAGAGGAGTTGCAGATCTGAATCAGTGGAGGACATTTCCAAAATGGGAGTTCCTCACAGAGATGAAATCACTAGATGCTGTATTCCTCCCCTCCATCCCTTCCTGACCAATCTAGTTATAGGAAGTGAATTTGTACCTAAGCTTTGCCACTTAATACATATGTGACCTTGGGCAAACCACTTAAACTCTCTAGGCCTCAGTTTACCTGTCTGTAGAACGAGTGGGTTGGACTAGATGACTTCTGAGGTCGTTCCTATATCTCGATCTATGATTCAAAGTGAAGGGAGAAATCTACGCTTTTTACTGCCTCCTACTGGGAATCAGTAAGTTAATGACCTTCTCCTTTCCCCTCTCAGTGCCTTTTTTCATGTTATTATTAAGTTTCTATAAATCCATTAAAGTGCAGCTCAAATGATAATGCCTTTCCAGACCTATCCCCTAAAATCTCACACAAAACTTTCTACTGGATCTGTTACATGCATTATCACATTGTGCATTATTTCTATCATTTCTATTTGTGCCCAATGTTTGTATCTATTAGATGGTTAGATCCATGAGAGCAAGGATCGTGTTTTATCCAAGCTTTGCCTCTCCTCCAAGGTGTAGCACAATGTCTTGCACATGTGAAGTAGTTGAGATTCGTCAGTATAAGGAAATACATATCTGAGTTAGAGGAAGCCTATCAACACTTTGGCCTTGATAAGTCCTAGGTACACAGAACTTAAATGACTTTCTCAGGGTCACACAGTGAGTACATGACTTAGGTAGGAACACTCCAACCACTCATGATGTCTCTTTCCTGCACACACAAATGCTTGTTGTCAGCACAATTGTGTGGCACAGGGCTCACTACTCAGTGGGAATTACAAACAAGGAAACTTTAGGAACACGTAGGAAGGCCTCAGGGGGCTGACCAAAAATAATGTGAGTTTAAATGATTAAGCAGGAGAAATGAACAACAGGAAGAAACAACAGATACTTTTTAGGCATAGGTAGGTAGATAAGCAGTAGCCAAGACTCGTGATGGATAGGGCTCTACCTTGGAATGTTGTGTGTATGTGTGTGTGTGTGTTCAACTGGAGCTCAGTTTTAAAGACACACAGGTCAGGTAGACACTGGACAGTCTCTGACAAAATCAAAACATTGATGGAATGCTTCAAAATAATTTCTGGATTTCAGCCACCTAATAATATTAATGCTGCCTGGGAGGCAGCATCATGTGATGGGGAAAATGATGAGCTTGTGTTTAGACAACCTGGGCCCCTCTACTTAACTTGTATTGCCTCAGTCAAGTCACTTCTTATGCCTCTGCCTTAGTTTTCTCCTCTGTAAGATCCAGGGATTGAAGAACAACACTGAAAGGCTTCAGAACTCTTGATTAATGCAGTGGCCAATTATGACTTCAGAAGTCTGTGGTGGACAAGGGGGGCAGACTGATATTTTCATTTATGATGAATGTATGTGGGCAATTTGTGCCTGACTTTTGTTATTTGTTACTATTCACTGGGATAGAAGAGGTGCATAGGAAGTGATGATAATGTAAAAGAAAAGATCACTAAAATACTTTCTTTAAAAAGAAAAAAATTAATGTGGTTGAACTAGATTACCTCTAGACCCCTCCCCCACCTTCAAGTTCTAAAATTCCATTATTTTATTTATCACTCTCTTTTGAAGGGATCAATGACCCTACAGGCCCTACCCCCCATCCCAATAGACATCCAGTTTTCCTCCCACATTCCTGCAGAGTAAACAAGACCATTATTCTCAAGAAACAGCTACTATTTTAGAGAGGGAGATTCCCTAGTACTGGGTACCATCTCTAGATTTATTACAAGACGAAGTCTGTACCCACTGGATGCTGACTCTGCTGACCAAATGAGATAACGTTTATAAAGCTTATAGCATGCTGTCTGGCATGCAGTAGGTACTGAAATTGAGCAGGCCAATGAGTGACTTCTCTTGATTACTCCTAACAGGCTGAGAAGACAATGGGGCACAACTGCTATGTGCCCTAAAAGCCTTGAGGAGTGCACAAATAAAGCAAATAAAGGTGGGCAGGGGAGAGCCTCGCAGTGTGCAGCATTGCTATTGGGGGTCTATTGACATTCAGGTCATTTTGAGTGATCCAGAATGGCAAAAGCAACTAAGAAGTAGAACTTAATTCAACTTTAAAGATTTAATTAAAACAGTAATTTGTGCACAATTGTTCCAAGAGTACTGAAGAAGCAAGCATTCAAACCCTATTTGTCTTAAGGTGCTTACCTGAGGTGGGAATAGAGGTAGAGGGGGTTGTGTCACCACACTTCAGCTGGCTCCCAAAATCCTAAAGGAACAGAAGGAGCTGAATGACATGGGGACAGGCAGGGATCAGGACTCATCACCAGCATAGCTGAACACCACACGGAAATTCCCACCCACCTTTGGAAAGGGAAAGATTATTAGCTCTTCTGGTGTTGACAAAAGTAGGATTTGATTGGTTGTATTGGGCACAAGGGTTGATTAAGTCTTCCCTGTTTTACTCATGTTTTATGCCTCCCCTAGTTCGTCTGGAGGATCAAAGATTGAGAACTGGAGGGCATCTTCAAGGTCAAGGCAGCAAAACCTCTAGGTTTACAGATAAACAAACTGGGGCCCAAAGAAGCTAAATGACATGTCTGAGATTACCACAGGTAATAAATGTCAAATCTTAAATCCAAACTCAATTACTCTGAGATCAAGCATCTCCTTGGCTTTTTCAAGGGCCGGGTGAGTAGAGAAGGACACTGAGATTTGTAGTACAAACCATTCAGATGTCATGGACAAAACATTTAGACAGGCACACTGGAGGCATTGCTTTATAAACCAAATAAAAACAAAATAGCAATACCAGATTAGGGCTGCTGGTGGTTGCTGTTGCTGTGGGTGCTGCTGCTGTTGGATTCGTGTAATTACTGTTCTTGTAGGTTCGAAGGTAGGGCTGATCCTATAAAAAGAGATTGGTCAGCTGATAGCTACAAATGAGCAGCTTTTGGAGGCTTACTTCTGAGTCCTGACTTGACTTTGCTCCCTGATAAGAACTGACTTTTACATAGCACTTGAAGGTTGTAAGATCATAGATTTAGAATCATACTTCAATACCTACATTGCTACTATTATAGGTTTTGCTATTGCTGTTACTTCTACTGACACTTTTACCAATGTTATTACTGTTCTTATTACTGTTGTCACCTCTCTCATTATTCCTGCTTTGCCATAATTACTTCCTCCTGCAAGTACTGTTACTTCTGCTATTATACCCATTGCTGGGATTGCTACTATTGTTATTATCAGTTTGTTTTTTTGGCAAGGGATACTATTCCTGCTGGTTCTGCTATTGCTAGCACTGCTGTTACCATAATAATACTACTGCTATTATACTTTTCTACTATTGTAAATACTAATAATACTATTCCGATCAGTAGCTTTACTAGATAGATACTGCTACAAGTACTACTAGGACTTCTTCTGCTATTGCCATTATCATTTGTATGTTCCTCTGTCATTGACAGATTCTAAATAGTACACATAAATTAGAAGGCCCTTAGACATTGTCAGAACTCCTTAAATGGACTATTTCATTTTAGTGTTCATAACAATCCTGAGGAAAATACAAAAGTTTTATTCATCTCCATTTTACTGAAGAAGAATCTGAGGCTCAGAGTGGTTAAGTGACATAAGTCATGTAACGAGTAACAGCAACAACAATAATAGCATTTATCATATGGAAGGATTCTTCTAGACACTGTAGGAGACATAAACACTCTCTGTTTTCGTTGACCTTTCAGGCTAGGGAATATTATACATGTTATTCAAAGGAATATGCACATGTATGTAGATAATTAGGATACAAATTGTAAGGTGGGGTCTGAAAGAAAAAGGTCACTATTTTAAGGAGCTGAGAAATAGACTGGGAGAGAAAATGGAAGATTTACTGAAGGATGGGACTTTGTGATTTGTGTTGGGCTTTGAAGGATGGTTAGGAATTCAAGAGAAGACATTTCAAGCTTTGGGTTCAACATGAATAAAAAAGCATAGGACATGAATGAGGAAGACAAATGGCCAGGTCAGTGAGAACACAGAGTGAAATGATGGTAGCAGTAAGAGAAAAAGCTGGAAATGTGTGAGGCGCCAAGTTTTGTAGGGCTTTAAATAACAAGCTGAGGAATTTGGCAATAGGGAGTTTCTGTCTTCCTGGGCCACCTCAGCATCACTTCCAGGAACTCACATGAAACTCATTAGTTATTTAAGATTATTCATAATGTGGGTCTAATAATAATTGAACAATGTTTCTCAGAGTGGTACTGGGGACAGGTAGGGGGCTGGAGACAAAAAAAAGACTTTAGAAGGTGTTACAGGAACATCAATTTAGTATGCGGCTATAGGAGATGCCACAATAGAGTAGGCTGGCTTCAACAACTCAACTTCCTTTGGTCCTCCAAAACTCCCAGCTTACAACTTGGCGATCTACACTTGGACCTGCTCCTAATACCACAACCCTCTCTCTAGTCTGGGACACCTAGTTCCTAAATCTTGAGAATTATCAGTAAGCTCAGAGTCCTTGTTCCTGCTAAATTAAGTCTCCTTTACCCAATAGCTTGCAACCTATGCTTAGCCCTAATTCACACCTGGGCTTGAGAGTTAGTGACTGACCTAAGATTGTCCTGACATGCCCATACCCATAGCAATTGGATAAGGTCTGGAAATCCGCATTGAAAAATTGCCAAGATCTCCTCTACTATCTGCTATAATGCTAAGGGAGCTAGATGAATAGCCATTTTATTTGAGATCACCTGAACGGTTTCATAGTCTTTAGGTTGGGACCTTAGAAGTTATCCAAGGTGCTATGGGACATGAAGTGTTGGGGAACCTGAAGGAGTGAGTGGTGTTGGTTATGGAATGAAGCATGGTCCCAAGTTACCCAACTAAAGGAGAGGTCTGGTGTGAGGGATTGTCTGATGTTGGCTATGTGCCACGTGGGGGTGGGACGGCAAGGAGGAGGGGCTAGGAAGGTATATAAGGGGGGTAGGGATCGGAGCGCTCGCTGGCTCCTGCTCTCTTGCTCCTGCTCTTGCTTTCCTGCTTGGCCTTGCTGTGATGGTCTCTGAGTAAAGTTCGAGTGCTTGCACATCCTGATCGGCTCGTCTCTATGTTTATCCAGGTGGGCTCTGAAGACTGGTAGGTGTGACCCTGGCAGCCTGCTCCTGTTAGGAGGAGAGTGCACGGCGCGGCCGGCACAGTCTGGAGAGACAAATTTCTATGAAAGCACCATACCTGACTAGGGCAAATTAGATCCATAATGACTTCAAACTGAACTTCATCATTCTTCTCTCCAACTGGTTCCAGCTAAATGAAGAAATAGCGGAAAGAAAAATGGAAATCAAGTCATTCAGCCTCTGTTTGAAGACCTCTAATGATGGGGAAATCATTACCATTTGAAACCTGCCTTTTGAAGAACTTTTAAATGGTAGGAATGAAATCTCCTACTCGTTTTCCAGCTTTGTATTCCGGGATTACTCCATCTTTGGCATGAGATTGTTTCAAATACTTGAAAGTATCTCGCATATTTTGTTTCCTAAATCTATTTTTTTCAGGAAGAACCCATAGTTCTTTCAACTAATCAGTCAGTCAGCAAGCGCCTGGTCTATGACAGTCAAGAGGCATTTATATTCAAATAGATATTTATTGATTTTTTTTATGCTTTATATTAGCATTTACTCCTGTGTTTCTCCACATGGCTAGACTGGTCTTTAAAATAAAGATTAAAAAAAAAACCCATGTAATAATACCTACTCTCTGCCAGGTACTGGAATAGGTGCTTAGGATACAAAGACAATTCCAAAATAATGCCTGTCCTCAAGAAACTTACATTTTCTTAGAGCTTTACATTCCAATTTCCAAAATAATCATCTCAGCCACCTTCCTTCTATGAATGGACAGCAGTTTCTCAATGTCCTTCCCAGAACTCTTCTGATGAGAGCAGAGTAACACAGGACTGTCAACCGCCTTCATTCCATATTCAACTAGACTATTATTGATATAGACTAAGATTGCATTAGTTTTTTTTTGTTTGTTTTGTTTTGTTTTGTTTTTTTGTTTCCCACAACATTGTTGTCTCATCTTGTAAGCTACTAAAAGCAGGGGGGTGCTGGTGAATGTTTATCAGCTCTTAGGGTTGGGGTGGGAAAAATGTACGCATAATACACTTTAAAATTTAATATTATTAACATTTTCTCCATAATTTCTTAACACCAGACAATTTTAAAAAAACAATAAATCAAGCTGATTTCTAAACTGTAAATGCTTCTACTAAAAGTTTTACAATTGGTTCTCGCTGGCCAATTCAAACTCTAATGCCTGCCTGGCTAAAATCTTGAGGACTTTATCAAGCCAAATGTGGTCTAGCTATACCTACTGCACCCTGTACCTAAAAGATGTATTTTTTGAACTAAACATACAACTAATTAGGGCAAAAAGGTCAGGATTGTGAGTTGGAGGTGGAGTAGAGAGGGATTCAATGGATTTTTTGCCTGCACTTATCTCTATGGTTTTAGGGCAAAGATGATGAGCCTTCAAGTCAGACAAAAAGAATTTTCCCATTAGAGGACAGATGTTCCATCTTACCATGTTGTTCCAGAGCGCCCTGGCTATACGTGCATGGGTCTTGCGGTGAAAATGGAAACAATCTGGGGCGAAGAAAGAGCTGTCAGGCAACCCCTCCTAGTCACAGAAAGAGGAACATTGAGAATCAGGGAAATCATGTGACCAGGCTCACTAGAGTCAAAAAAGACAAGAAAATCATCTTCTGGAGTGCTTTTTTCTTTACCGGGGTCTTGGGCATATTCACTTTCTCCAAAAATGGCTGCAAAACCACTGTGAAATCCTCCTTAGTATCATATCTTCCACTGTCAACCAGCTGATGAGTTGCCTCCTAAAGTTTGGGGTGGGGGGGAGAACAAAAAAAATAAAACAAGAGCCAAAGGAATTTTCGCATATTCCCCTGGGCACAACCTCTGATCAGGCAGTAGGCCAACATCCCAAATTTCCTTTGATTTTGCCTGAAAAAAAAATCAGAAAACTTGAACCCTGAAGTATACAACCCAGTAGCCAAATAGTCAACCAAGAAAAAAAAGTTCATCTAACACTTCTTGTTTTTGATTCTTTGTGAGCCCATTTGGAGTTCTCCTGCCAAAGATACTGGAATGGTTTGCCATTTCCTTCTACAGCTCATTTTACAGATGAGGAAACTAAGGCAAACAAGTATAAGTGACTTTCCCAGTGTCACACAGTTAATAAGTGTCTAAGACTATATTTGAAGTCAGGAATCCCTGATTCAAGGCCCAGCACTCTACACACCACACCACTTAGCTGTCCTAATTCAATTATTCAGGGTCCACTTACCTAGTCTGGTGATTGTCTTTACCTCATACTTCTGTCCCTAACGGCTTATGATCACATGTATTTCATATAATTGGGATTAGACATCACAACATGGTAACTTTTTTTGAGGCAATCGGGGTTAAATGACTTGCCAAAGGTCACACACATAGCTACTAAGTGTCTGAGACTGAATTTGGACTCCTGCTTCCAAGGTCAGTGCTCTATTCACTGCACCACCTAGCTGCACCCTGCCTCCCCACTCTCGCCGGGGCTACTATGTTAGTGGTCTGATAAAAGGCTTAGTATGAGAGCAGGTATTACAGTTTTTGTAATATCTATGCATTTCCTTGATCCGTGCTCCCTCTGTCCTTCCTTGGTACAAAATATCCCAACCACCCATTCCTATGGGCAGTTGGAAATATTTCGTTCTATTGAACAGAGATTTTACCAGATCTAGCTTTGCCGCTTCCCAAGGTTACAACCTTGGGATGATAATTTCCCCAGTATCAGCCTTTCAAACTTGAAATCAATGAGCCTGTGATAGTGAGATTCAGAAGGTCTTCAACCTTCCTGTTACACATAGGAATCACAAATCTTAGCAGCTAATGGGTACACTATCCAGAGGCATAGCAGGGCTAGACAGTGGGACAGATCCCTGACCAGGAGCAAGAAGATCCCATTTCTGGTCCCATTTCAGCCTTGAATTTTCAGCAAGTCACTTCTTGTATCTGATCCTCTCCTTTAGCTGCTGTATAAACTGAGGGGATGGGACTGAGAGCATCATGATGCCTTCTAGCTCTCAGAATCAATGAGCTTCACATCCAAACAGCACACAGCAGTATTTACCACCTGAGCCAAAGTCAAATTTCCTTGAGCATTAGAAGGGCTCTTTGAGGAGTCCAGAATTAGAAAATGCCTTCACACTAATCCCTTAAGCCAACCTGTCTCCCTTCAATCTTACCTGGTATTGTTTATTCAACTGAATGAGGCCTGAGTGTTCCGTAGAATTGTCTTCAAACTTCAGCACACAAGGGCAAATGAAGCTGTGGAATGAAACCCAGAGGAGCCCCCCACCCGACCCAGTACATCACTTGGAATTTGTGTGGCTACAGGAGAGGCAGCAACTTTCATTTCAAGCTCCCCCAACCAGGGTACGGGGGCTCAGGAAAGAAATCCCTCTGAGTTGGGGAGGCTGGGGGAAAGGTGGGACAAGAGAGAGGCATTTCTGTATGTGGCTCAGGAATAGCAGGAAAATAATATATCAGACATGTTGGAAAACATGTAACAAAAAGAGGTGAGAGACAGAAAGAATGATTGATAGAGAAGATCTGACATCACTTGGACTTTATAAATAATCAAGGCCACTTTTCTTCATGAGGCTGAACCTCTTTCACAGTCTTTGGGGGAACAGAGTTCCATACCTGAGTAGCCACTTTAGACAGTTAGCTTTCTCCTCCTGGTACAGCTCCCTCAGACTGGTAATTCTTAGCACACTTACTAGATTCACAAAGGCTCGGGGAACCTGCACAAAGAGTAGAATGATGATGGCGATAACAATGCATGTTCATGTAACAATAATAGCAAATATTTGGATACAGCTTTGCAAAGCACTTTAAATATACTAGCTCATTTGATCATCAAAATGGCACTGTGAGGTAGATGCTATTATTATCCTTATTATACAGCTGAGGAAACTGAGAAGGAATGGTGATTTATCCAAGTACATGTCTCGACTAAGTATTTAAGCAGGACTCAAAACAGGGATTCCAGACTGCAGGTGCTCCTCTATAATCACTATACCACCTAGCTGCCTCTATCATATCACAACATTATGAGATAGGTAGTACAAGTATTATTCCCATTTTACAGATAAAGAAACAGGCTAAGAAAGGTAAAAAGCCTTGTCCATGGTTATATAGATAGTAAGTATGAGGGCTAGGATCCAAAGACAAGCCTCTTGACTCAGAGACACAAGGACTCTGAGGAGCTATGTAGATCTCTTCATTTGTGTGTCAAGATACTGTAGGTTTGGCTTCTCTTGGAAGTGTGTCTCATTTCACGGAGGCCAATGATCTTTAGCCACCCTGAACCTATTGCTTCTATCCTGCTTTCTGTGCTTTCCTCCCTTTATCCTCAGCGACTTTGTGTCAGCCATTGGATTTGGCTACCAGGCCAAATGCCTGGTGGTAATGATTTAAGGATGGTAAATGGCAGTTTTGTGACCTATGAAGTTTATCAGAGGTGAGATTACTGCAGAATAAAAACTACTCAAGCAAAATAGAACAGAACTACAATGAACCATGAGAATCATCTGGTCCACCCTCATCATTTTGTTGATGTCAATCAGTCAATACACATTTATTAAGCTCCTACTATGTACTAGGCATGGTACTCCTATGTACTAGGGATACAAAGAAAGACAATCCTGGCTCTTCAAACAACATGCAAAAAGTTATGTACAGATAAATTATAAGATAAATTATAAATAGGAATTAAGAAGGATTGTGAAAGGCTACATGAAAAGGGTGGATTTTTAGGAGCAGCTAGGTGGCACAGTGGGTAGAACACTGGCCCTGAAGTGAAGAGGACCTGAGTTCAAATCAGGCCTCAGACCAAACACTTGACACTTACTAGCTGTGTGACCCTGGGGAAGTCACTTAAGCCCAATTGCCTAAAAAAGAAGATGAAGAAGAAGCAGAAGAAGAAGAAGAAGAAGAAGGAGAGGGTGGTTGTTAGCTCTGATTTCAAGGAAGCCAGGGAAGCCAAGAGAAGGAAATGAGGATCAAGTGCATACCAGGTTGAGAGGGGACAGCCAAAGAAAAGGCCTGGAGTCAGGAGAGCCCCTGGAGCATATTGAGTAGCGAGATGACATGGTCAGACCTGTGCTTTAGGAATCTTTAGGAAGATCTATTGTGGCAAGAGACTTGTGTCAGGAAGACCGACCAACCAACATGCTATTGCAATAGCCCAGGCATAAGGTAATAAGGACCTACACTAGAAACCTGAGGCCGAGCAGACCACTGGAGCTGGTATGCTGGGCTGGTATGAACCAAGAGAGTTAAGGCAGAAGTTCATTAAGAATATAAACATGAATTCCATACCTCTTCATGGAGGATGTCCAGAGCCTTCCCAATGTTTCCTGAGAAGTTCTGAGGAGAAAAGCGAACCTGTGGAAACAAGATATTTCTTAACTCTTTGGATAGATGCACATGTTTTAAATCCACTTTTCTTTCCTGGGTTCTATTCTTTACTGTTATCCAAGGCCTGAGTAGAATTGCCAAGTACATACATGTTAGCCTCACTTTCAAGCCCTCCAACCCTACTTGTGAGCCCAGGGCCTGTCAGCATCCTATGATTCTGCCCCATTGAAATTCATCTGTCCTCTGACCCCAAGGTGTCAAGCAGCTCATCCCTTGAGCAGGTTATCTTGCTGTGCTAACAGAGGAGGAAAAGCATACTAAGGTCTTGCAGCTAATATATGTGCACCTGAACTATATACAATCAGCTGTACAACCTGCAAGTGACTCTGATGATGGATGTTTCAAACCAAGGGATGGAAAATGACAGCCAGAGGAGGGAAGATCAGATGATGATCTCCAAAGTCACAGGAATGACTGAATTAACTGGAATTTAGACTAGACACAACACATACATGTATACATGGGTATACAAATATGCATATCTATGATAGGTGGGTGTTGCAGTGGACAGAACACTGGATTAGGAATCAGGAAGTATCTGCTTACGAAATTCAAATCTGGCTTCAGACATTTATTAGTTGTGTGACACTGGGCCAAGTAACTGAATCCTATTTGCCTTAGTTTCTTCACCAGTAAAATGAGCTGGAGAAGGAAATGGCAAACCACTCCAGTATCTTTGGCAAGAAAATCTCAAAGTGAAAAGAGTCAGACATGACTGGAAAATGTCTGAACAAAATTTCTGTACACACACAAATGTATATTCTGTGTCCAAATGCACAGATAAACATATATATATACCTATATGTGTTGATGTGCATACACTTATACACACATATACATGATCTTGTCTTCAAAGACATAAAGTGCTATGAGGAAGTAGGGGTAGATTTAATAATGATTGTCATTCTTGTCATTGTTGTGTGCTATATATCTAAATTCACAGAGCCTACAACAGTGACTGCCACATAGTAGGTACTGAATAAATACTTGTTCATTGATTTCTACAAAGGAAATATATTTAATAATATGATTTGTTGTTGTTCAGTTATGTCTAACTCTTTGTGTCCCCAGTTGGGGTTTTCTTGGCAAAGATACTGCAGTGGTTTGCCATTTTCTTCTCCAATTCTCTTTAGAGATGGAGAAACTGAGGCAAACAGGTGAAGGGACTTGCCCAGGGTCACACAGCTAGTTAAGTATCTCAGACCAGATTTGAATTCATTCTCCCACCTCCAGGCGTGGTGCGCTATCCACTATGTGACCTAGTTGCCCCAATAATAACAATAACACATAGGGAAAGGGAATAGACGCATGATTTCATTGATATAGGAAACTCTTAGATGAGGAAAGTTCCTCTACCAAGGTGCATTATGACTTTTTCTGTAACTCATCATTGTAGGAAAATGCCTAGACAACTGAGAGGTCAAGGGACCTCGGGACAGGGTCACACAGCAAGGATATGTCAGAGATGGGATTTGAATACAGAGTTTAAAGCTCTTAGAGCTGGAGTCAAGAGATAAAACATAAAATTTTAGAGCCATTTAAAATTTTCAGAGCTTAGAACTACACTAAGACTTTTGGGGCAAGCTGTATCATCTCATTTGAACTTCTTGAAAATCCTGTGATACAGATATTACTCTACCTAGAAGTGAGTGACCTTCCTATTTCCCTGTTAATGACAAGGCTAGGTAGGGCACTATAGGATTCATATACATGACTAGCTGAGGTGCAATGAGCCCTGAGTCCTGTATTATCCCAACCCAATAGTGCTATTACACAAATCTGCTAATCAGAGGCTATGGAAACCCCTTTCCTGAGAGTGGAATATTGGTTCCAGTGTCTTACCAGGGACTTACCGGGTCATTGCAATAGCCACAGAGGTCATTTCCTCCTATAAAGAGGGTTATAATCTTCCAATCCTCTTGGAAATTGATCCTCTGAAAAGATTTTAAAATCAAATGAACAAAACACACAGAAATACAACTCATAGTAAAAGATAAAATGAGAAATAACTGAGCCTTCAGGAGCAATATTAAAATTAAAATTAAAAAATAATTTTAAAACCCACTAATAATAAGGACCATTCAATCAACAAGCAAGCAACAGGGCCTGAATTTAAATCCTAAACTACCTTCATCTACTGGGCCAATTATCCAACCTCTCTGGGGCTCACTTTTGTAGGACCATGGATAAAGTGCTAGAATGGACTTCAACAGCTAAGTCCAATTCCTCGGTTTTACAGATGAGGTAACCAAGTTTCAGAGAGATTATATGACTTGTCCAGGGTCATATAGCTATTAAGTGTCTGAGGTTGGATTTGAACCCAGGTCTTCCTAATTCCAAGTCCCAGCACTTTAGTGACTACACCACTTATATGATGATGGTGTTGGACTAGATGAGTGGTGTAGAATGTCTGCTTGCTGCATTGTGGCAAATAACAATCCAGACCGAGGCTATAAAAAAATTGAAATATCATGTAAAAATACAATAATATAAATAATATCAATATTGACCACTGTTTCAACTTGAATTTGATACCACTGGACTAGATAATACTATGGGGCACTTCTCAACTCCAGATGGATCTTGCTATGGCAAGATGGATAGGTTTAACTTTGCAGTTCGGAACTTCATGTACTGAAAGTGGAAACAGATATTTGTGCTTTGCATCAAAAAATTCTAGAGGGAAGTCCTAAACCTTATAGACCATTCTGTACATCTCATTTCTTTACAAATAAGGAAACTGAGGTTCAAAATACATAAAGTAACTTGTCAAAGCTCAATTCCTTCACTTATTTAAAAGACGCTGTCATCTCCTCATTATAGTTGCTTACTGCCCTGGTATAATATACATGGCAAAGCTTTTTCATGTCTTTCAATCAGTTCTTCACAGAGGATTGACTCAACCTGAGGTCTTTTATGAGTTCTCTTAATATTTAGTGACTTTACTGTTCAGTTGTTTCAGTCAGGTCATCTTTTGCTGTTTTCCTGGCAACAATACTGAAGTGGTTTGGCATTTCTTTCTTCAGGTCCTTTTATGGATGAGGAAACTGAGGCAAACAGGTTTAAATGACTTCGCCAGTATCACATAGCTATTAAGTATCGGAGGCAGGAGTTGAAATAAGGTGTTGCTGGCTCTGGCCTGAAACTCAATCCACTGTGCCACCTAGCTGCCTAGCATAGCTGCCAGTATAATATTCTGCTTATCTATTGTCTCTTAACCTCACCACAAGACTGTTCCCATGCCAGCTCCAGTCATATATATTCCTTTTATTTCTTTTTTTTATTTTATTTTTTACTTTTATTAGTGAGGCAATTGGGGTTAAGTGACTTGCCCAAGGTCACACAGCTAGTATGTGTCAAGTGTTTGGTTTTAGGCTGGATTTGAACTCAGGTCCTGCTGACTTCAGGGCCGGTGCTTTATCCACTGCACCACCTAGCTGCCCCCCTTTTATTTCTTTTATGCTACTTTGCATGCATAGGTCATCCTTGTCAAACGTACTCCATAACTATATTTAAACTCACCATGAGTTATCCTTTGACCATTTGGGTCACCTGCAAGTATTTTCTTTCTGAGATTGGGCTGCTCCATAATTTTCATAATTTCATAATTTAACACCACAAAATGTTGGTGTTAAAAAGATTGGCTTTTGTAGCAGCAAGCAGTTAAGTATTCCTTAAAACTCTATGCCTTGGACCAAATGGGATCCAAATCAATCTTTTGCCTTTGAGTTCTGGGCCCAGATCAATGTCGATCTGTATAGACTGATGGACTACTTTAGTGAATTGACCCTGAACCACATGCAATAATTTGAACAATGCATCTCTCAGCTCCTTTTTTGGTCTTTTTTTTTTGAGTGTCTGCATCTCATTGAGAAGGCACTGTAGTGTGCAAAATCTTGCTGTACTCAGCTTAATGCTGGTTGAAAACAACAGGATCTGTGAGAGGAACTCTCCATCAAAAGGGAAATTGTACACCCTCAATGACACTGGGCAAACTCATTTGGTAAGTCAATTGATCATGTCAATATTGAAAATTATTGAATAAAGCTATAGCTATGGTCATATGTGTTACGGTATCTTACACAGTTAATCTTGGGTGACATTAACACACGTGTGGAAGACATCTTGCCCAAGAATTGATGGGTATCAAGAGGTTGAGTCAGAATTTGAAGCCATGTCATGAGGATGAAAAAAACCGGTAGGCATTAAAGGCTTAGCAACGCTAGCTGGACCAGCTGTATTAGGCATGACCACTGGTCCTGCAGGTGATTCTAATCAGCCACACCTAGCAAACAGGCCAATGCCAAGCTCAGGGCAGCCAAATCACCCAGGTAGACCTCAATCCCTCTAACACTGACACATGCCCTAACCTGAATGCAGATGCCCCTCCAGAGTCATTGTTCCTGGAGCTCAGCCAGGATGAAGGGTGTGGTAGGAATTACCGATAATGGGAACAGTATAATTTGGCAGGAGATTACAGCATGTAGAGATTTACAGATAATATGAAAGGACTCTTCAACCTTAAGGGAGGTTGGGAAAGAAGTTGTTCTCTAGTGTCCTAGAAACCAAGATTTTCACTTTGAATGAAAGGAGGAAGGCATTATCTCCTATTGAAGTCCTTTGGAAATGGCCCACTGAACCTAGAGAGCTATAATAAGCATTCTTACAATTTAATACTAATTGGGAACCAAGACTGCGGGTGGGTGGGGTTATCCAGAAGACAGTGAAAGATCCAGCCTTTCTAAATAAGCTTAACACTTTGGATTGCTTTTGTCAGAGTTGAAAACACCTTTCCCTCAGAAAGCACAGAGAAATAGTGTGTGGTGGGAACAGGATGAGTTGGAAGGGCTCAATCTTTTCTCGAGACCAAACTGCTCATTTCTAGAATGTGGATAGACCACCATCAGGAGGGTAGAGAAAATTGTGCAAAGCCCTTGCTATCCCTTTATACTGTGTCAGGTCTGTGTAACCTTGGCCTCTCTGATCTGTCTTTCTTAAAGAGGGAAAGGTGCAAAAGAATTGAGGGAAAAAACTAACAAATAACTACATTAATGGTACTTAACAGGCTATTCGAGCATACAACGTTTATTCATTTCTTTTTTGACAGACCTGGGATTTCATTTGCTTATGGAACTCACAAGGGAAAAGATTCTGACAAAGCAGATCAGCAACTATTACACAATTTATACCTTTGGAGAGTTGCCTGCAGTATTGAGAAGTTAAATGACTTGCCCAGGTTCACACAGCCACCTTGTGGCAGAGACTGGTCTTGAATCCACATATTATTCACTAGCTCTCCAACCATTACTACATGCTGCTTCTCAAATAAATACATAGCCTCTTAATTATTTCTTTTATCTATTTGGATGTGACCCTAGGAAAACATTTAAACAAAATGTTAAAACATTTAACATAATTTAACAAATTAACAGGGTTAATTTGGAGACAACAGAGAAGAGATCATCAGTAAAGCTTTCTACAGATGCAGGATTCAAATGTTTTAAGTTTCAAACCGAGGCTGCTACCTATTTATCCATTTGTCCATTGCTCAATCTGACAAATGCCTTTGATCTGTGTCTCTACCATATTCCTCAGGCCTGGCATTCTGTTTAAGGCATTCCATAATCAGTAACTTCAGAGGCGCCATTCAGTCATTCTCTGAATCCATACTTACTGTATCATTCTTCATCAGGTCCACCAATCTCCTAGCCTGGTTAGACAGATCCCTACAATAACACAGAAAGAAAGATACTTTAGAAGTAGTCATGATAACTTGGGATTAGAAAGAGGAAGTTATAGCAGAGAGAAGGTAGATATACAGAATCCAGATGCATGTAGACAAAAGGAAAATCTGGAAAGAGGCTTCCTGATATGCCTAAATTTTGGTGGGAGGTGAAAACACAAAGAACGAATGGATAGGAATGGAAATCCCTATGTAGTCTCTTCTGCCATTCTTTTGGTCATTATGTGGTTCATTATAACTTTCTCTCTGTTTTCTAAGTTAAGCTTTTAAAATGTAACACGAAGGGGGCCGCATACTCTGCTCCTGCCAGCTTGGACATAACAAAGCTTCTCAGTGACTATAGGTTTAGGAGAGAAGGTGAGCAGTATTTTCTGTGGTATAAAGAGAGAGAAGAGTGCTGGATTTAGAAAGATGAGGTAGAGATTAAGACGTGGATTCAAATCCTACCCTGACACGATAAGACCCTGGCCAAGTAATTCTAGTCTCTCTCAGCTTCAGTTTCCACTTCTATAAAATGAGGATAATAATACCTGTAGCTCCTACCTCAAAGGGTTGTTATGCGGCTCAAATGAGATACTGCTTTACAAACTTTGAAACACTATATAAATGTCAGTGATTGACTGATACATGCACATGTTGGGAAGAAATACCACTTTCACCCTTTGACCATTTCAACTCAGGTAACTTTTAGTTTATTAAACAAATTGGTTCATCCCCAGAATTAATTCCTTATACAAGAAGAGACCATGCCCCAAAAGAAAAGAGGCCGTGTCCCATAGATACTCTAGCTTGACTGAGATGCCTCTTCATGTCTCAGTTTCTCAATCTGTAAAATGGGGAAATAATTGCAAATCTATCTCACAAGAATCTAGTACTGAGGATAAATGAGATGTTCCATGTGAAAGTGCTTTTGAGGGGCAGCTAGGTGGCGCAGTGGATAGAGTACCGGCCCTGAAGTCAGGAGGACCTGAGTTCAAATCCGGCCTCAGACCAAACACTTGACATGTACTAGCTGTGTGACCTTGGGCAAGTCACTTAACCCCAATTGCCTCACTAATTTAAAAAAAAAAGTGCTTTTGAGATTTGAGGAAGAAAAATTAATACTTAAATCCACTGCATTAATGTAACTACAGACAGGTGTAGTCTCTGCTGGAGACATTGATTCTTTGTAGGAAACATTTAATCCTGTCATAGCTTCATGGGCCAAGCAGGCACCAGGGCGTCATCCCCTTTAACATTTTCAATTGGTCAAGGGTTTGGTCTAAGTTTACATAGTCAGTGAGTGAGTGGAGGGGGTGGAAATTGAAGCCAGGTCCTGTGAATCCACATCCAGCATGCTTTGTACTACCTCTCAAATGAAAACAACTGGCTGTGACCAAAAAAAAAAAAAGTGTGGACACATTGTAGAAATTAAATTTATTCTGATTCTTCTTCTTCTAGCAGTAGAGTAATAAGTATAGAAAATATAGAAGACCCCTTCCTTCCCCTCTGACTCCCACTCTGAAACCCTGGCCTCCTACACTTGGACACACTGGCATATAAGTAATGCATATGAAACACATATATAATATATGGATGGACATTCATACATGCACACCCACACAATGCATATAAACATAATGTATCCATAAGCATAATACACATGTGTACACATGACATACATAGAATACACATGCACACTAAAGCTACTTCCTGCAATGAGCCAAGGGATCCCCTGAAAGTGAATGCCCTGACTATCCTGATACTCCCAGATCTCCCTTGTGCAGAATCCACACCGAACTCCACACGCATTATCTAGCCCACGCAGCTGCCAAGCAGGAAACCTATCTGGCTTTCCAATTATTTGCCCCCAAGGCCACTACTTACTCTGCTCGGGCTCCTGGCACAGCCTGATTTAGGGAGGCATTCGTGCTGTAATGGTCTCCAGTGCCAGTGGAGAAGCCAATCAGGGATGGGTTGAATTCCCTGAGGATGTCTAGAAACATAAGAGCAAACATAACAAGAATTCAATTCTGCATGAAAGCTCTCTAGGAAATCAATCGAACTTGGAGGTAGAGAGAGTAGAGATGGAGGAAGGAAATAAAGATTCTCCCAAATCTCTGGCTTCAAAAGGAATGCCACACAAAGAATGCCCGTAGGGTGGTGAAAATGTCAGGAGCAGATACTGAGGGGCACAAGGCAAGAAGCAAAAAGGCAGAGTGACAGGGCTCGAGGAGGCAACAGAATAGGATCTGATTTGGATCCTGCTTGTATGAACTTGGTCAAATAATTCAATTTTTGTGGACTTCATCTCATTAGGAAGTTGGGATAGATGATTTCTGAGGCTCCCTCCAACACTAAATCTATGATCTTAGAGCTTAAAACCTAAATAAAAGAAATCTCGTCTATTTAGGAAAGGCCCATGGCTCTGGCCCATTCTTACCCCCAATCGAGGACCATTTTAACCAGCTTTTTGGGGGGGGGGGGGAAGCAATGGGGCTAAGTGACTTGCCCAGGGTCACACAAGTAGTAAATGTCAAGTGTCTGAGGGCAGATTTCAAATCAGGTCCTCCTGACTCCAGGGCAGGCTGGTGCTGTATCCACTGAGCACATAGCTGCCACTAACCAGCTTTTTAAAGAGATATAGAAATGGCAAGAGGAAACAGTTAAAATGAACCAAAAGGTGGAAACAAAGGTCTGAAAAAGGTTGTTACTAGAATATTTGAAGGATGATCAACTGTAAAAGACTTAGTTATTCTCATTAACAAAGTTATTCTCATTAACACAATGATCCAAGAACATTCCAAAGGAGCCAAGATGAAAAATGCTATCCACCTCCAGAGAGAGAAAAGCTATGAATTCTGAATGCAGATTGAAAAACATTTTTTTAACTTTATTTTTATTGTCTTATTTTTGGTTGTCTTTTATAACATGGCTAATATAGAAATGTTTGCATGACTTAATATGCATAATTCATATTAAATTTCTTACCTTCTCAAGGACAGAGGAGGAGTTAGAGGGAAAGAAATTGGATTGTTAATGCAATTGGGAAATATTTAATGAAACCAAAAAATGTTTAAAAACGTTATTGCTAAGAGAGTGCTGAGAGAGCAGGAGTGAGCAAGCTTCAGGTAGGGGTTTGGTAGATCTCATAAAGCATCAGGCTGCATAGCTGGGGTATTGGTACAAGACAAGAGTGAGGAAAATGTCTCTAGAAGGGTACAATTATTAGGAAATACACAGGTTATATTAACATTGAATCGAGAAAAGGAAGAGTGGCTAAAGACTTATGGACAGAGGCAATTTTCCCAAAGGAATACAAACATGTGGCTTCTTCCATCACAGAATCATAAATTTAGGTGAAAAACCCAATCCCCAGAGGTTAAGTGACTCACTCACCCGGGGGACACAGGTAATAAATACATGAATAAGGATTCAAACCAAGGTCAAGGGCTCTATCCACTACACCACATTGACTTTCTATCTGCAATACAGCAAGGCCCTGATTATTCTCCATTAGACCAGGGCAAGGGCCTAGCTGAATGTGGTATAGTAGAGAGTGCTGGACTTGGAGGAAGGACGACCTGGGCTATTTATTGCTCTACTGAAAATAACAGCTAGAATTTATAGAGTCTCAAAAGTCATAGTTCAGTTTTAAACTTTAATAGCTTAAGCTAAACAGCCTTAATAGCTTAAACTAAATAAACTTTGATAGCTCAAACTAAAATAGTTTTTTTAAACCACATTATAACTTTTTTTGACACCCTGAATAGCACTTCAAGATTCACAAAGCACTTTACAAACATTATCACATTTGATCCTCACCACACAACCCGGGAAGTAAGTGCTATTATAATTATTTCTATTTTATAGATTAGGGAACTGAAGTAAACAGAGGTTAAATGACTGCCAAGGTTCCCACAGGTACTAAGTATCTGAATCCAGATTTGAACTCAGGTCTTGTTGACTCCAGGTCTTGCTCTCTCTATCCGTTGGTCGACCTAGCTGCTTCTGTCAATTACTAGTGATCAGGAGCAAGTCACTTCACCTTTCCAAGTTTTACTTAACCTTTAGAAAAGCAGGGCTTGGACTTTTAAAATCCATGGGATAGATGCCAGAGGAATAGAAACGCCAGCAATTTTCTCTCCTGGAGTAGTAAAAATTATGCTGCAAGTACAAAAGGTTGGGTCCCAAGAAACATACAGGAATGGACTTTAGATCTAAAGCATCTTGTAATACCTATTTCCATCATGACAGGTTCTCTCACTGGTAAGGGAAAGAAAGGAGGTGGTGGGGCTGATTCACCTTAGGGCAATAAGAAATACCATTCCATGACATGGTCACCTTACCTAGCCGTGTTTTTGATGAACGTGAGCAAAGGAACAGACAGCCATAGTAGCAACTTAGGTAACAATGTCTGCTGCAGTGGGTGAAGTAGAGAAATTAAAGAAGAACTTAAAAACATAAATGTCAAGCTCAGTCAAATTATACAAGAATAAACATTGAGTCCAGTGCAAAAATAGGCAGAGGAGAAAGAGGGGGGAAAACATTGGAAAGAAGGATTCAGGAGAAAGAGATGAAGTCAAAGGATTTACTGTTGATAATTTTGTTATGAAGAGAATTGGAAGGTATTAGTCTTGTTGAATGCTAACAAGTGTGACAAAACCAAAATTGGCTGTAACCATTAAGATACAGTTTCTTAAAATAAAAGCAATGGTCTACATGTAGTCAGACCATTGACTGGTTAGAATGGAGGTCAAAGTAAACACTAAATTAAAGAAAATAATAATATATAAAGATAATGTGTAAAATTGCAGGACCTCTAATAAGCTATTGACTCTGAAAATTAGTAAATAGCTTTTCCATTAATTTTGATTATAAACATTTATTAGTGTTCAATATAAATCAAATATCAATATAGTCATCACAACAAGAGGTCAAACAGAGGCCACAAAACACCTTAGACAGCAAATACATTATCTTAATTATACAGAATATAGCTTAGAGAGACATAGCAGCCAAGGGCAAGGTTTTAGAGCACAAGGTCCTCTTCAACCAATTTGAAAAGATGATGACAGATGATAATACAATCACCTCACAAATAATGAAGAGCAGGCAAAGATCATTCTGTCCAAAGTTTTAGCACAAAGGTCAGCTGAACTCAATCATCCCAAAAGCATTTCTTGTAGAAGTAGGACAACAAAAAGATGTGAAATGAAACAGGAGTCCCAGTACTTTTACAGCTATCTCCTCTCATTGCAGAAAGTGGAACCGCCACATTTGAGCATTTGTATTCAAAGTGGTGCTTGAAAATGTACATCTAACACTCAAAAGAATGAATTCAGACTACTGTACTATAAGAGATTACGAGTAAGATGCTCTGTACTGTGTACAAAGTAACAGCAATATTGTAAGATGATGAGCTGGGACCAACAACTATTCTCAGGAGTAGGAGGATCCAAGACAACTATGAAGGACGTATGATGAAAAATGTTATCCATTCCCAGACAAAGAACTGATAACACCTGAATACAGATTGAAGCACTTTTTTTTCTTGTCTGTGTTTTCTTTCACAACGTGACTATTATAAATAAGTTTTGCATGGCAAACTTATTATATAGGTACAACCTACATCTAATTGTTTACCTTCTCACGAGGGTGGGGTGGGGAGGGAGGAAGAGAGAGAAATCAATGTTTTGAAACGAATGTTGAAATTATGTTGACATGTAAGTGGGGAAACATAACATACTAAATAAAAGGTTAAAAGAATGAATTCAAGAAGGGCATCTTGCCATTAGCAAATATATTAAAAGGAAGATCTTGCAGAAGGAAGGATCATAGAATCTCAGGGTTGTAAGGCACTTCAGAGTCCATCACATAAAACCCTAACTTGAATAATGTCTACAACACTCCTTAAAAGTAGTCATTCAGCTTTTCCTTGAAGACCCACAGTGAAAGGGGAGCCCACAATCTATCATTTAGAGCATTTGGAAAATTAGAACAAAACATGTCCTCCAAGCCTATCTCATTATACAGTTCAGTAGTTCAAAGATAACAGACAGTGGTCAGCTGTCAAATCTGCCAAAATATAAATAAACTCAGGGCAATATTTTCAACATATCGTGAAGGGGAGAAAATTCCTCTGAATGGAAGAGATATCATTACTCCTAAAAGAGCAATAGAGGAGAAATCAATAACTGCTGACCCGTAGGCCTATTTTTTTCAAATCTATAAAATCTTTAAGAATACGTCGTAGTGTACATCCAAGGTATCCATAACATGAGAACGGAACAAAAGCAGGCTGTCACAGATGATTCACAATAGCAATTCACGTGTTCCTAGTTACACAATTGATTGAGGGCTGTGGCTAATACAAGATACCACTGCTTTTATTTTCTAGTGATTTTAAGAAAGAACAGGTAAATTTATTGAGAGAACAAAAGGCACCCTTAAAAAGCCTTCATTCAACAAGGTATTTCCCGTTCATATGTGACAATTACAATAAATTCCTCCATAGATACAACCACTTAGGTAATTTTGTTCAAATGATCTTGTTATTGGTAACAAATGAGGCATAAAACAGGGAGACATGTTAAAAAAAGGTATTCACCACTACCATGATAACGTTGAGCACTAAATGCAAATGGTAGAGTAATTTGCTACAGATGGTGAGGTTCTTGAAATGCACCTATGTACAAATGGCTTTGGGTGGTTTACAATGAACAACCTCTAGAACATGGCAGCATCTGCTTAATGAGATCCATGATCATTCAAAAGAGAACAAGGGGATGAAAAAGGCCAAAAGAAGTGGATGAAGGTCATGACATACAACAAATTTATAGTATTATTTATTGTGTTAATCTATCAAGGTAAATATCTTGGACCAGCACTAAGACATATAATGAGCTAGCCTGAGTGTTAAATATGAAGAGGAAAATAAGCTGAATTGAATTTGGGAAACCACACAGAACTTTCAATGATTACAGGATGCTCCCTACTGCCAAAATGCATGTATAAGTTACTTGAAGGCAGGTATTGTCTTTTTTTTTGTTTTTTTACTACCAGTTCCTAACAGAGAGCTCTGCATATAGAAGAAGTCTAATAAATGTTTGTTCAATCAAACTGAATCACTCAGTAACACTTTAGATTGTTGGTTGAGACTTTTAGAGGTGGAAATTTCTTTAGACATCATCTTCTGGTCCAACCTCCTCATTTCCCAAATCATAGAGCTGGAAGGGATCTCATAGGTCATCTCAGTCACTCCCTTTATTTTACCAAAGAGGAAAGGGAGAGGAAGTGATATTCTCAAGATCACTCAAAGTAGCAGAACAGAATCAAAATTCCAAGTCAAGTCTTTGGACTTGAAATCCAATGTTTTTTTTTTCAACGACAACACAAGGGTCAGACTGCTCAGGCTATTTTGCCTTCTCAACAATTTCTTTGGTTAAAGGCCTTTGAATTCTAGGAGACTTTGATCCGGTTTAACCCAGGCTCTCCAAATCATTTTATTCAAGATGCCAGCATAAAGCACAGACTCCTCTGTTGGCTATTGGAAGCCCTTGACAACCTGACTGTAATCTATCTTCTCAGGTTTCTTACACATCACAACCGTTCATCAACTTTACAGTTTAGCCAAATTGATCTTTTTGCTATTGCTTAGAGAAAACTTGCCACCTCCTCATAGCAAACCTTAGTACACCCTGTAGAACCTTCTGCCCATTCCTCATCCCTCTCCCCCACTTCTTCCTCTAGCAATTCCTAGCTTTCGTAAATGCTCAGCTCAATTGTTGCCTCCTACAAAAGACCTTTCTCCTCATTACCCCAGCTCACTAATGCTTCCCCCATCCAGATATTACCTTGTATCTATTTCAGTAAGTTATCTACAATTTGCATTTACTTACACATGCATATATTATCTTCCCTGATAAGATATTAGTTCTTTGAAAACAAAGATTCTTTCTTTTCTTTGTCTTTATTTCCCTAGTGTTTAGCAAAGACTGCTCCTTTCTGCATATGTATTCCAAACTGCTTAGCACAGTGCCTGGCACGTGGTGGGCACTTAATAAACGCCTGATGATTGATGGAAAACCAGCTGCTTTGGGCTTTAGTTACCACTTCAAGCTACAGCACACTCTGAAATGGTTAGCAGCAATGATGCTCTATAGGATGCTGATTGTACAGTGATTCACATTTACAGAGCATTCCAAATAATCCCTCCACACCAGAGAAGCTTATTTATAGCTCATTTGGACAGACCTTGAAATGAAGAAGTCAGGGAATGCATTTGGGCACAGAATCATGCCTATTTAAAATTCCCAGAGTCTGGCTTGGGCTCCAAGGTCTGGTCAGTTATGTTTACTCTTGGTTATGACATCATCTTCTGTTGTTAAGGATCAAAGTCTTAATTACATATTTTCAATGGGCTTAAAGGTATCATTGCTTGCAAAGAAATATTATGAAGAGGTAAAAATAAGGATAGGTACACATAGAATTCTCCTTATGAAGAGTGCTAAAGGATTTAGGGAGGGCTATAGTCAGACTTAAAAGTGAAATGTAAAATAGTTGGAGGCTTACGATGGGCACCAAATATGGTTATGTTTGCAGAATGAGATCAAGATAACATACTCCCTTCACATCTCACTGCTGTAAAGGCAAAATTACATATGATGTTGGGTACACACACTACATCAGTCTTAGCTCTTTGTTTTTCCAGGAACCAGGTGCCAGTGCACCCAAAATATTCTAGCATTACTACTCTGTAGGTGGTACTCTTCATTTGTTTTCATAAGAACTCTAACTACAAGGCGATAAAAATTCCCACCACCTTCCTCAACCATCCCTCAATCTCCCCTCTCTCCATCTTTTTTCTCTTTTCTTCCTGTTTTCCTTTCTTCTTTCCTCTCTTCCTTCCTTCTATCCCTAGATGTAGAGTTGAAAGGTACCTCAAAGGCTATTTAAGTACAAGCACTCCATTAAATAGATGAAGCCACTGAGGTTAACTGACTTACCCAAGTTAACACAGGTAAGTAAAAGAGGCAGGGTTCAAACTTGGGTCTTGGGACGCCAATGATGCCTGCTTGCCTTCCCTTAGACTGTAAACTCCTTGAGAGCAGGGACTGGGTTTATGTGTATATGTATGCATTAGAGAAGGAAGGGTGCTTTTCTTTTTATCCCCAGTGCTTAAGACAGTCTCTATCACATAGTAAGTGCTTCATAAATCCTTTCCTCTCTTCACATTATCTTCTTTCCTTCTGGGTTTCTGTCTTCATTTATGTCCCAGATAAGAGGCAATATGTAATATCCTCATTTCACTCTAGGGCTGAGGTGATGCCCTTTTCTCTCATTTTGTCTTTAAGAAACTGTTCAGGAACTCACCTCCCTACCTGCTAACACATACTCAATGACAGGTAGCATTGCAAATCCCAAAAGCCCAGTCCAGCATCAGGGGCAGGGGGAGGGGAAGTGGGACACCAGAGCCAAAGTCCACTGCCCGTGCTGCATCCTCATGATTCCCGGAAGAGGACCCACACACCCCATGGGTGGCAATTTTGTGGGTTACAACATTGGAAACAGTGCCCCAAGGCAGTGTGTTGTAGCCTGCAAGAGCGATAACCCTTTGCTGCCAGATACCTCGACTAGAGCTACCTGGGCCACAGAGGCCACCTGCAGTATAAATCATCCCACAGTTCCCCAGCAGCAGGTACTCACTTGATAGGGTACTGACGGTGCTGATGTTCTCATTCCCGCCAACACTGTTCCAAGGTGAGGGTGGGGTGGGAGAGTGGGGATAGAAAACAGTAATTAGAACTACAGGAATACTCTAAAGAATTACTCCCAGGGGAAAAGACACTTTTTCTCCCTGGGTTAACAATATGTATTCATTCTGTTACCTCTTCTCACAATAAATAGAATCCCTTTTCCACTCCTGCTTATTCTCCTCAAAATCTGACTTTCAGATGTTCAGGTTGGATCTAACATTTTAGTTCTGGAAGATACTTGAACCCTTCTCATTTTACAGATGAGGAAATTGGGTCCCAGAGAGGTTAAGTGTCATGTCCAAGGTCATAAGGCATAGAGCTGGGATTTAACCACAATTCTTTGCCTTCAAATCCAGTGTTCTTTCTACTATGACCCATTTCGTTTACTCAGTGTTTGGGGCTTGGAGTAAGGAAACTAAACTAAGCAATACTTTTTACTCTGCATTTGAAGTCATTTGCCTTTCAGGCTCTTGTGATGCACAGGGGCTTCCTATCACATTAGAGGCTTGAGCTTTCAGATAGTTATTAGGGGGGTGGGGGTAGGAGTGGAGGAGGGTACTTGGTGGGGCAAGAGGGGAGTTAGCTGTGAATGCCGGCTCTCTTCTTGCCTGGGGTAATATCCTTTTCAGAAGTTATGAAATTCAGGGGCAGCTAGGTGGCCCAGTGGATACAGCCCTGGAGTCAGGAGGACCTGAGTTCAAATCCAGCCCCAGACACTTGACACTAGCTGTGTGACAATAGGCAAGTCACTTAACCCTAACTGCTTCCAAAAAAAATTATGAAATTCAAAGTATCATCAAAGAGAGAATGCATTTGGAGTTATGGACCTAAATCAGAATCTCATCTGCTCTACTATGACCTAAGAGACATTGTGTGAGTCACTTTAGAGCTGGGCCTCAGTCTCATTATTGGTAAAATAAGGTGGTTGAACTAGGTGGCTGCTGAGGCACCTTCTAACTCTTAAAATTCTATGATTCCCTTAGAAGGGACAAGAAGAGATCATCTTTAGGGTCCCTATACGTCTATGACACTCATAAGGTCTGTTATAGGAAGAAATCCTTGGAAGCAGTGAAGAGACCTTGGAAGAGAGTAACTGTGATTTTTCCAGGCCAAAGCTTTCCCATCTTCCACAATTTGCACCCCAAATTAGTGCTCACATCTCAATCCCACTCCTTGTGGTAGCTGATGACATCTTCGGGTGATAAGAGGATTTCATTAGTTTGTGCTCAGGGTGAAGAACAGCCTGGCATCTCTTCATTCCCCCTCTCCCCCGAGGAGGCTCCCACAAAACATTCCTTCTGTTCGGGAAACTCGGCCCTTAGCCCTCACAAGGAGGGAGAGGTGGTGACACACTCACCTCCAAGACAAACCTCGGTATTGAGTGAGGACGTCAATGATGTCGCCAGGTGGGGATCCTGCACCATTACCTGCCTGACATTTGAAAAGGAGAGAAAGGGAAGTGAACTCCATAGGAGAGGACTCACATTCTTGTCCATCCAAGAAATGCTCATGTGTATTAAGAGGTGATGATTTGCTATAACTGGACTTGGTGTTTCTCCTTTGTCCTACCCAGAGGTCAAGTTCTTTGACTGGACATGTCAACCAATACATTTAGAAATGGAGAGGTATTGGATCTTCATGTTCATTACTATGAGAATTTCTCTACCAATAGAAGTCTCTATCTTCTTTGCAACTTCCTGGAGTTACTGATATATGTATACACACACACAAACACATACACACACCACACACACCCCTATTTCTATCTAAAGGTGGTCATCTGTCAGGGAGGGAGGGAAGGAAAAAAGGATGAGAAATTTAAATGTTAATTGTATTACATATTGAAAAGGAATAAAAAAAAAGGAATAGCAAGTTGTACATAATAGATTTGCAGTTTCCTGTGCAATTATCTTATTTATACTATGTTACAGAAATGCTTCTTTTCCATAAATTGAAAGAATTAAAAATTGCAAGAAGCAAACTTTTCTTTGACCTTTCTATCCTGGCTTGGTGTCCAAAACTGAAAACACAGGTGTTTCTTAGCCAGGCCTGTCTTGCTTCATTACAGATAGTTACAGTCTACCACAGAAGTTAAGAACTCCTCCAAGCAGACACCTTGGCAGGGGTTAGATGTGAGTGCTGGTTATCTTCCTGCATGGGGCCAATTTTTTAGCTAAAGTTATAATGTTCAAAGTAGGATCCAGTGGAAAGACAGTGGAACCTGGAGTAATAGAACCTGAGTTTTAATGCCATCTCTGTTGTTTACTACTACAAAAAACCCTAAGGCTATTAAGTTTATTGCTTACTTTGGTCTGTTAGTGGTACCAGTTGGGGTTTTCCTGGCAGAGTACTGGAATGATTTGCCATTTCCTTCTGCAGCTTATTTTTACAGATGAGGAAACTGAGGGAAACAAACTTAAGTGAATCACTCGGGGTCACATAGCTAGTTAAGTGTCTGAGGCAAGATTTGAACTCAAGTCTTCCTGACTCCAGGCCAAGCACTCTATGAACTAGTCATAGCTCTGCCATAAATTAACTATGGAACACAAGGGAAATCACTTATACTTTCTATGCGCCTGTGTCTTTCCATCTGTAAAATGAGGGCATTGGACTAGATCAGGGGTTCTTAACTTATGATCCACAGATTTCTTTGGGTCCATGAACTTGGATGACAAAAAAAAAAAAGACTTTATTTTCACTAACAACTGAAATATAGCATTTCCTTCCATTAGGAATGTAAGTAACGAAATGTTATTCTGTAAACTGGGTTCATAGGCCATGGTGCAGACTGCCAAGGGAGTTGACCACCCAGACAAGTTTAAGACCCTTGGGCTGAATGATCTATGAAGTCTCTCCCAGGTGGAACATTCTACATATTTTTAAGCACTCAAAGCTGGCAAGGCACGCTTTGAATAGGAAGCTGACCTCCTAAATAGAGGAGGGCGGGAAGGAAGCTCAGATCTGTTGGTTTTCCCAGGATTCCTGCCCCTTTCCTCCATTATTGAGCTTCCCTGTTCCGGTTATGCCAGGAGCTGTTGCTTCACTGGGGAAACTCCTTGGGGATCATCCAGAAAAAACCTATCAAACTTTGCTGCCACCTGATAACTCATTACCTACCCTGAAATGATGCTAAAGAAAGGAAGGGGCGGGGGGAGAGAAGGAGGCAGCAATAAGTGGAGGGGTCCAGAAGGAAAGCCACTCACACTGTTCCTGCTGCTTTGTAAGAGCTGCCCAGCATCATCCAGGGGGAAACCCTGGAAAGCTAATGAAAAACACTCAGCCGTTTCTAACTGATGGAGGTCAATGTGGCATTTGTAGGGTGTCTAAGCCCATGCTGGGGGAGGGCTTTCAAAGCTGAGAAAATGGTATCAAATTGCCATCTGAAGACCTCTTATCAGAGGAGTTATAAGTCTCCAGGAAAAATATACAGATGGGGCCTTTGCCTATGTTGAGTTGCTTCCTGATGAACTTGAGAACTCCCCAGATGAATAAATCTGTACTGACAAACTAGTTTCTCCCAGGGCAGTGGGAGGGGTACAGGTGGCAGGTAAGTTCCTTTTAGAGCAGAGTGAATAAAGAGTTTATTACAATTTACTAGGATCACCCTGTCTTCCAAATGCCCTGCTTATCAAAGCAGCTTAGTAGCGTAGTGGATAGAGCACTACCCGTAAGAGTTTGGAAAACCCGATTTCAAATCTGACAGACACTTACTACCTGTGTGACCTTGGGCAGCTCACTTCTTTATACCTCACTCTTCTCATCTGTGTAAGAGAGATAATCACACCTATCTCCCAGAGTTGTTGTAAGGATCAAATGAAATTATATTTTGCAAACTTTATAAATTATAAACTATATAAATGAGCTATTGTAATTATGATTATTATCCTGGCTAACCATTCATTCCTTATGATTATATACCCCCTGGCTACTCCCTGTCATTGAGGCAGTCTCCCTTATACAAGCTTTACATTTCAAAACTGCCTTCCTCCCCTGTACCACAAACTGACAGTGGCAGAGGGTTGATTTGAACAGCATGGTAGGGATGAAGGAAAATGCCTTGGAAGTTTAAAGTAAAAGAAGCTTAACTACTACAGAGGGATATAAACGATGGGATTTGTTCTGGAATAGGCTTTTGTTTCCAAGTCTTCATGAAGAATTCCTCAACATACCCCAAACCTAGAGCATGGGTCTGACCATGTCACTCCCCTATTCAAGAAGCTTCAGTGGCTCCCTATTACCTCTAAAATAAAAGATGAAATGCCAGTTTTTCACTTCTCTGGCTTCTCCTGCCTTATTACACGTGCTTCTCCTCTGCCAAACCAGCCAACTTGCTGGTTTCTGTACGGAACATTCAATCTCCAATATCTGAGTGTTTTCATGGGCTGCCACCTATGCTGGAATGCTCCTCTTCCTCATATCTTTGTTAGTAGTTCCCCTTCCACCCCTTGAAATTACCTGATATATATATATATATATTATTATTATTATTTACTTATCTGTATACATACTATTGTTGCACCAGTAGACTATAAACTCCTTGTTGACTGATACTGTTATTTTTTCATTATACACCTGCAGAGCTTAGCACAGTGTCTGGAAAACAGTAGACACTTAACAAATGCTTATTAAATTGTATTGAACCCAGCCAGACAAATTCCCCTTTCCCCAATCCAAATGACTTACAGTTAGTGAGTCTCCCAGAGCTCCGATCACCTTGATATCAGCAGGTCTCAAATTATGAACTAAAAAAAAAAAAAAAAATGGATGGAAGGGAAGGGGGCTTAGATCCCATGTGAACTATGGGACCTTCTACTGACACAACTAATCAAGAGCACCTAGATAATTTTTTAAGTGCCTTTCAGCGAGGATAGTAGATAAAAGTTTTCCTTAATGCTTTCACCTTAAGGATGGAATGACAGAACATGAGCAATTTGCTTTAGTGGACTGAGGTAATGAGAGCTGGCATTTACATAGCTCTTTAAAGTTTATAAAGCCTAGGGATAAACCTGGAGCTGGGAGGGTCGTAGAGGTAACCTAATACAGCTCTCTCATTGTACATTTAAGGAACCTGATGACCAGAAAGGCTAAATCAAAGTCACACAAAGGATAACCATCGGAACTGAGCATCACACCTAATCACCCTTTACTATCAACCTTCTTTCCCCCTTCGTTGGAGCCTCTCAACAATCTAGGGACATTGGGACTGGGTATGTTAATTATTCCCCCTTTTACAGTGAGGAAATTAAGGTTTAGAAAGGGGAAGTGACGTGTTTATGGTTTCACAGCTATGATAAAATCTGCAGTGGAATCACCAAATCAGCACTCTTTCCATTACGCCATGTTGCTGCCCTTGGTGACTGATCCCAAGTGTGGGGTGAGAAAAGGTGAACACAATTTCCCAAGTGTTTGGGAGACAGAACCTGCAAGACTCTTTGATGATAGCAGATACTATAAACTGAGTTCTCATCTTTCGATTATGAAGGGAGTGGGGTATACTTGTAGTGAGGGCACAATGCCCAAATACCTATTTCTTTCATCCAACCACTATCTTAGAATCAGTCATTGTGTACTGTTATGTAAGCCTTGTATGAAGGTACATAAAATCTATACAACAAGAAAGAAAATGCTCATATCATTCCCTACATTTTCTTCTTTCTTTGGGTCTATCTTTGCCTTCTTTTTTTCCTTCCTTCCTCCCCCTCTCTCTCCTTTCCTTTCACTTTGATCTCTTCTTTCCTTCCTTCCTCCTCCCCTTCCTCCTTATACGTAAATATGCTAAAGCATATATGTAAACAACAACACAGAACCTAGAATCAGCAGATCTGAGAGGTAGCAATGTAGAGTGAAAAAGAATGCCAGATTCAGAGTTAAAAGATCTAGAAGGTTAAGCCCTGGCTTTGCTGTCAAATAACGTGGGTTTAAGTGAAGGTTCTAACACTTATTGTGTGACTTGAGGCATGTAAATTTCCCTCTCTGGGACACAAGTTTCCTAGTCTGTTAAATGGGTGGAAGTCTAAAGTCCCTCCTAGCCCTCAATGTATCATATTACTTACTAGCAAAGTGACTATTAAAATGATGTTACCACTGTGACTCAGTTTCCTCATTGGCGAAATGAAAATGATACATACCTCACGGGATGTTGGTGAAGAGAGCCCTTTTATAAATTGTATACATATGCATTAGAGGATTCAGAAAATCATATTCTCATACAAATGAACTTTGAGATCACAGCCAAGTAATTTAATCCTCCTAAGTCATCACACGTCAGCATGATGTGCTGACTTTGGAATGCTAAGAGCTAGATTGAAATCCTGATTCTACATGTCATCAGACTGCTTTCACTTAACCTGTCTGAATCACTGTTTTCTTATCTAAAAAGAAGGACATTTGGATCTGGTCTCAGAGGTCGCTTCCTGCTCTAAATTCTATAATCACAATGACTCTCCTGAAATGCTCTCTCTGCCTTTCTTAATCATTCAGTAAGTCAGTAAACATTTGATAAGTACCTGCTATGTGCAAGGCACTGTGATAAGCACTGGGGATACAAATAAAGGTAAAAGACAATCCCTGTCATAAAGGACTTTACAGTTTAATGAAGGAGACAACCTGCAAATAATCTGTAAAAGCACTTAATCTCTATACAAGATTAATTGGGAATAATCATCCAAGGGAAATATTCAAATTAACAAGGATTTGGGAAAGGCTTCTTGTAGAAGCTGGTTTTTAGCAGGGACATGCAGGCAAGTCAGAAGTGGCCTGCCAAGCTACCTTACTCACACCAAAGCAGAGTCATAGACGCTGGGGTAACATAGAAGGCTTACTGGTTTAGTTGCCAATCAGTCAATTGGCATTCATTAAGCACCTAGTTTGTAGCAAGCACTTTGCTAAATGCTATAGATACAATGGCAAAAATCCCTACTCAAGGAATTCACAGTCTAATTCTAATATACAAATAACAAACAAACAAGATGCATACAAGATAAATTGGAGATAAACCAGAGGGTGGAAACCTTGTATGAAGCTACATAAAATCTATACAACAAAAAAGAAAATGCTCATATCATTCCCTACATTTTCATACATACATGCATTATACATACATGCATTAAAAGGGATCTGGAAGGGCTTCGTCTGGCAATTTCCCAAGACAGGAAGACAGAAACTACTAGAACATTGAAGAACATTGTCTCTAAGGAGGCTCACTTTCTCCTGGCAAACAACAACCATGTTTCATAATACATGAAGAATTACAAAAAGGAACTAGATCTTTCCAACAGGACAGGATAACAATACACAAGCCCAATAAAATCCCAATCCCAGAAGCATAATTATATTAACTCAGGGGCATTTATTGAGAGAAAGGTTCAAAGTGTTCCAGGTCTAGACTTCTGGCTATAGAGAAAACTTGTCAAATTTCTCTACAATCTCAGCATCCAAGAAGGTCCTGTTCCCTTCAAATAATTGCTTTCTTTGGGAAAACAAAAGATATTTTAATTTTTTTCTTGTCAGGAATGGAAGACAGCTTTCACTGTCATTTCTGCAGAGTTCTGTCTTTTGCAGGGATATATTACTGCTACTACTTCTGATGTGCAGGGCAAAAGGAGTTAAGGGTGGGAAGCAGACCTGAAATCAAGGGAAAGAGGGAGAGACCTTGGACTTCAGGACACATGACCCTATGTAGCATAGAGGTATTGAAATATTGCTACATAGTGGGAAGTCCAAGAACCCAAGAGATGATGGATGGAAAATCATGTGGTTGCTGCAGGAGAGAGAACCACCAGGAAAAAGGGGCAGGGTGAGATTGTGCTGAGTCAAGGAGGTGCTTACTTATTTTGGGAAAGATCATTTGGAAGAAGCTGCCACTGGACTTCCCTTTTTTTTTAGGCAATTGGGGTTAAGTGACTTGCCTAGGGTCACACAGCCAGTAAGTTTCAAGTGTTTGGTCTGAGGCCGGATTTGAACTCAGGTCCTCCTTACTTCAGGGCCGGAGCTCTAACCAGTGGGCCACCTAGCTGCCCCTTAACAAAATATTCTTGCTGAGGAAGTATAACTGTGGTCAGCACCATCTAAATGTTGGCATGTTCACACAAAGCCTCAGTCAGCCTGTCCTAGATGTTCAAGACTAACATGGATAACTTAAAAGACTGATGTATCACCATTAGTTCTTCCTACAAAGACCATGTAAAAATACTAACACCATTTATTAATAATAAGAATGGGGATAAGGACTGGACCTACAACTTCCCAATGAGAAAACTTCCTCAGAGGTTCTCTAGTCCAATCAGCCTTAGTGCCAATGTGCTTTGGTCCCTCTTCTGAGTCTTTTATTTTTGCCTCAAATACTGAGAGGTGAATACCACCCTCAAGATCACGAAGCTAGTAATAACTCACATTTATAAGGATCACAAAGCACTTTCCTCACAACCATCTAGTGAAAGGGGTAATGCAATTAATATTCTTGTTGCCTTTGTTGGAGACTTACAACCAGCTTGTCTGATAACTGCTTTCTAGGTTCATGCTTTTTCTTTGCCAATATTTTGTGCTTGTGGTGTGTTTTTTGAAGCATGTGAAGTGATGTGGCTGGCCATAAGAAATGAGAATAGGTGTCCAGGTAGAAAGAGTAAAGGGCAAAAGGTCAGAGCTGAAAGAACTCAGAATTTGGGCAAAACAAGACTGTCACTAAAGATTGGTAATTGTAGCTATACCTGCATGACAAATCCTTTTACAAAGAGGATTTGTTCTGTGAATTTTGGATTTAGTCAAAGGATCACACTTGAGGACCTCGCTAAGTTCCCCACCCCTGTAACTAGGTCCTTCATAACAAATCAAATGAGTAAGATATTGAGACATAAATGCAATTAAAAGAGAGTTTGACCTGTTATCTGAAGCTGGTTGTAAGTCTCCAACAAAGGCAACAAGAATATTAATTGCATTACCCCTTTCACTAGATGGTTGTGAGGAAAGTGCTTTGTGATCCTTATAAATGTGAGTTATTACTAGCTTGTTATCTGAAAGTATAGGAAGGTAACACATTTTTTGGTTGACCTTGATTGATTAAGGTTTGTTAATATCACAGATAGCTAGAGGCACAGCCCAGCATTTTATAGATGATATAGGGGGAAAGGACAATTAAGTGATAAGATTAAATCTGTGGGCTGATTAGCTGAATACTATGGTACAAAATGTCCACACAAAATGACAGTGTGTTGATAGATACATCATTCAAACTTTCAAGATTTTGCAGATTTCTCAGATGGGAGGTTTTGGACTTTTGTCAGAAGATGGATTGTATACCATAATAGCTCACATTTATATAGGCTTTAAGGTTTACAAAATATTTTTTATACCTTATCTCATTTGCTCCTCACAATAAACCAGTTAGGGAGGTATTATTTAGCCCCAATTCAAAGATGATGAAATTTAAAGAAGCAGTGTAACTCTGTGGTGTTAGAGAGTCTGATTAAGATTCTCCCTTTCAGGCTTTGGACAAGTTACTTAGACTCTCTAGGTCTCTGTTTTCTCATTTGTAGGATGAGAGGACTGAAGTAAATGTTCTCTGAGGTTTCTTCAATCTCTTCTTTCAATTCTCTTCAATCTCTCCTTTGATACAAGGCCAGCTGTTTTCCCTGAGATATTTCAAATTTCCTATTTTTTTGATTATTTTGACTTTGTTTTATTGCTACATGATGCCTCAAGAAGTTATCAGGTTCCAGTTAGCCAATTCTAATATTTAAGGAGTTAT